CTACAGGGTCGGGTAGTCTCCAGCCCTCAGACTCCATACCCTAGTCCGGGTGGGGGGGGTTACTTTCACATCATCGGTTTTTTTCTTATCCGAGTAGCTAACTTTTCAGGGTTTCTTATATTTTCTTCATCTTTGCCTTCCCCTACAGCCGTGTAGGAACTTCTCTCTGGTTGCATTTTCCAAAAGAAAAAAAAAAAAAACCTCGTGGATATATATTCCAATTGCTCTTTTATTACTATTATTAATGTGTGTGTCACACATGCATGTACATGTGCAGGTGCACCCATGCCACAATGCACATGTAGGTCGGAGGACACCTTTCAGGACTTGGTGCTCTCCATCCAACCAATTGATCGTCTCACAGTGACACTGACACTTCCGACAGCCACAGGGTCTGCTTCCTGCCCTTCAGTCTGGGCAGAAGACCTCTCTGTGACACGGCCTCTCTCTGTGGCATGGCCTCTCTCACCCGTGTGCTCTCTCTATTGCTCTTGCTCTTCATTCATCCTTGGTATCCAAGCGACATGTGGAGAGGAAGTTTTGGTCTCGTGCGGCGGCCACGTGAAGGCGGTCCAGCCAACAGCTCCAGCCCTAGTCCCCACTGGCCAGCCGACCTGAGAGCTGATGACCTTCAAATGCTCTGCAGGCAGCCTGGAGTCACCCAGTGAGGAGTGGGGCAGAAGGGAATTCCGTCACCAGCCCTGCCCAAACTGCAAACAAAGCACCCGCATACACAGTCAGGGTCACACAGCTTGGCTTTGGCCTGGCTGGGGTCGCTTGACCACAGGCTGCCCTATTCCAACACCCTCTACAAACTGGTTGTCTTAAGCACCCAGTGGGTGCTGTAAAAATTGCTGATCAAGGAGAAAGCATTCAATGATAGCTTTACTGTCAGGTCGTTAGAAACAAAGGGGACAATGACCCCGAAGTTTTCCCATTCAAGCTGCTAAATTGACCGAGAGGATGGAAAAAATGGAAGCTAACTCCTGGAAGGCTTCCAAGAGGAGGTATCCCTTTCTAACTAAAGTGAAGGTTGTTTTCATCCTACAAATCATGAAAGAAATAAGCCACTGGTTAGGGGATGAGAGGGAAACCCCCCTGAACAGGGTTATCTGGGAACCCTCTCTGAGGAGGTGGCCTGTATGCCGAGTTAGCCAAAGGGCCTGGGAAGAGAATCTGGGGCAGACTGAAGAACAAGGGCAAAGTCCCTGGAGGAGGAGAAAGTGTGACAGATGCTGGGGAGGGGTGGTTAGTGTGGCTGGAGCCCCCTGGGAGATAACGAAGGAAAAGACAGAGTGGAAAGCAGGAAGCAGACAGACATAGGCAGGGGATTATCTCTGATGCAGAGACAAACACTGGAAACTTGCAAGCAGGAAGTCACACCGTCTAATTATGTCCGGAAGTAGATCCCTTCGCTGACAAGTACAGATGCTGGCTCTGGGAGCTAAGGGAGCTCGGATGCATCTAGAAGCCATAGAGAAAGGACCATTCTGTTTGAAAAACCAGTCACTCCTGGCTGGAAGAGAGGACTCAGAGAAGTGATGTCAACTTCTCTCCCCATCACCTGCTCTAGAGAACAAATGAGAGCACCATTTGCTTAAGCGGGAAGAACAGGCTGGGAGGTATCAAAGGGCAAGAGAGACTCAGTTCAGAGGACATGGTGGGTTTGACGCATCTGTGGAGATGTCCAAATAGAGACCCCGAAAAGCAGTGGCACAGGCATGCGAAGTCACGCCAGCAACAAGATCTGGAGTAGTCAAGAAAATATCCACCTTGAGAGTGAAAGATGTTGCTCAGTTACTGGCGTGTTCATTTAGCATGCACAGGGCTCTGGGTTCCATCTCCAGCATCACAGAAAACGAGCTGTGGTGGTCCATGCCTCTGTAATCCCAGAACTCAGAAGGTGGAGGCAAGAGGACCAGAGTTTCAAGGTCATCAGAGGCTACATAGTGTGTCTGAGGCCATACTGGGCTACAGTGAGACCCTGTTTCAATAAAGGAAAAGATTCACTTTGAAACTGGGGAAAGTTACTCAGGGAGAGGGTCTGGGGAGTGGAAATCTTGTCCAGAACCAGAAAGTTAAGCAGTTCTGGCTAAAGAAAATAGTCAAAAGAAAGTGGTCCCTGCCAAAGCCAAGGAGTTGTGCAAGTTGAAAGGAGGCTGCTGGGGCCTCACAGTGTAAAGGTGTGGGGACAGAGCCACAGGATGTGACTGAGTGAGGAGAGGCAGAGGTAGAGTGTAGGGGAAGTGATATGCTCACGGGAGACCATGGGATCAGCAAGGAAGAGGAAGCAGAGTCAGGAGGGTAGAGGGAGCCAGCTCGGCTTCGGAAGGGCAGGGCACACCCTCCACCAGCCCTTAGGAAGGCAGAGGAAGATGGGCCAACCAGCAGAAGACATCAGCTGGGGGGCACGGTTGAGGAAGATGGAATCTGGATGCAAAAGTGACCTCAGAAACTGGAAACAGACTTCCCAGTGTGCCTGCGGGAGTGTGTCACACTGGCTCCACACCCAGCTGTGGGGGGGGTGTCAGAGAATAGCCGGGTGGCCTGGTGAACACAAGTGTGTTCTTTTGGTTCTCTCTCTCTCTCCTTCTCTCCTTTCTCTCTTAACTTTCTCTTATGTTGCTAAAATCATACTGAATTTTAGATTCTGCTCTTATCAGAGTAGAGAAAACATTCCTTCACATTCCGAAACCCTTGGCAAGCCTGTTTTCATAACTGAAAATAATCCCCAAGAGAGGGTGCTCCACGGCCATTCACCTTTCCCTCTACTGTATACTTAAACACTTCCTGAAGGTGCTAAACACATACGATTCCAACATTTAGGAGCTGAAGGACCAAGAGTTTGAGGCAGGGGCTGGAGAGATGGCTCACACTTGTTGCTCGTGACCCAGGTTCAGTTTCCTGTACACGCTTGGTGACTCACAGCTATCTGTAACTCTAGGCCCAAGGGATCCAATACCCACTTCTGACCTCCTGGGCATCAGGCACAAATATGGTGAAGGTACAGACAAGCAGGCAAACTCTCATACCTATGTAATAAAATAAATACCCATCACACACACAAAATCTCAAGGCATCACAGTGAATTCTAGGTCAGCCTTGACTACGGAGCAAAATCCTCCCTTGAAAAAGCCAGGACTGGGAACATATCATTATAGGATGCTTTCCTGGCATGCTAAGGTCCTGGGTTCAATTTTCTGCACAAGAAAGAACAAAAGTCATTCCTGGGGATGAGGGTTGTGTTCTGAAAGGGGCTGAGCAAGGTCTAGCGGAGGAGAAAGGTGAAGGGGCTGCAAGGGATCCGACGGTGGCATCTCTTAAGGGGTTGTGACCCAGCAAGGGGCAGTTGTTTGATGACATAACTGAATCTTCCAGACATGAGGCCAGGGCAGGTAAACCTCATTGGTCAGAGTGCTTGGTGCTTAGGTGTTAGATGTGGGAGGAAAGGGGGAACTACAAAAGGCAATGGGTGAACTCAGGAGGCAGAGGCAGGAGGATCTTTGCGAGTTCGAGGTCAGCCTGGTCTACAGAGGGAGTTCCAGGACAGCCAGGGCTACATAGCGAGATCCTGTCTCAAAAAAACAAAACTGAAAAAGAGAAAGAAGCAGAGTGAAGGGAGGAGGAAGCGCCAGGCCTGTGACCCTGCGCTGTTTATAGCTCAAACACCCATTGCAACAGCCGTGTTTGAGGTGACAACAGGGTCCTTCACTTTCCTGTTTTCCCTATAATACAGGTCCCTAGGCACGTCACACTTCCTGGAAGGATCGCTGCCCCAGGTCACCTGGCCTTGAGGCCCAGTCACCTGATGGCCATCAGGACAGTCTTCTGTGTGCCCACTGTGTGCCAGACACTGTGTGGGCTTCCTGTGAGACCTTGTCAAATGTCCCCAGGTCAAATGTCCCCCAGGCCAAAGAGGAAAGTCCTTTTCCCACCTGGGAAGGAATCACCTACAGTGTGGGGTGATTCGTGGGGAACCCTCAGTACAGCCCTTTCTTGTGTCAATTGCATGTCACAGATTCTAACCTCGAATGAGAGGACTGACCTCCATGGTGGGCATCAGGCAACCAGTGGTATTTAGGAACCAGTGAGAAGTAGGTTGGAGACACAAAATCTGGTATCTCCTCCCCCCCCCCCTTTCAGCTGATGGCGATAGAGCTTGGGACCCACAGGGTCAACAAGGTCTTGTTAGTGTGTTTGCGGGATTTGAGTTTCTGATGTAGGGTAATCATTGGCACCTTCTCAGTTGGAACTGGTCTGGCATGGGGCCAGGGCCTGCCGCCTCGGGCCAGGTATAAGAAGCAGGGAGAAGGGCTGGAGCCAGGGTCAGGCAGAGACACCAGCCACACAGAGAAGACAGGAGTTGGGACCAGAGTCACCGTGTCCAGACAGCGAGATAGACAGGTCATTCTGGGTGTGGCCTTCTCTTTGAGGAATCAGGGAGACCAGCGGAGGGTCGTCAGGAATTGTTGGGGTAAGTACCTTCAGTCACCGTCTTCCCCAGTTCCCAGGTTTCCCTTCCCCCACTACGCCTCACATTATTTGACTGAGGATCCCAAGTGGAGGCCAAGTGGCCTCGTGTCAGGGAGTGGACACTGGATCTCTCTGAGAGGCAGGTGTAATAAATACCGGCATTTATCCAGCTGCATCGAACATCAGGTGCTATGGGTTCCCACACAGCACTGAGCACAGAAGAGGGAGGATGGAGGCTCAGCATCCTGATCCTCGGGCATCAGGATGGATGCTCACGAGATAGATGCTAGTGCTTACAGATGAGGAGTGTGTGGGGAAACCTGCCCAAGGTTGCTTAACCGAATAAGGGATAAATCTCTCTCTTCCTCTCCCTTCCTCCCTCTTCCTCTCCCTTGCCCCTCATCCTCAATCTCTTCTCTCCCTCTCCCCATTTTCCCAGGTCCTTGTGCACACTAGGAGTAAGCTACCCTGGAGGGGAGGGACCTGTGTTGGGTTGAGAGTGGAGGTATATGGGGCGGGGAGTTGTGACTCACCACTACCCCTGAGCTATAGTCTGTGTTCTTTTTCTCCCTCTCCCTTCCATTCCTTTCCCTTCCTTTATTTCCTTTTCTCCTCCCTCTCCTTTCTTCCTTCCTTCCTCCCTTCCTCCCTCCCTCCCTTTCCCTTTCTTTCTCTTTATCCTAGAAATTGGATTCAGGGCCTCATGCAGGCTAGACAGCACCTACTGCTGAGCCACACCCTTGGGAAAACCATGTCCTTCAAAGGCTGGCTCTTTTGCCCCAGCATGCCCCTTCAGGCTTTTGCTCCTTGGCTTTGAGAGTACATGAATTGCTGGCTGTCAGTGCTGAAAAGCCTTCTGAGGATTCCAGTCCAGCGAGTTAAGTGTTATATAGCGGGGCAGTGAGGTGGCTCGGTGGGTGAACATGCTTACCATGCAGGCCTGATGACCCGAGTTCAATTCTTTAACTCACGTAAAGGTGGAAGGCAGGAGGCGACTTCTGATGGTTTCCCTCTGGCCTCCATCATGTGCCTTGGTTAGTTCAGACCCACAGACACACATTTTTTTTTTCAAGACAGGGTCTCATTGTGTAGCCCTGGCTGACCTGAAACTATATGAAGACCATGCTGGCCTTGAACTCACAGAGCTCTATCTGCCTCTGCCTCCCAAGTGCTGGCATTAAATGTGTGCACCACTACTCCTGGCTTAATAATTTTTAAATATTACATACTGGGAAATTGAGGCTTGGGGTGCAAATGATTTTATTCTCAGCCACTCATGAAATCAGGGGTCCTGGATCCCTAGTCTGGACCGTGGGTATCCTACAAAAGAATCAGTGTGTCTAGGCTAGACAGTTAGAGAAGAAATTGAAGTGACCAGAATTCACAACTGGAATTTACGTGTACGACTCCTGGGTGGTTGATGCTAACTGCCCATGAGGCCTTGAATGTTGAGTGGCTCACAGACCCACCCAGTGGCCACTTGATCTGGGGCTCACAGGTGAGAGGGAGCAAAGGGCAGCTGAGTAGGCATGGAGCCAGTGGGGAGTGCCCAGGCACCTCCTCATCGCTGGCTTTGCCGTGCAGCATTTCCTCTCTCAGGGCCAAGGACCGTCCCTGTCCTGGGCTGTGACAGGAGAATGAAAAGCCGAAGATGGCGGTACACTCAGCTGGTAAGGGCTCAGCTCAGCTGAGGGTTCACTTGGGAAGGGGGTGGAATCTCCAAGCAGGGAGGGGCACGGGCTAGGGTGAAGGGGGTGTGTGTGTGCTTGCGCGTGCGGGCACGCGTGTGTGTTTACTTCCCTCAAGTCCTTCCCAGCTGCCTGGGGCTTTAAAACAGGGCTGATTTAGGACCTGGAGTAACCCTAAGGTCCTGAAACACCCCCCAAAGGGAATAGACCTTTGTTGTTCCTTTGGGGAGACTATTCCATAGTGGGGATCTCTGCCGGTCTGAACCTGAGTGGGTAGGGAGGGGGCATACTGGGTATTCCTTCCCGGATGGGTGACGCCTCCTATGATGAACTTTATGTTACTGTGTACAGGCCTGCTCACATGTGTGAGCACACACACTCAAACACACCATGGTAAAGTCTGGAAGCTCAGTTAAGTGAATGAGAACGACTACACTAGCATCTGTGCCCACTGATACCCACATGTGTGTATATAACCCCAGCTCACCTCAAAGCTCACTGGCAGTCAACACGCCAAGTTGCCCACACACATACCTCTATTTCAAGCAACATACAACTCCTGTGGGAGAGCACACACTCTGCGGGGAGCCAAGAGACTGCACACATCTCTTCACTGACTGAAAGTGAACCCCAGAGCTTCCCCGTACGATATAGAAGTCAGTGGTACCTCTTCAGGGTACAGGGAGAATTCAGAGAGACCCCTCACAGCAGGCTCATCACACAGGCCTGGGCACAGAGTTCCGGACCTTGGTGCCAGCGTCTGCCCTTCTTGTGATCGATTGTTTCAGCCACTACTTCACATCCAAACACACATAGCTGCAGCAGACCAGATTCCTACCTGCCCTTCTGCCCTCTTCCAGGCTTAGTTTGGAGCCTGGTGCGAGAGTAAACTGGCAACAGATGGTGGTGCCCATCTGAGTGGCACTGTGAGGACCTTTGCCCACCCCTTCCTTCCTTAGCAGCAGTCAGTGAGGAGGAAGCAGGTTGGAGGCAGTAACAGAGTCTTGCTTGTGGCGGGTGCTTCCCTGCTCTGCTAGGCTGGGCTGGCAGGAGCCGCAGGGGCCAAGGCAGCCCTGCTCTTGAGCCCAGGGTCTGGTGACAGCTGGTACCTCCGTGTCCTTCTATCTAAGCTTCTTTATATCTTTACAGCCCACCCAGGTGGAGGACACCCTGTCTGGGGAGGAGGGCGAGGAGGAGGAGGAGGAAGAAAAGAAAGAGGAGGAGGCAGTCCCAGCCCCGGCCCCTCAGGACCCTGTGGAGCCTCAGCTGACAGAAGCCAGCCAGGTCCTGGGCGCCTCAGAGATTAGGCAGGTTCGGGCACTTTCTGTGTAGCAGGACTTCAGCCCTATCCTAGCCACACCCACGGGCGCTGGAGTCACAACTACAGTGTCCCCAGCTCCGGGTCACCTTGCTTTCTCCCTGGACTTCCTGTCCTCTCTAGTCACAACCAGTGCCACCCTTCTCACTGGGTAGAGCTGGGGAACCTAGCAGGGGTGACATGGATCCTGGGGACTAAAGCCAGAGCTGGGGTGGAGCAGACACATGATGGAGTACCAGGAGGACCAGTGACCAAGGCAAGTTCCCTGAGATCTGCCCTGGGTTGGAATCCTGGCTCTGCCATCAATTCTCCATCTCCCTGAACCTCAGTTTTCTCATCTATGAAATGGGAACAAAGGCTAGCTAATGGCTACGGGGCCTCTGGACAGAGTAAAAGGCTGAGAGGTGGGAGGAGGGAGGGAAGATGGAGGCTGTCCCTTTACTCAGCTCTAGCTCTGCCTCCAGCTCAGTCTCCACTTACCCCCAAGAGTCGCTGGCCGCCCCTGGAGTCTGGTCTTTTGCACATCAAAGGATGGCTTCAGTCTGCGGAGGCTGTACCGCCAGATGGAGGGTCACAGTGGACCAGTCCTGTTGGTGTTGAGAGACCAGGATGGGCAGGTGAGCTGGGTCAGGGCACGGGGGCTCCCATCCAGACCAGTGGGTACTGAGATGAGATGACAGATTCTATCACCTGTCAGGAACTGATGGTGGCACAGAGACCTGACCCACTTCAGGCCCTCATTTCCTCATCCGTGTATCTGAAGCCACTTCTGTGTGCCTGGTTAGGTGATGTGGAAGAGTGAGATCAAGCCAGAAATGATGCAGAATGCTTAGAGTTAATGGTCTAATTTCTTGTGTGGGGGTGGGGTGGGGAGGGTGTGAGGTGGGAGGGTAGATGAGGGGTATTGAACAACTAACCACTGAGGCCATGCAACACTGTATCCTTATGTTTGCGAGCACAAGACCATGGATGGGCTGCTTTCATTTATTCTGTCTCACTAAAACACAAACTGGTTCAGAACCCTATGTGTAGCCTAGGCTGACCTTGAACTCCAGAGCCTCCTGCCTCAGTCTCCTCAGTGCTGAGTACAGGCAGATGTCACCACCTCTGGATCTTGCAAAGGTCGAGCAGACGATCTACATCTAAATGATGGACGCATATTTTGAAAATATCCCCAGCTGATGGGGAAGAATGGATTGGAGGAAGCCAGAGGCTACATGCCAAAAGAGGAACTTGGATAGTTTCTGCCTGAAGTTCATGTGGCCACTCCAACAATAGAATTTCTGGCAGGTTCTCCATGTAGAAAGTGGGAGGGTCTGAGAGCTGGTTTCAAATGCTCCTCTACAGAAGGAACATACCAGAGCTGGAAGAGGTCTCAAGGGTCCCCACCTAGACAGGAGTCTGTCTGGGAAGACTTTGTGCTCGAGAGCCAAGAAACTTACCCTGTTCTGACAGAGCCTCTTCCGTGGTAGAGCACTATGTATTGTAAGAAGTTTCTCCTAGCACTAGGCTTAAAGCCTGCACCCCACGGCCCCCATGCCACACTGTGATGGTCCAAGAGCCGTCCCACAGAAGGAAGATGTCAACCAGACAAATAGCAGGCAGGTGAGAAGCAAGATGCAAAACTACAGCTACAAAACGTGTGGTTTTCTCTTTAAAGTCAGATGTGAGGCATATTCTTGGGATGATCGGGGACAAATGAAGATACAATGCCATAAATTGATAATACCGGAATTATAGTCCATTCTCTTAGGTGTGATAATGGCACTGGGGTTATAGAAGAGTCAGCCCCTTTCTTGGGAGCTGGTGCATTAGGAACGAAGGGTCATGGCATCACATCAAGTGGGCCTGAGAAACTAAAGCCAATATGTGAACTAGAGCAAATTCCGTTTGTTCAAAGTCAGAAGGAATCTGTACTTGTTTTGAACTTTAAAAAGTAGTTTTTTGGTGGTTCAAGGGTTTCCCCTTGTACCTTGCACAGACCAGGCAGACAGTACCAACAGAGCTACACCCAGCCCTTCACCCTTCTGTACAGTTGAGGCTGGTGCCGAAGACGAGAGGGAACAGTTTGTGTGGGGTGTCAGTGTATAGGAAAGCCTGCGCACCAGCACTGGGCAGGTGCCAGGAGGAAGCGACAGCAGTCAGTTCGGGGAGGAAGAAGGGGATTTGACTAAGGCTTATCTCATTTTCTTTCTGCTTGTGTATGATTGCCAGCTCTTCAAGAAGCATTGCTTATATGAAATAAGTACATTTGGGACTGAGGTGGTAATGGTTCAGTCAGGAAAGTATTTGCCATGCAATCATGAAGACCTGAGTTCAATTCCCAGCAGTCATGTAAAAAGCCAGGTGTGGCAGGATATGCTTGTAACCCCAGCACTAGGAGGCAGACGTAGAGGACCCTGGCACTTGCTGGACTGCCAGTCTCAATGGTCAATTCCAGATACAGTGAAAGCCTGTTTCAAAAATTAACGTGGAAGGCAACAGAGGAGGATGGTCCATATCGACCGTTGGCTTCCATATGCATGGGAACGGTCTGTGTGTGTGTACACCTATGCACACACATGAACATAGTCACATTCATACAACATGGACATTCTTTCTTAAAGGGTAAACTGGACATGGCACATGCCTGTAAAGGCTTTCATGGAGTTAAGTTCTAGGTCAGACTTGGTTACACAGCAGGACCCTGAAGAGGAAAAGATAGACAAACAGACAGACACACATGGCGGGGGGAACAAAGAGTCAGGATAACTCAGGGGAGGCCACCAGCAAGGATTCTTCCTGTGGAGTGTAGGAAAGAGGGCAGGCTGGTGGCCCTGGAGATGCCCTATCCCCAGCTTTCCACTCAGCTCCCCCTGGAGTCCTGGAGACTGGGGGTGCATTTCCAAGCCCCGTGAAGATGGCTGGTGGACACCCCGTTCCTTTCTTGCACTTTTCTCTGCTTTCCAGATGTTTGGTGCCTTCTCCTCCTCAGCTATCCGACTCAGCAAAAGCTTCTACGGTACTGGCGAGACCTTTCTCTTCTCCTTTGCCCCACAACTAAAGGTGAGGTTCCCACCTTCTGTCATGGAGGAAGGCTGACAGATCACAGCTCTGGGGAATCCTAGTGGCTCCCAGCTTCAGTCCCCGTGCGGGGTTGCCTCCTGTCCACTCCTCCACAGGGCAACGGTGGGCATGGAAGTGCTCTCAGCTGCCCATCAAGATCTCCAGGAGTCACTAGCTGAGGGAGGGAAGCTAGAGAGGACAAGAAGGGTTTGAGTGCAGGTAGGACTTGAGGTGTGGGAGGAGGAGGATGCATCTAGTGGCTTCTTGTGAGGTCTGCACACGAAGGCTGGAGGAGCGAGGAGGAGTCCCCTAGTCCCTGTGTGTGGGAAGGGGAGCCTCAGAGAGCATGCCAGTCTGGTGGTAGTGGAAGGAAGAGGCCATCTCTGTCTGTCCTTTTCTAAGAAGGGTAAGGCTCTCCCTTGGCCAGGCTTGTACCAGAGCAGCCAGTGTTCTCAGACCCAGCTCTTGGCAGGACCCATTCACAGAAAACAATGAGAAAAGGGTAGGACGGAGTGAAAATACCAAATGGACCACAGGATCTAGAGCGGGCCGGAGGCCAGCGAAGCCAGAGGGAATGAAGGGTGAGCAAAGGCGGAGCCATGGAGGAGGGGTCTCCTTGAGGTCAAACACTTGGAGCAGTGACAGCAGCTGAACAATGTGTAGGACAACAGGAAGGAGTGGGGAGAGGGAGAGGCCACTTGAAATGAAATGGAGGGGCTCCTTGCCCTCCATGTTAGGGACAAGTGCCAGATGTGACCATGAAGACGGCAGCTGGAGACTGCAACTGAGGAGGGACAGGGTGGAGGAGACAGATGGATGGACGGACCATGATGTTCACTAGGGAACTGGGAAAGAATGAGAAGAGTGATTCAGTGCTCAGGTCCCCATATAATCAGTGACAGGCACAGGTGTCTGGAACCTCTGAGGGCACAAGCCGCTGGAGAGCTGGGGCTTTTGGAGGTGGGAGACAGAGTCCTAAGCTTCTTCCATATAAACATTTTCTGTCATTGGGCTGCTGACTGACTGAAGCTGCCGAGTGTTGCGTGACAGGCAGTGCACACAACCTTTACCATAAATAGACATCAGAGTAACTCACGGGTCTGCATTTACCACCTCACAAAATGGCACGTTCAGTCATAGAAAAAAAAAATCCACAGGTGATTGGGTGGTGGTGCACACCTTTATCCCAGAACTCAGGAGATAGTTCTGATGGATCTATCCGTGATCCATCAGATGGATCTCCGTGAGTTCAAGGCCAGTGTGGTCTACAGTGTGAGTTCCAGAATAGTCAGGGTTACATGGAGAAACACTGTTGGGGGAACAAATCTCACATGGGTACATTGTTATTGTTGTCCCATCATACAGATGAGGGAGCCGAGGCACAGAGAGGTTGAGTAACCCACCTAACTCAGTCTGTGGTGAAGGGAGATGTGGACCCCAGATCCAGCGGGTGAATTCAGGCTGGGCACTCTGGAGACAGAGGATGGGGGTACACATGTAGGAACCACAGAGGTGGACAGGGTTAGAGTGTGAGGCAGATCATGTATTTGCTTAGTGTGTCCTTGAGAACTGTTTGTTCACACTTTGTTTGATAGATGGATAACTAGCTCTGGATGTTTTGTTTGCTATTAGAGGTCTCCCCTCCAGTGCACAGACACCCACAAATGCACTCTGCCACACAGTCACCAAGATGGTCACAGGGGTGTGGATGGCCCTGCTAGTGACAAAAAGCATGTTCTCTCTTGCTCAGCCTCCATCAACTGTAGCCACCTCCCCTTCTTGGGAGAGAAGCAAAGGGGTCAGTAATGCCGGGTCACCAAGACTGCAGGCTGATCCTCACCACCTTCCTGTGGCACGTACTAGAACCCCAAATCTCCAATTATTCTTCTTGTGCCAACGGCTCCTGTTGGAGCCTCCTGCTAGTTCTGTCATCAGAGCTGGGGATTCAGGTGTCCTTGATGACTACCCTTGCTTCCTCCGTGGCTTTTCTCGGGCCATCCACGTACTGGTGGCTCTTCCCCGACATCTTTCTAATATTGGTTATTTATTTTTCCTAGCACTTTCCCCCAGCAGTGCTGGCCTAAGCTGGAAGGCAAACATACAGGCCCACCCTGTCTCGGGGCCTTTGCATGTGCTACTCTACTCAGCACAGCCTCCCACCGAATCATCAGGACCACCCGACTGTGGTCTTCACAGGGACTGACTACTTTAAATGACCATTCCCCAAAGACTTCCTCGTCCCTCTGCACAGTGCTTCTCTCGCTAGTGTTTCTAACACACCACTTCTCTTATTTATCTGTCTCCTCCTGAAATGTCGTATGAGGTAGAAGCTTTGTTCATTATGTCCGCTGTTCTACCCAGGGCCTAACTGTGCCTGCTGTGTAAGTGCTGCAATCATTGTTTTCAAGGGATCACCGTCACCCCAGCCTGGAAGAATCCCATACATTGAAAAACTTAGTCCTTGACTGTGCCTGGCCTGGTGCCCTTCACGACTTCCCAGTGCTTGTACTGCTGTTCCAGCAACACAACCAACTTGGTCTTCGTTTCTTCTGTAGCAATGCTTATCTTGCTCTTTTGAATTAGGACGCGTCCTTGGAGAAAGCTGAGGAAGTAGCGAGTGTTGGGAGCCTGTCTTCTCTGGTCACTCGTTCACTTTATCTCATTCCTTCCCAGCTGGGTCCCTTATCTTTATATTCTTCGGGGACTTTAGGGGTTGCTCCTAGCATTTGAGGCTTCTAATTACAGGAAGCAACATACTATATTTTGGGGGTCCTTTAGAAGCCTTTTTATTGCCTAATTTGGCTCTTGAATATTCACTCGTTTATTTCAGGAGTTTAGCAGGGCAACTGGGCAGTTCTCCCGGAGTTTATATTGTAGAGGGGTGGATAGGGGTGAGACTTCTACAGGAATGGAGCTGTCTCAGAGGGGGTAGATGCCAAGGAAAGTCAAACAGGGGCTCTCTGTCATGACATTCAGACTGCAGGGCACGAATTGACCCTTGAGGACAGGGTTGTGGGGAGCTGTGGCAGAGGGGTCTGAGAGTAGGAAGGCTCTAAGGCAGGAGCAACTTCACACTCCGGTGAACAGAAAGGTCAGTGTGGTTCAGGTGTGATCTACAAGAGAAGAGGGTACGGAGAAAAGAAAAGGGATGGGAGCAGGTGCACTCTGGCTGGAGAACTGGTTCTCTTTCCTTCACTGTGGAGAGCATCAGAAGGCTTTAGGTAGAAGACTCACAGTGTGATTTAGGTTTGGGATGGGCCATTCAGGTCACTATGGAGAGGACTGGGGGCAGTATATAGTGGGAGACAAGACCAACAGAAAGCTTGGACAGAGAAGTCACAGGATGTCACGGAGAGTCTGACCGACCTGCAGGTCATGGGGTAGGTTGGCTGGGAGGCAGTTCCACCCCAGATCCAGGCCTGGCCTTTCTTTTCCTCTTTCCATCTTTTAAAGCAGGAAGCCTCAAAAAAAAAATTTTTTTTTCTAGCATGAAGGGGCTACAAGGATGTAGAGGGTTCAAGACAGAGGGCATAAGGAAACTAAACTTTTAAGGCCTGGGAGCCCAGTCCTTCCTGGTAATCACTGGGCCCAGAAGCTCCCGGTTCCTGCACAACACTGCCACCACGTGGCTTAGAGTCAGATTGCAAGGACAGCACTCAAAAATGACCTTCCTTTCTTTTTCACCCAGGTCTTTAAGTGGACAGGAAGTAACTCTTTCTTCGTGAAAGGAGACCTGGACTCACTGATGATGGGCAGTGGAAGGTGTGTGTCTCTGTCACCCTACGTTTTGGGGCGCCCTGTTTTCCTCTCCTAAGGATGCTGCGGGTGGAGCAAACAGGCTGAGTCTTTCAGGCCAACTTCAGTGCTCTATAACGTCAGGCCCTCGGCCCATCCCCAGTGGCCAACATGCAACTAACCCTCCTCAAGTGAGGAGCGTGGACCATCTGGTTAGTGCCATCTTAGCCTGAACCGACTCTGGGATTGTCCACATGGATGAAGTTATAGTCATGAGATGGGAAAGCCCCAGATTTCTGAGTCCCGTGGGACATGGCTCATTAGAAGACGTGCCTCTAGCTAAGAATACAGCCTGTATGTCTGTGGACGGGAGCGGGAGCGAGTTAGGAACAGAAACAGAGGGTAGCTTCCCCTTGCTGTGACCTTCACACTGACGCACACTAAGGTGTACCTGGATTAAAGTATTCCTCAGTTAGCACAGCTCCATGGAGAGGCTGGGGGGCACACCAGCCATTGTTGGTTCCTAATCTGCTTCCTGCCTCCAGCCTAGGTTTTCTGTCAAACTTGAGGATTAGAATGCTCCAAATTGGAGTTGAGCTGATGACTGCACTACTGTCTATAGTTATTAAAATAATGGATTGTTTAAAAAATGCTCTGGATGCAAGAGCACAACATGAGGCGACCCCACCCTGGATAAACTTGTATAGGGATGAGAACAGCTGGTAATGTGGCTAAGGCTGACGATGGCAGTCAGTTTCATAGGCCTACCATAGGCTACACCTGTGCCCAGAGTTCCTTTTCTGGTGTGTGTGCGCATGTGCGTGTGACTGCAGAAGACATCAGGTGTGCTCCATGGTCCACCTTCACCATATCTTCAGAGATCTCCCACTGATTGGCTAGACTGGCTGGCCAGAACCTCTGGGGTCCATCTGTCTTTGTTCTCCCTGTACTGGGGCTGCGGGTGGAATGTGACCTGCCTAGCTTTTTACGTTGGTGCTGGAGGCAGGTCTTCATGCTTATATAGCAGACAATGTACCAACTGAGCCATCTCTACGGCCCATTTCCTCTTCTCTTTAGTGGCCAGTTTGGGCTGTGGCTGGATGGAGACTTGTACCGTGGGGGAAGTTACCCCTGTGCCACCTTCAACAATGAAGTGCTGGCCCGGCAGGAGCAATTTTGCATCAAGGAGCTGGAGGCCTGGGTTCTGAGCTGACACCTCCCAGGATCAGAGATGCTCAGGTCACTTTTGGATGCTGCCCAGGTCTTCCTCACACAGGACAGCCATTCTGCCTGACTCAGGATGGCGAAGAATCCTCATGTGGACTGTGGCTCTCAGCCAGCCTCCTTATGGCCCGAAAACCCAGGGCAGGAACAGAGGCAGCCACTGTTCTCCAGCAGAGCTGACTGTGAAGGTGTGAAAGACACTCTTGCTGAAGAAGCAGGACATCTTTCTTTATAGGATTTGACAATTCCTAGAGAACTCAGAAGACCAAAAAACAAACAAAAAAAACCCATACAAAACAACAACAAAACCCTGCACTGCCACATTTCCATATCCTTCCAAACAAGTCAGGTGTGTACACACGTGCACACACACACACACGTGCACACACACACACACACACACACACACACACACTTCTATTTTGTATGTTTTAGAGATTACTTTTACTTGAAGAATGCTGTCAAGCCTCAGAAACCTGGGCTCAGCTACTGGAAACTAATAAAGCGTAGAAGTATCCATCATTTTACTCCTTGCCTTGCTGTCTCTTCTAGAAGCCAATGGGTGGGGTTGGATGCCACCAATGGGTCAGGTGCCCACACATCTGTTACTTGATTTCATGGGAGAGAGAGAGAAGCTACAAATGAACAATATGTATATCTGAGCAAAGAAGCTAAACCTTTGCAGACCCCAGGGGCTCGAGGGAAGAAAGAGGTCATTTTCAGGCACAAGAGCCTTGTGAACTATGGTTCCACCATCCAGTCCCATGCAGGGACACCTCCTGCTGGAAGGGAGCAAACTATATCTTGCTCTTATTTTGTGAGGAAAACCAAGTACTTGGGCCTTTGTCAATACTGCTGTCTAGCAGACCCAGCACAGTGGTATGGCACCATGAAGTGTCTTCACGGGTCCTCTAGAAAACACATTCCTTTGTGCAGGACGCCAGACCAGGCACACAGGTGTAAGGAGACGGTAGTTAAGGAGCATGCCTCTAGTTTCAAGATAGAAACACACTCACGACAACTTCACTGCAGCGGTTTCCCTCACCCAGCTGAAGTCACCATCACTCAACCTGTGGTCCTATTTACAGCAAGCGGACAGTTCAGTAACTTAGAGGCCAAGCCGTTAAAAATCTCCATTTTTATGCAGTCTTGAAAACAGGTACTCAACAATGAAAACAGCTTCAAAGGCACAAACTATAGTTGTCTTGTGCATAAAAGGGGTGTGTTGTTTCCCGGATATCACAGTACAAAATTAGGTACAAAATGCCAGAATAAACCACAAGGATTTAAAAACAAGACTGGCAAAAATAAAGCAATAGTAGCAGAAAAATATACCATTCTTAACATCGAGTTTGGGCACGTGGAGGTAGAACCTCTGGCCATCTCCCTGAATGTCAGAGAGGCATGTGGCTAGCAGGGGCGAGCTAGCACCTCCCTTGTGCGTTTATGAGCTCACAGAGGCAGACACACCAAATACTCTTTCACCTATGAGTGAACAAAATAGAACCTGGCTACCCAGAGGGGAGAGGTGGCATAGCAAGCCGTCGGTGTATTCAAGCCGCCCGCTGCCAGGGCTGCCTCCTCACTTAGCGGAGTATCATGACTAAGATGTCATCTGCAGCTCCTGCCTCGGTCCCTACTGCCCACATCTCCAGCACTTCTGGTTACTACCCCTTTCGGTTCCAACTAGACTTGGTTCTTAGTGAAGCTGTGCACAGCGCAGGTGAGGGGAGCAGCAAGGGTGACTGCGCAACCTCAATGGCTCTGCACTGCTAGGAACAGCAAGCTAGCTACATGGGGGATCCTGAGCCATCTAGACCATTAGGCTCACAAATACAGTCCGGAATATTCTGAAACCTGTAAACACAATGAAGCAGTGGCGGTGAAATTCCAAGTGAGAGCAGTCAGGACGGTGTCTGTGGCGTTCTCTGAACAGCTGAGCAGTCCAACTCAGAAGAGGTGGAAGAAAGTTTGTCCCCAGCTGGCTGTGGTGAGTTCTTTGGGGCTGGAGTGGTTTCAAGTACAAAGGAGTTGATCTTGTCTGGAACCACATCAGACTCAGGGAGCCATCTGGTGTGAGGTACCCTCCAACCCTAGCACCTCCTATAGCAGGCAGGGGGGTTAGACTTGGAGACAGGACGGAGCGGCAGATCAGTGATAGAGGACTTGCCTGGCATGCTCAGTTCCTCTCAACAAAGCTGTCCGATGCTCTCTGCGCCTAGCACTTGGCAGGGATGGAAGGGGATGGTGGTTTTCTCTCCTGGGAGGAGCAGGGTGAGGGGCACCTCTCAGGGGGTCTAAGATTTTGTTTATTTCAACTTTGAATTCCAATTTGTGCCCTTGTCTCAATTTATACGTTAAAAACAAAAGGCAATCATTTGTCCTAAGAGTTCAAAATAGATGGGAGAGTTATCCTGAGAAAATAGGTAGCTAAAGGAGAAAAGCTTCAATAATGCTGAAAACACACAAGCTAATGCTTTTCATAGTAGGTATCTTAGTCATTGTTCTATTGCTGTCAAGAGACGCCATGACCAAGGCAACTCTTATAAAAGAAAGCAGCTAATGGGGGCTGCTTACAGTTTTAGAAGCTCAGTCCACTATCATCACGGTGGGGAGCATGGCAGTAGCTGAGAGCTACATCTTGACCCACAGGCAGAGAGATTGGACCTGGCACGGGCTTTTGAAACCTCAAAGGCCACCCCCAGTGACACACCTCCTCCAACAAGGCCGCCCCTCTTGATCCTTCTAATCCTTTCAAACTGTTCTACTTCCTGGTGACTAAGCACTCAATTATATGAGACTATGGAGGCCGTTCTCATTCAGACCTCCACAGTAAGCATAGCAAACTTATGCTAACATTACCACTTTTCATTTTGAATAAAAATGACTTACCCTTCAGCATGTGCATACACTCAAAACACTAACTAAAAATCACTAGTGGACTCTGATTATATTTCCTAACTTAATTGTGGAGAGAGGAAGAGGTTTGCGTAAAGAACTGATTGCAGGCATTCACTTAAAACTGTAGTTGTGTTTTGGCTTTGGACGCTTCTTGGCGGTAACCTGGATAATCATTCTGCCATTTATGCGGAGTTATAAGTGGGGCCATGATGTCACCATCCTATTAAAGAGAGAGAGGAAATCAGGGCACAGAGAAAAGCCAGTTCCCATCACTGTATTTTGGGGTGCACCTCAGGCACACATAACCTTGCCCTGCACATAGATTGCTAGAGAAATCCAAAGTTGTATGTACTCTGTGAGAATACCACAGCCCTAAGCAAATAAAGGTCTTCACGGGAGAATGGCTGAGACGCAGCACACTGCTGCCCAGAATCAGCAGAGTTCGCACACCTACATGGGACTCTTGGAGAAACAGAAGCTACACTGGATTCTTGCTTCTCTTTTCTCCACTCTCCAATAAAACAAATGACCCAGGTCTGCAAACAGGGAAGAACAAATAGGGTAATGGAGGATGGGGACAAATGACAACTGGGACACTGGGACCATGACTACTTGCTGAATTTGAATCTTTCCCTTTAAATAAACCTCTTAACTCTGGCCCTGACAACATATGCTCCAGTCAAATGCACCACCTTTCCACCAAGGGGGAGGCTGCCCCTATTTCCATCACACTTTCTTCTGCTTCCAACTCTAGCAAATATTAAAAATGCGCCTTTAAAAGATTTCACTTGCTGGGAGGTGGTGACACACACCTTTAATCCCAGCACTCAGGAGGCAGGTGGATCTCTGTGAGTTCGAGGCCAGCCTGGTCTACAAGAGCTACTAGTTTCAGGTCAGGCACCAAAGCTACAGAGAAACCCTGTCTTGAAAAACAAACAAAAAACAAACAAAAACAAAAACAAAAACAAAACAAAGAAAAAGATTTCATTCAATGGCTCCAGGCTGCCCCTTGTACATAGGATGGCAGAAAATACCTCACGTTCAACAATGCTCCTGAAAGGCCTCGTGTTCTCTACGACCTTTCAGCTATCTCCATGTTGCTTCTGTTTCAACGCCTCCCTAACATCAGCCTCTGCTGCCAGCACTGAAAGAGTCCCTGAGTTTTCTCCTCCTTTGGGGTTGACATGCAAGCTTTGCTGAGGCAGGCTTTTCTCATCTAACCAAACAACCAATATGCTACACAACTGCTGTTTATGTATTTGTGTTTGTGGTCCACACCTAGAGACCCAGAGTACTAAGGAACTATGTCTGTCTTAGGGACTGCTTCATCCTGGTACCGAACATAGGGCCTGACAAGAAACAAACCAAGCAAACTCATCTGACGAGTTAATATACCTACGTTTAAGGTACTTAACACATATGGTGGTGTTATTTCCTGTTTCCTTAAAAAAAAAAGTGTGTGTGGTATGCGTATATGTGTGTGGTACATGTGTATGTGTGTTATCTGTAATATATGTGTATCATGTATATGTATCATGTATATACATGCATGGTGTGTGTATGCATGTGTATTGTGTGTTTGCAGGTGATCTTGACTATGAGGCACATGTGGAAGCCAGAGGGTAACACTGGTGCCTTCTTCAATCACTTCTCCACCCTCTTTCCCCCCACATGTTTTATTTTATGTGTATGCACGCATATCTATGCACTACTTGCATATCTGGTACCCACGGAGACCAGAAGAGGGCATCAGATCTTCTGGAACTGGAGTTACAGCTGGTTGTCAGCCGCCGTGTGCGTGCTGGGAATTGAGCCCAGGTCTTCTGGAAGAGTAGCCAGTGATCTTAACTGCTGAGCCATCTCTCCAGCCCCATATTGCTACAATTTAAATGAGAACCTCTCCGTGATTAAAAGGATCACTTTTGGATTTTCCTTAAAAATCAAAAACTATGCCAGGTCCCTATGCAGCTGTGTATCTGTACTTCCCAAACTTGGGAGGTGAAGGAGGAGGATCAGGAATTCGAGGTCATTCTCAGCCATATAGCAAATCTGAGGTCAACCTGAACTACATAGGACCTGTCTCACCCCAGCTCCCAGATTCCTTTCTTTTTTAATGTTCAAGGGCATGAATAGAGTCACTGACCTGCGGTTTGGTGAAGTCTCTGTCCGCACACCACTGAATGAAATGCTGCCGAGCAGCATGCAGGCTCTTTCTGTCTTTCTTCTTACAGTACACTCGAATGAGCTGCTCTGCAAATTTCTGTGGCAGAAACTGTGACACCTTTTTTACAAAAAAAAAAAAAAAAAAAATCTTGTTTGAGTTCACACTTCCAAAACCAGCTGCCTCCCAGGGTCTGGGGTATTTTTAATGTTGAGTTAAAAGCACTGCATTCAAACAGACTCCTGGACCTGGAGGGACGGGGGAGGAACTTGAACTACCCACAGGGCAGGAAACCCTGACTGCTCTTAGGGATGGAGAGGGAAGAGGAGAGGGAGTGGGGGGAGTGGGAGGGTGTTGGGAGAAGGGGCGGAAATGGAAACTTTTATATTTTAATAAACTTTGAGAAAAAAAAAAGCGCTGCATTGATTTTCGATTTTATCCCAATTATCATCCAAAGGGGAAATGATTATTTCCTGCAAAGTGCCTCAGAATTTTACGCTAATTACTAAAAGATGGACAGGACATAACTGTGCAGTGAACACAGACTCCCATCTAAGATGTGCAGATAGGCACAGTGAGCTTGTACCACCTCAGCCGCTTGGCCCGCGAGACTTTGTAACCAGAGCTTCAAACCAAACACTGCACCGAGCTCCAGCTCTAGCTGTTTCTACTGTTTCTACCTCGCCTTCTCATTAGGTTGCACGGGCTGTCCCTGAACTCACTTCCTCGTATTGGCAGGTCTTGAACCTGTGATCCTGTAGTTTCAGGCTTTTGGGACTAAAGGCCTGTACCACTACATCCAGATATTCATGTATCTATTTATATCTATTTCCTTACTTTCTTTTTTTTTGAGAAAGGATCTCACTATAGTTACCCTGGGTGGCCTGGAACTCACTATATAGACCAGGCTGCCTCAGACTCAAAGATTCACCTGATTCTGCCTCTGCCTCTGGAGTGCTGGAATTAAAGGTGTGTGCCACTGTGCCCAGCGAGATATAGATATTTTAAATTGTTGTTTTGCTTTATTTTGAGACAGTCTCATGTACCCCAGGCTGGCCTTTAATTCCTGGTTTGTCTGCATCTCCTATGCTTCCCAAATGTGGGACTACAAGTGTGCACTAGCACACCTGGCTTATGCTTTACTTTAAAAAACATTAGATTTATTAACTTCATTCCATATGTGTGTATGTTTTATCTGCTTGTATGCATACACACTATGTACATGCTAGGAATCACACTGGTGTCCTCTGGAAAGCTACAAGTGCTCTTAATCACTGAACCAACTCTCTAGCCCCGCCTTCTTTTTTTTTTTTAAGCTGGAAATAGATTTTTCTCTCATACAATATATCCTGACCAGTTTCCCCTCCCTCCAGTCTTCCCAGCTCCCCCAACCTCCCCATTCTCCTGGATCCACTCCCCCTCCATCTCCCTCCAGAAAAGAGCAGGCCTCAAAGAGACAACAACTAAACACGACAAAACAAAACACAATAAAAAAGGCAAAAGCCCTCACACCAGAGCTGGACAAGGCCACCCAACAGGAGGAAGAAGGTCCCAAGAGCAGGAGAGTCAGACACACCCCCACTCAAGCTGACAGCCATGACTGGCATGCAGAGGACCTCCTGCACCCCCCTTCAGGCCCCGGGGCGGCTGCGTCAGTCTCTGTGAGTTCATACGCTTCCTGCTTAGTTGATGCAGTGGGCTGTGCCTTCTCTTTTCTTTAATAGCAGACACTGACTAGCAAGTAAAATATAAATTGGCCTTAATACTTGCCAAATATACACCTTAGAGTAGAATTCTCTACTTAGCCAGTTACCTGTTCTTTAGAGATCCTGACTGCTTGCTTTGTGTTATTTTTACTATAGAAGAGAACATGGTCAATTGGATTCTTGTCTTCCATTCCATAATCCACGTTGATAACCTTAATAAAACAATAGATAAATAAGCAATCACATAACAACCACAAGAACTGAACTCAAGATTATAAGGACACCACAAGAACTCAACGGAGCCCTCCGGGTGTTCAGAAGTAGGAATAGTAGGAAGTTGTAACATCTGGAATAGAAATAACTCTAGGACATGACCACCTTTGGGTGGAGGGGAAAGTATCTATGAGTATTTAACTATAGGGTATAAAGGTAATATTTACTATACAACAGACAGTGGTAGACAGTAAGCAACTTTTGTCTATGTATGGGCATGTACAAGAGGTCAGAGGTCAACGTTGGCTGTCATTCCTCAGGTGCCATGCACTTCCCTCCCCATCCCCTACCCCGAGACAGGGTCTCACAGACCTGGAGCTCACCAAGGCACTTAGGCTGCAGGCCAATGGGCCCTAGGGATCCAGTTGTCTTTGCCTCCCTAGCTCTGGCCTGACAAGTGTATATCACCGTGTGTGTGTGTGTGTGTGTGTGTGTGTGTCTTAAAAAGTGAGTACGGCAGCTAAAACTCAGGTCCTCATGCCAGTATGGCTAGTGGAAGTATGTGACACACTTCCTGGGAACAGCAACTTTCTAAGAGAATAGGAATTTATCAGGGAAGAAAGGAAAGATTCCCAGGCAATGAAAACTGCTCTGAAGCAAAGGTCTGACACTGCCTGATGCTTTAGCCACACTGAAATCCCTGACAATCTTGGTGAGAATTTTGCTTTCCAGCTGTGTGCACATGTGCACGTGCTGGAGATTGAACTCAGGGCCTAGAGAATGATAGGCAAGTGCTCTACCACTAAGTTAAATTCCCGGCTCTAAATGGTGTAACATTTTAAATTTCAGGTTTCAGATTTTGGATAAGGGAGAATTTAACTTTTAACCTATACCTGGAGAGAAACTTAAGAATTCAGAAGGTCTTTCTAGGAGTTTGCCCCTGAAGGAGAGGAAAGGGAGCAAAATGAGTATAGTGTGGTGATGTCCTTCATAGGGGAGACTATCTAACTGCTGCTAGCAGGCAAGTCTGTGGGCGGAAGGACAGATCTACAGAAGAGAGGAATATACACAGTGGGCTCCAGAGCTGCGGTGCCAAGCGTGGTGGTCACTAGCCAAGTGGTTTATTTTTTAATTTTTATTTATTAGGAAATTACCACTGTACCATCCAGTTCAGGTGACCCTCCTGACTACCGCAGTCTCTCTCGCATGTAGTCGATACTATATTAACCATCACATCCAGCAATAACTTAAAATTTAAATTAATTAACATAGAATAAAAAAATCATTTCTTAGTCTTAGGAATCGCATTTAAAATGGCAGCACAGGGCCGGACAGGGGTGGCGCATGCCTTTAATCCCTGCACTCGGGAGGCAGAGGCAGGCAGATCTCTGTGAGTTCACAGCCAGCCCGGTCTACAAAAGCTAGTTCCAGGACAGGCTCCAAAGCTACACAGAGAAACCCTGTCTCAAAAAACCAAAAATAATAAAATAAAATAAAATGGCAGTACAGATATAGACCTTTTTGTGATTGCAGGAGGTTCCACTGGGTAGTATTGTTCTACACACAGTAGAAAGAGCACTCCTCCTGAATCTCTCTTGGTGTTCCCCCTCCCCCCAAGGTTTTCTCTGTGAAGCAGTCCTGGCTGTCCTGGACTCACTGTGTAGACCAGGCTGGCCTCAAACTCATAGAAATCCACCTGCCTCTGCCTCCCGAGACCTGAAATTAAAGGTGTGTGCCACCACCACCTAAACAAACTTCCTTAAAACAAACAAACAAACAAACAAACAAACAAACAAACAGGGTCTCACACTATATGAACAGGCTGGCCTCAAACTCACAGAGATCTGTCTGCCTCTGCCTCCCAAGTGCTGGGATTAAAGGCATGCATCACCACACCTGGCCTAGCTAAGTCTTTAATTAGGAGAAAGATATTTCTCTAACTAAGGGAAAATGAAAACAGCTACAGAGGGGAGAAAACTGAAGTTTGAGAGAGTACCTATGCAATGGCCTGTAAGTATCTTTTATTTTTATTATCTGAACACGGGGCCATGTTGGGCTATTCACTCCGGGTGAACACCTAAGATTGGTAAGTAGGGGTGAAGGGCTGAGTGGAGTAAAGATGGTTTGTTATGGAGTCTGGGAGAATTGTACCTAACCTGCTTGAAACTACAGAGGACTCAGCTAAAATTGGTGACCAGGAATTCACAGTGCAGTGATGTCTCTAACAGGATTTGTGTAGCCAGCTATAGTTAGGGAGGAGGTTAGCATCAACACATCTATGTTATTTGGACTCTTGCCAAACAGATGCAAAGGGTAAGGGGTTGACAGTAACTACAGAAATGGTGGAATTATTAATGATGATTACAAAATCTAAGTTTGACAAAAAGAGAAACACAGGTAAGATAGACTATAGCTATAAGAAAGTGAGGAGCCAATAGGAGATCCCGATGAGCTGAGTTAGGGTCAATGAAATGAAGAGGTGAAGAGAAAAGGGCTTTGTGGACAGAAAACAAGACACCTCTGCTATTATCACATAATCTCAATATACTGGCAGAACATCACAAGGAAAATTTGAAAAGTGGCTGAAAATGTAGATTTTCTAAGACTATAGTTGAATCTCATCCTTCTAGCTTTCTGTGTCTCCAAGTTTGGTTTTTTGTTTTTTTTTGCATATATATTTTTAAAATTAAGTGCATGAATGTGTGTCTGTGTGTGCGCACGTGTGTGTGCACAGGAAGGAACCGCAGGAGGACATTGGATCCTGGAGCTGGAATTACAGGTGGTTTTGAGTCACCTGACATGGGTGCTGGCAACTGACCTTCCTGGTCCTCTGGAAGAGCAGAAAGCTCTTAAATGCTGAGCCATCTCTTCAGCCTCTTTGCTGTTCTGTTTGTTTTGAAACAGGGTCTCACTATGCAGCATTGGCCAGCCTAGAGCTCATGGTATAGACCTGGCTGGTCTCAAATGTGCGTTTCTTCTGCCTCTACTTCCTGAGTGCTGAGATTTCAGAATTACATCACCACCTCCTACCCTCCAAGTTTTTTATGACGAGGGAAGGTTTTTTCGTTTTTAATTTTGTTTTGCTTTGTTTCTTGAGACTGGGTCTCTCTACACAGTTCTGGTTTTCCTGGAACTTACTATGCAGACTAGGATGGCCTTGAACTCACAGATCTGCCTGCCTCTGCCTCCTGAGTGCTGGGACTAAAGGCTACCACCCTCAGAGGGAAGGCTTTTTGGCTTTTTTTTAAACCACAATTTTTCACTTAATCTTCTCTTGGGCTCACCAACTTACATCCACTATGAAATCTTCGGCCTTCATTTGGGCTTCCAGGTACACATCAGGTTTGGTGTTAACAATCTCTTGGGGAAGCTGTTCGTACTCTTCCTAAAAGAGATGAGACTTCCCAGTTAGGACCCAGTTTGTCCTTCCATACTTGTGCCAAGGTCATGTTTCTTCGACACCAAGAAAAACAGAGATACCCCATCAAGAAAGCTACACACATGCTAGCCTGGAAACAAACTGGGCAGTTTTCATTAAAAACAAACACAAACAACCAGCACATTTTGGAAAGAATGTGGCATCCACCCATGCAGAGCTACCTCCTGCTGCTTTTGCAGTGACTAGTGTTGCCAGAGGCCCTGTGACATTATCTCGCATCTCACCAGTAAGCTGCATACACAAGCAAGCTCATCTTTCCCAGTCCTTCCGTATTTTTGGCCACATATAATACAAATAACACACAAAATCCATGGGGTCAATTGTTCTGATGCTGGTGAGGCTCCTGGGCAATGGCATACTATAATACTTACATTTCTAGAGAGCCAAAAGTTAAAGGTCAATTTTTCTTTTAGTTTTTTAAATAATTGTTAATATATTGGTTTCTACATGCTCTTACATTTATATAAAATATTTATACATATTCCTTACAATTTATACATATATTAAATGGTTGTATCATAAACACTGTTCTATGGAATTTTATAAAAGAAATCAATCAAGCAGGGGAAAATTACTTATAAAACATTAACAAAAACCCGTGATATCGAGGAACAAGAAGTTCTCCTATTCATGTTCATTGGATTTTCTCAGCTACTTATTTTTGGTTTCCTTTATTGATGTTGGCCCAGATTTCACATCCTCTATAATAAGATCATCAGGTCAGAAAACGAAAGCAGTGGATCAGTTGTAAGGCAAACATAGTTTTGTATATTTTTATAGCTCTTTCAGTCCTTTGAGGTCCCTGTCTGCCTAGAGAAGTCTGCACTCTTCCACTGGCATAGCTACAATTCTAGTGCTCACAGTAGGAGAAAGGCAGAGAGGGTCCCTCAAGGTGCATGGAGGGTGGGCCAGCACAGGTCCATTTGGTAGGCAGAGCGGGTGAGCAGACCCCACCTGCCCACTGCTGCCTGCAGGGTCAGTTTTCCTGTGCTGCTCGTAAGGTCAGCACTGTCTTTGCACTCCCTCCTCCTTCAAGGTAAGGCATGTTTTAAACTCAAAGAGTAAGTCAGAAAAGTTCAAGGTCATTTTTTGACTGCACTATGTCAAGCAGCCCTAACCATCATTGTTCAAGGGTCAACTATAGATAAAACGGGTTCTCAGAGCCTAAGTGAAGCTCACACAGATCTTATTTTGAGGGATTTCCCCTTACATTCATTTTCCAGTCTTGGATCTATCTCAAACTTGAGATCCTGACTGAATGTGAGAGCAGATTTTTGTTATAGTGCTGAGACCTGCCTTTGACCTTAACCTGACTGCTTTCATGAGCGCTGCTTTTCCTATCACCCAGCCTCAGTTTTTTCGTCTGGTAAACAGGCCTAAGAATAGTATGAAGATGAAATGAGAACACACAGGAAGCATGGTTACTAGCAAGAGTAACGGCTTCTTCTTGAGGACAGAGCCTGGGATAACCCTCCGTGAACAGCAGGATAGCTAATGACACAACTTACCTTCCTAATCTTGGGCTGACCGTTTGGCTGGGTCTCACCCAAATACTTGTATAGATCACGGCATTCGATGCTCCTTAAAATACTTCGTGCCTCAGACAACCGTGGATCAGCAGAGTTTAAAATCTCCAGAAAAATGTTATCTGTCAATGTGATGAAATTTCATTCACATTAAAGTGATAGTAGATTTAACCATTGTGGTCCTGAAATGGCCTTAATAAGGCAGAGTGCTGTGACTGTGTGTGTAGAAACGATGGCAGTAAGAGAGGAGAAAAGGCAAGCGCAGGAGTGGAAAGTCCTCCCGCGTGAACCGACGGCTTGAGCTGGGGCAGGCAGTACACAGAGACTTAGTTATTACTCTTGGGCTTTTATTTTTGTAAATGAGACAAGATTTTGCTAATTAGCTCTAGACAGTGTTAAACACTTACAAACAAAATTATGTCTATGATCTACTCAAAACAGCTCAATGTTTGCCAGAAGGAGGTAGAGGGAAAGAACTGCTATGTGTTGATAACAGTTAAAGCTAAGTGACAAGTACATAGAAGTTTTCAAGCTGACTTATTCAAAGGTTTTGTTTTTGAAAGGTTTTAAAATATTTTATTCTATGGTGCTAACAGAAAGGGAAAAAAACCTTTCTTCTTTTGTCTTTTTTCAATTTTCTTTAAAAACTTTCTAATTAAAATAGCCTTCAACCAAATTCATTATTACCATCTTTCCATAAAAAAACACCTCTATTTGTATACAATTTTCTTGCTTCTATTTTTCTTTTTTGAGAGAAGGCTTCACTCTTAGGGTGGTTTGAGCTTACTATATAACTCAGGTTGTTCTCAACATTGTGGCAATCCCCAACTTCATCCTCCTGAGTGTAGCCACTGTATCTGGCTGTGTGTGTAAGGTTTTTTTGATGAAGGGAATGGGAGGAGGTGAGGAAGTAGGAACTGGGATTGGTATGTAAAATGAAAAAAGATAGTTTGTTAAGATAGTTTGTTTTCTTTTCTTAGAATTATTTACAGTTTAGAATTTGAGGTCAGCCAGCCTGGTCTGCAGTTCCAGGCTCCAAAAGCTACACAGAAAAACCGTATCTCAAAAAAAAAAAAAAAAAAAAAAGATCTAAACTAGAATAATCCCTCCCATCTTCCAGGATGCTGGCCTTTAGAATAGATCAGGGAGCCATGGTGTATGCCCTACGGCCATGACCACTACTGTTCAATCTGATCAGATGATTAATGTAATGATCCTCAGATTTCTCTATTATAAATTTTTTGGGGTGTGGTGCTGTGGAATGGACCCGGGCCTCACCCCCACTCCTCTTCACCATCAGGCCTTAAATTAACACTTAAATTAACAGCCTACTGGGTTTGAGACTGTATGCTAACCAACAATCTTCAGTCACCGGTACTCAGTTATAGGAGGCTTAAATATAAAAAAATGCTTTGGGGGCTGGAGAAATGGCTCAGAGGTTAAGAGCACTGACTGCTCTTCCAGAGGTCCTGTGTTCAATTCCCAGCAACCACATGGTGGCTCACAACCATCTGTAATGAGATCTGGTGCCCTCTTCTGGTCTGCAGCATATATGTAGGGAATACGCTGTATACATAATGAATAAATAAATTAAAAAAACATGCTTTGGGAAAAATTATTAGGATATGTAAATACAAATTACTGAGATATATAAATATAAATCACAAAGATAAATCTAAAGATGATAAGGCAAATAATGATAAAATTTTTTTGAGATACATAAAACAATAAAACATGCTTCTGACTTCCTTCCCCTTCTATGATACTGTTATATCAAGATTCCTAAAGTTCAAAGTTTAACATTAATATTATAACTCCAATAAACTGATAAAACAATGGCTGCTTGCTGTTCAGCCACAGACTTGAGGATCTATATTCCAGGCAGTCATTTCTTAAGTATAGACTAGGAATCCTTCTGATTTTGATGGAGACAACTTTTTGACTTATATATAAATAAAAATAAATATATCGCTTTTAACCAAAATTATTTTTAAGTTTCCAAATTTCTATTATGGCTCTGAAAGTGAGTCTCCTTGCCTCTTCAACATGGATTTCAATACAGACTACAAATAATAATAATAACAATAACAAAGCTGACTGACATTTTTGTCTTTTAGAAAATGTTCTTATAATCTTCATGAGATCAGCTTGGATTCCAGGTCAACATAAATTCAGATAAGTATTACTTGTCAAAAGTTAGTTTTCCTACCTGCCTATTTAAAAAAAAAATTGGGTGGGGGGAACTTTCCCTCTCTCCTGGCCTGGAACACCCTTCTCCAATCTGCTAAAACTGTACACTTAAAAATTCCAAATATACACCTAAGAGAAAAAGTTTCCTCTTTAAAATTTCTAAACTTCATTTTCTGCCATTGATACATATTTGTTCCAGCAGAAATAAAAATCATTTAAAAGATTACAGATAACTTGGTCATCTCACTGCAGCCCTGCGTGTGCCCTGCCCGCCAGCTCACCCTGCTGACCCTCTCTCAGCGAGACTGACACAGTCGCTGGCTGCATGGACTACAAATGCAGCAGCTGCTCTGCCCAGGTTTCCACAGTGTTCCAGTCTTCAAGACCCCCAGCTTCGCCTTCAGGCCAGCAGGACGCAGCCATGAGTGATTTCTACAGTCCTGTGTCACTCAGCCCAGGGGCTGGACCACCTTTAAAAATTGATCTATTACTGCTGTATAAATTCTGCCCATGATCCTGCAATGTATGTGTTATCGGACAATCTCCTTATGTACGTCTGACAATTGTTCTGTTGGGAAAATCTTGCCATGTATACTTTGAGACAAGTTAGTACTTCCCTTTCATAGCCAAAATGGTTTGTTATGCCTTGATTACAAGTTTGACTTATTAGGTCAACTTCAGCTGCAGCCTTGGTACCACAGATGCATACTCGTACCACAGATGCATACTCTAATCTAGGTATACCTTTTATCTAACAATGCTTCATCAAAATGCAGATTAATCAGATTAATACAATTAATCAAAGGCTAATAGAGCAGACTAACTTTCTAAATTCAATCTTTTTTTGATAACTTAAAATCATAACATTTAGACATGCCTAACCACATCACATCATCACGTCATCCCATTACAGATTCCTATATTATTCCTCTTCTTTACCATAGAGCAGAGATATTCCGAAATCACATACAACTACACTTACAAGATGGTTCAACTAATTCTCAGCTTACCATCAATATATATTATTGATTGATCATTAATCATAGATAGATTATTGATTATAAATATTATTGTCGATTATAAATAGAGATTGTTAATATAAATGTTGACTAAATACTGGTATTAGTTATTGATTACTAATTTCAGTATCATTACTTATTATTCTTCCAGTTGTCTTCAGACTTTTTAATTATCCACGTTACTTGCTGAGCTAAGACTGACTTTCTTGCTTCTCTTTTTAAACAGAAAAGGCTGAGATGCCAGGAGTGTTTTTCACAAGCTGTTGTGGGTCATGACACAATTACAGTTTATAGCAATTGATAATTCAGATGTCAACCCACCTGAAGAATTATCTTCAGATGGAGGAACCCTGCCCAGCAAAGTCAGAAGGGTCACTGACTCTGAAAACTTGCTTTCATCTATAATTCACTTGTGCAGTAACAGCTATGATATTTTCCCATTACCATGCATTTTCATGTAATGTGTACATGTAATCTCATGATTACATCTCAATCTTACGGGCACACATATCTGTGGATGGTCAGAAGGATGACTACTCTCTACACTATGTTATTCACATTATGGTGAGAAACTTAGAGGCCTGTTCTCTATCATAGCCTTACTGACAGAGCAAGCTGGCCAGACATGCGTCCTTCTGGACAGAACACAGACAGAACTTCCACAGATATTACTTATGAAATTGCAGGTGTCTGGCCTTGTACAACACCTAAGCCTTCAGGGGATTTATTATGAATTAGGGTGGTATTGCAGGTGTCTCTCCTTGTTTTATCTTAGTCCTTCGAGACCAATAGCACCTAACTGACCAACCATGTTCAGATTTTATTAATCACACTTTAGAAATGCAAAATAATGCATGTACTCTTCGCCTTTTCCTTAGATTTCTCTCCCTTTGTAACCTGTGGCAGCCCCTTTAAGAGTCAGCCTTGCAGCTGTGGTCAGCGACAAACTAGTTGTTAAGTTTTGCTACATATCTTCAAAGAATGCCTGTGTCCCTGAGAATTTTCCAGATGTTTTTTTTTATTACTAGCAAGTTGCTAATGAATGGATATATACACATGCTTGGGAATTGGTTATGGCAGAAGAGTAGATTAAGAATATAGAGATAGAAATCAAACTGTAGAAGAAATAGCTTGCGAAGAAATAAGATGGAGAAGAAGAAAAAAGAATGTAGATAATTAGAACAAGAATGAATTGGAACAGAGTATTGTGACAGAAAATTGAAATTAGAATTGAAACAGAGAATTAGAACAAAGAAAATATAAACAATTAGGAGGAAAAAACAAAGAGTCTATGAGTAGAAGGAACGTTGTGAGAGAAGATTCTTTTCCTACAGCCACCAGAATTTAGTTCCTATGCTTATGTGGCTGCTCTTTAGGCCCTTAAAGGTTTTCAGTACTCGGTGATGACAAGGTCTGTTTGGATTTTTTTTTTTTAGTATTAATTGAGTTGTATTAAGTAACAATGAGTACACAAGAGGTACTGTGCCTCCTTTAAGTGTAGAATGATTTTTTTTGTGATTTCACATATGTATGTACTCCTTTCTCATGTCTTCTCTATCCCCGCAAAGGCAGCTGACATCTGACAGGGACATGTGTGTCCCCGAGTTCTTACCCGTCAGCTTAGTGAAGGCTTCCATGTCATCAATGGCTGTAGAGATACGGCACTTCTTCCCACCGGTCCCTATAATCTCCACGTAGGGGTCTGCTTTGATGAAGGCCTCTTTGATCCTAAAGATCATATAACACACAAAGACATTTGAAAATTCACGTTATACCTTGCTCAAAAAGATCTTTCTAGTTTAAGAAAACGAAATCTTGAGGTATGATGTTTAAAAACAGCTGTTTATTAATATCCTTGTAATGACATAATGACCTGTGAGTTGCGTGCCTACTATGTTCCAGGCACTATGGTGGAGCTTTACAGACCTTATTTAGTTTTTCCAATAATACATATATTCAGCTCCAATTTTATAGTACCAGAAATAACATGACTTTTCTTTAAACAAGCTCAGAAGAAGTATATCAAGCTTTAAACCAAAGCCTTTCTGACTCTGAACTGGAAACAAAATTACTTTAGCTCTTTCCTTCTCTTGAGACAAGGTCTCATGTAGCTCAGGCTAGCTCCAAAGCTGCTACATACCTAAGAATGACTTTGAACTACCTCTACCTCCCCAGTACTGGCATCACAGACATGTGTTATCATATTCAGCTTTACACCTACACAGCTCTGGCTGTCCTGGAACTCACTGTGTAGTCCAGGTTGGCCTTGAACTCACAGAGATCCACCAGCCTCTGTCTTCCTAGTGTGTGATCAAAGGGGTGTGCCACCAAGCCTGGCTACACCGAACTTCTGGTTTATGTTAAGACTCTTCTGGAACCAAATGTGGTGGTTCATGCCTGTGATCCCAGCACTTGGGAGGCGGAAGCCAGAGAATCATGAATTTGAGGACGATGTGGGCTATATAGTGAATTCCAGACCCGTCAGGGATAAAAGTATGAGATCCTGTCTTAAAAAGAAAGAAAGGAAACTCCTGATGGGGGTCTCTGAGGCATGTAGAGACTGTGCACTTTTTGGCTATAGTTCTGACTAGAACAGGGAAAAAGATAAAATTCCTATTTGCTACTCACTTTGAAAAACATTTGGTAGGATAAAGGCAGAAATTAGCATAAATATTAATTTTGTTAACTTAGAATGTCAGCTATTCATGTCTCATTATCTCTGTGACTGTATGTCACTTCCTGCACGGGGACTCTGAGCCATTCTGGCAGCATCTTCATGCCTAGCCCAGGCCTCCTCTTTTTCCACCTACCCCATCATCACATCCATTTTCCTCCTCCTACATTTACTGTATGCCAGTCTTCTTTGAAGGAAGCCTTTTCAGATTTCACAGCTTGATCTGGGCATGCTAACGTGGAAAAGCATCATGTAAACTTTTATAATGCGGAAACACTGACATCCTTACATTATATCGATGAGGTTGCTGATTTTATGCTGATAAGCTCTGCGATGTAAGCTGCTGCGTGTGTAGAACATGTCATACAGATTTCCAACCTCCTGCAAGGGAACAGAATGGTAATGCAGGATCAGACTATGTTCTCTGATGGAGACAGGGTCTCACTATGTAGCCCTGGGTACCCTAGAACTCATTACGTAGATCAGGCTGGCCTTGAACTCAGACATTCACCTGCCTCTGCCTCCTGAATGCTGGGATTAAAGGGCTAGCATAATAAAGACTCTCCTATAGCATAATTCTATACTACTTTTTAAGTTGTATGAGTATCATTGTGGTGATCGCAAGAGATGACTAGGTCAGTTTGTGGGAACAGGCTGTTATAAAGTCAGTCTGGCACGGCCCCTCCTTCTTTAGCACCTCCCTTGCTTGCACCTCTGACTTTCACCATGCATGGAGCAGCGTGTCATCCATACCAGAAGTATGAACTAGATAAACTATGAACTAGATAAACCTCTTTTCTTTTCTTTTTTTAAAAATATTTATTTATTATGTATACAATATTCTGTCTGCAGGCCAGAAGAGGGCACCAGACCTCATTACAGATGGTTGTGAGCCACCATGTAGTTGCTGGGAATTGAACTCAGGACCTTTGGAAGAGCAGGCAATGCTCTTAACCGCTGAGCCATCTCTCCAGTCCTAAACCTCTTTTCTTTATAAATTACACAGGCTTGGGTATTCTGTTATAGCAACAGAACACAGACTGAAACAAATGAAATAATAATAGTACTATCTCACTTAAAGTCTATCTAGTATAAGACTCAAAAATGTGGGATTTAATTTTATTATTATTGTTATTATTTAACAATCTAATAGAGTGGAAAAATCCCTTAGAACACTTAACAAATCCCAAGCATTAGGAAGGGTTTGAAGGAGCTAGGCAGTTGTGGAGCACGCCTTTAATCCCAGTAATTGGGCAAAGGCAGGCGGATCTCTGTGAGTTCAAGGCCAGACTTGCCTATAGGGCGAGTTCCAGGACAAGCTCCAAAGCTACAGAGAAACTCTGTCTCAAAAAATCAAAAAAAGAGAATAGTTTGAAGGGCTAGAGAGATGGCTTAGCAGTTAAGAGTCTGTGCTACTCTTGCAGAGGACCTGAGTCTGGCTCCTAGCATCCATGATGGACATATCAAGCACCAGAGGATGTGATGCCTTCTTCTGGCCTCTGGGGGAAGCTATCTTAGGTGCACGTACCCACACACAGACACATGCACATGATTAAAAATAATAATATATTGCTTTTAAAGATGAGTTTGTGGGGCTACAGAGACATCACCAGTTAAAAGAATGTTTGCTGCACAACCATGAGGACCTGGGTTTGAATCCCAGCATCTATATAATAAGATGGGTGTGGTCTCCTGTGCACCTGCAACCCCAGTGCTGGGTGAGACAGAACCAGGAGGATGACTAATAAAAAACATGAGTATAAGGTGTAGGGAACCTTGACATGAAAGGATAAGGCAGACAGTGATGGAGGGCAGCCTTTGCATGCGTTCACACAGGCATGCACAGCAAGCACACACATAGCCCATATATGTACATGTACATACACAATCTAAAAAAAAAAATCAAAAGAGAGAGAAGGAAGGAAGGAAGGAAGGAAGGAAAGAGGGAGGAAATGAAAGAAAGGAAAGATGGCTTCTGGATCTTTTCAAATTGCTAAGTGATTATTTCCAGATTTCAGACCAGGAGCTGCATCCTTATTTTCTGAGGATGGGACTTACCTTTTCCCTAGTACAGATGTGCTTCATCTTACAGCCACCTTCATTGCCTTTCACTTCACAGACACGGGAAAACATAACATAGCGTTTGTAATCAAAATTATTTTTGATTCCAAGATGGTGACAGTCCCTAGAAAGTTCCAAAGCAGAGATACAAAACATTTCAACAGGAAAACTGCCTTGCATACAAACAGTACATTGCTTTTCTTTCTTTTCAACTCTGAACCAGACTGTGGATCTATCAGCGAGCAGAAGGCTGGTCGGGGACTGGAGAATACACTGAAGGACACAGAGAGGTGCAACTGGCTAGGGGAGTCAGCGAGAGATTCCCTGAAAGAACGTGAGGGAGCTGCTATTGAATGGAAACCTGGTGAGCTAGCACCAGGTGCGGTGTGCAGACACCGGATCATGAATTGCACAAGCTAACCGTAACAAGGCAGTTAAGAAACAGCCAGGGAATTCTGAATCCTGGCCATATACTAAGTAATACCTTAGCTAGGAGTAGCGGCGCACACCTTTAATCCCAGCACTCAGGAGGCAAAGGCAGGAGGATCTCCGAGTGGTTTTAGGTATAACAGGGACACTTTATTTACAGAGCCACATAGAAACATTTCATGATGAGATCCTATGTTGCCTGAGTTTGCTTTAAAATAATGTGAGATCACTCAGGAGACAGAAGCAGGCAATCTCCATGAGCTTGATGTCAGATTGGTCTACACAGTGAGACACTGTCTCAAACTAGCATTAAAATAATTTGGAGGGTAGAATGATCAATAAGATTGGTCATGTGAGGCAGAGTGTGGTGGCGCACGCCTTTAATCCCAGGACATGGAAGGCAGAGGTAGGCGGATTAAACCTGGGCATGTTCTAATTCAGTCTGATTGGAATTATTGCCTTGGCGGAGAGGTTGGCCATTCAAGGAAAAATACTTCACACACACAGCAACTTGAGGGATGAGCACCTGGAAGGTCCTTATGCTGTTCTCACTTACGACTAAAACCCTTCATTACATTTAAGAACAAAGCCTTGATTGTAAAGAAGTAAACAGAGAGAAAAAGGGATTTTTTTCCCCCACTTCAAAATGAGACTGTCTTCTACCTTGACCCAGCTAAAGAGCTAACCAGAGCCCAACAGGACCCAGAAGAGTAAGCAGTGGTGATGCAAGACAAGGCAGGAAGGAACCCAGAACATTCAGAATGAGGGGAAGGCTGTTCCACTTCTGCCACAGCGGCCACAAAACTAGTGCTACAGCCATGCTAGGACTGTGGTGCCCAACTTCTGATTAGCCGGGTAGGCCCTTATGCTACACTTGTACAAAGATTTCAGCAAATATCCAGTGCATACCTGGCAAAATAATCCCATTTGTCCACATCGATGCCATTTCTTTTGTTAGCTACTATCTCATAGAGGAAGCTCTTCTCGACAGGACGTCCTTTATAGGGCCACTGGAAAACAAGAGAGTCTCATGGAGGTTTTAGGTAGACGCAGACCTATTTATAAGCAAGGCAACTCTATCGACATGCAAATTACAAACAAGACAGTGAAGTCAGAAGGCTAACCTTTCTTTCTCCTCCGCAAGTCTGCTGAAGTAGGAAGGGAAAAGAAATGCTGAGGTAAGTATATGTTATCCTATTAATACCAAGTCTTCCACCTGGGGATGTTGCTCTGTGGTACAGTGCATGCATGTGTGACCACCTTGGCTTGACTGCCAGCACCACAAAAATAAATGAATAAATAAAAGTCTATAAATAGTTGGTGGGATGGCTTAGCAAGTAAAGGCTTTTGCTGCCAACCTGAGTTCTAGCCTTAGGACCCACAAGGTGAAAAGAGAGAACTGACTCCCGCAGATTGTCCTGTGACTTCCACATGTACATTGTGGTCCACAGGCAGCCGTGTGTGTGTGTGTGTGTGTGTGTGTGTGTGTTTGCACGCACGCGTGCATGCGCTCGCATATGTGTGCATATGTATGTGCTTGTGTTTGTACATACAAAGAGAGACCAGAGGTCAATTTTGAATGTCTTCTGCCTCTCAGTGTTGAGGTTACAAGCCTGTGCCCAGCCACGCTTTTTGTTTGTTTGTTTGTTTGTTTGAAACAGGGTTTCTCTGTGTAATAGTCCTGGCTGTCCTAGAAGTTACTTTGTAGACCAGGCCGGCCTTGAACTCACTGAGATGTGCTTGCCTCTGCCTCCCAAGTGCTGGGATTAAAGGCTTGTGCCACCACTGTTAGGAGCTTTTTTTTCCAATTGCTGTTGTGTGCTATGGAACACTCTTTGTGCGCTGTAAATATGTATCACTCTCATTAGTGAATAAAGAGCTGACTGGCCAATAGCTGGGCAGGAAGAGAGGATGCTGGGAAGAAGGGCAGAGAAGCAGGAGATGAACAGACTGTGGTTAAAGAAGGTATCACCACAGGGCAGAGGGTAGATAAGCAATATGGGTTAATTTAAATTGTAGGAGCTAGTTAGTAACCATCTTAAGCTATCGACCGAGCATTTATAACAACTAATAATGTGACTTGGGAACCGGCTGGTTGGAAAGAAAAATCCACCTACAGCTGTGCTGTTTTGTTTGAAATAGAGTCCTCCTATATAGGGCTGGCTGGCTGGCCTGGAATTCTCTACGTAGACCAGGTTGCCTCTGTTCCCCCGAAGTGCTGGAATTAAAGGTGTGCACTACTCAGCTTGCCTTTTTATGTGAACTCAGGCACTCACTCTGGCATAGCGAGTACTCTTACCTGCTGCGTCATCTCTCCAGCCCAGGCGTATACTTTTACATTTTGATCCTCCTGCTTCTGCATCCCAAGTACTGACGTTGCAGACATAAACTATCATTTGGGGGAAATAATGTCTAAAAATCTCAAGATGAGGGGAAAAATACATCTTTTTGCTTTTGGTTTTTGCATTAGAAGGCAGATGTATATAACTTATATTCTGATATTTAGCAGCCCTCCAATAGCCAAAGGTGTAGCTCTGAAAGAATCAAGAACAGACTAAGTGGAAAGTGACAGTTGGCTCTGATGAACAAGAATAAACACTCACCAAAGAGTCTTTGCTTGGTGTCTTTTGATCTGGTCCCCAAATTTGTTCCTTGATAAAGAAAATATCTTCTTCAGGGACGAGACCATAGTTTCTCATGATAGGTTCGAGGTTATTAGAAGTAACCAGATGATCAAACATGTCAACTGAGCCTTCTTCATGCTGCGAAAGTGAATTCAACACAGCCTGTTATAGATTCTCTAATTAAATAGATTATTCTAAATTCTAGGTAACCTCAGATGAAGTTTCGCCGAGTGTCAATTACCGAGTTTCCAACTACTTTGTTACAGCTTTTAAATTAGTCGATTTTTGTCAATATTTATTTGTCTAGAAAACATTTTCAGTTGGTTGGTTGTTTTTTTTTTTTGAGATGGTCTCGCTATATAGTTCTGTTGGCCAGAAACTTGCTATGTAGACCAGGTTGGCCTTGTACTCATAGAGATCCACCTGTCTCTGCTCCCTGAGTCCTTGGATTAAAGTCGTGCCCTACCATGCCTAGTCACAAAACAACTTTTATTAGCTTTTGAAATGGGCACACAAAGGGATAAGCTTCCCTGTAGCTTCTTCACATATACTTTATTTTATTGATCCTCTTCCCCAGTCTTCAAAACCTTTATAAACCATGTTTATTGTTTCATAAACAAACAAAAATATTTTATGAAATATAACCATTTATATACCCAAGAAGGATATTACCAGATGATATAAGTAGAATGAAAATCACTTTAAAATTTAGATTTTTTTGTTTTTTTTTTTCAAACACAGAAGAACATTTGAAGTTAAGAGCTGTTGATTGATATTTCCACAACATTGCCAGTAAATTAATTAAGTGTCTCCCAGCTCTGGTGTCAAGATCTGACTTAAATTCTCAAATCAGTCCCCTGGTTGCTCATGTCTCTGTTCACCCGTTCACAGTCACTATAAAGAGCAACTGACCCTGGAGATCACATGTCTTATCAAAACTGATTAAAAATGAAAATAAACCTGGAGTGATCCTATAACTATTATGAATTGAATCAAGATATATTAATTACAAACACATAAGATAATAACTTTGTTACCTTGATTATGTGTTGTCTGTTTTGAGAAAAGGTCTCATTACATCACCCACACTGACCTGAACTCACTATATAGCCTGGACTGGCCTGGAACTTACAATTGTCTCCTTGGGGCCTCAGGAATAATTATAGTAGAATGCTGGTTCACACTTCATAAATTCACATAAACATCACTGTTCTAAGTACAAAACTCTATTATACAATAATAATAATTAAATGAAACATGGGGCTAGAGAAATGGCTCAATGGTTAAGAAAACATGCTGTCCAAGAAGAGGACCTGAGTTTGGTTCTCAATACCAACACAGTGGATCACAACCATCCCTACCTGCAGTTCCAAGAGATTCAGTGCCCTCTTCTCACCTTGGGTACTAGGCATGTATGTGATGTGCGCGTGCACGCATGCATGCACGCACGCAGGCACCCGCGCGCGCGCGCACACACACACACACACACAGGCAATGAACACATGCAAAATAATAATAATTAAAAAAAGAAAACTGTGAAATAGAATCTAGGAAGACTGATCATATATGGGAAATTTTTAAATGTCGACAACTTAGATCTGTGAAAAAAGGACTAACTATTACTCAATAAACAGCTATCCATTAGGCTGGGGCTATCACTTAGTGGTAGAGTACCTGCTTAGTATGCTTGATGACCTTAGTAAAACTCCCCAAACTGCAGAAAAGTAAAACAAGACAAGAATCTCTACAAGTAAAGGAAAGATATTACATTTGCATTATTTGTATATAAGGATTAATTCCATATGAGCTAAAGTATTAAATGAAAAAGGCAAATATATTTTTAAAGGCTTAGTGGTATAGCACTTACCTAGCATGTATAAGCATGTGTGTGAGTGCACACAAACACAGAGCACAAACACCACACACACGCAGAGTACACACATACATAGCATATACACAGAGAGACACACACAAAATACACACAAATAGCACACCCATACAACACATACATACCACAACATACAACACACAGAGACTCACACACAGCACAATACATACATAGCACATGCACATAGCACACAAACGGCACACACACACAGATTCACACACAGCACACAAACAGCATATACATAACACACGCGCGTGCACACACACACAGAGTAATGGTTGAGTAGCTCCTAGATCCTATTAGATCAATCCTGCTGGAGACAAAAAATTATACTCTGGACAACTAACTCCATGACCGTATTGGCCAATGGCCAAAAGCAAGCAGATGTTAAAAGAAAGTCAACAGTAGGATGAGAGGGCAAAGAACTAACTTCCAATTTTATGGCTTTCATCCGGGAGCAGGCCCCACAGCACGAAGACTGATGGGAAACTATGCAATTTACTGACTTATAGGAGACTAGAAAACGTCTTTCTCAAAAGGCACCATTAAAAAAATAAGTGGCAGGTGGATGTCTGTGAGTGCAAGGCCAGACTAGTCTAAGCAAGCTCTAGGAAGGACAGCCAAAGCTGCTACACAGAGAAACCCTGTCTGGGGGTGGGAGTGGGGGGAGGTGGCAAGTCAAACACTAACAGAAAATAGTTCTAACACATATAAAACAATATACGCATACATAAATTCTTGCAAATCAATACTAAGTGGGCAAACAATAAAAACTCTTTTGCACATGTGTGCCTATGGAGACGAGATGATACCTCAGCTATCATTTCTCAGGAGCTGTTCACCTTAGTTGGCCTCGAACTCTCCAAGTAGGCCAGGCTGGCTGGACAGTAAACTCCCGGAGCCTGGCAGTGCCTCCCTACCACCAGGACTACAGACACACACACTCCACTTGTCTTTTTTTTTTTTTTTTAAACGAAGGTTCTGGGGACCAAACGCAGGTGTTTAGCACCATACACACTGAGCTATCCTCCCAGGGCCAAAATCTGCCCCACCTCACCTTACTGCAGTGTTGGGATCAAGCCTAAACTCAGCTGCTTGGCATGTGATCTCCCAGGAAGCGGCCTCCTAGCCCACTATCGAGGAAGTTTACACACACTACACACAGACACGCAGAATATAGAAAACCATGTGGTGCCAACAACAGGAAATCAAACTTGCAACAGATAGAGAATACAAATGAAACTGAGATACCAAGTCTAAGAAAAGACAGACTAATCTATGTTTAAGAAGATCAGAAGTGATGGAGGACTGATTTTAATAGAACATGGAGGAAGGGCTGGGCTGTGGCAGTGGCACAAACTCAGTGTGTGCAGTGCTGTGGGTTTGAGCCTCAGCACCACAGAAAAAAAGGCAAGGCACAAGGCACTCTCCAAATGATGAAAATGTTCGACAGTTTGACTGCATGGGTTCATTTGTCAGACTCCTGCCAGCCTTGTACAATTAAAGCCAGAAGCGACAGCACACGCCTTTAATCCCAGCTCTAGGGAAACAGAAGCAGGCAATCTCGGTTTCAAGACCCTGTCTCAAAACAAAAACAAAAACAGTAACAATGATGTAAAAATTAAATTAAAAAAAGGAAAGGCAGAGAAAAAATGGTTTGACATATAAGGAGCTTTCAGCTTAAGTTAATGTGTTCTTCTCCTCCAGCTTCTAGAAATACAGTGTGGTAGAAACCGAGAGGTCAACTCATTTCTCAAAAACTGATCCAAAATGCACAGCTTCATCACCTACAAACGGGGGGTTCATTTAAAGTTAGAAATGAGGGTGTAGCATGCTCTCAGCTTTTGGGAGACTGAGGCAGGACAGCATTCAAAGTCATTCTCAACTATCTAGGAAAATTCTGTATTAAAAATACAGGTTCGTGGGCTGGAGAGGTGGCTCAGAGGTTAAGAGCACTGACTGTTCTTCCAGAGGTCCTGAGTTCAATTCCCAGCAACCACATGGTGGCTCACAGCCATCTATGATGAGATCTGGTGCCCTCTTCTGGCAAGCAAGCATACATGGAAGGAATGTTGTATACATAATAAATAAATAAAAAAAAATACAGGTTCGTTTACTAAAAATAATGATATTTAACTTCATGGCTATACCAAAATAAAAGCTGAAATTGGACTTTAAAAACAAACTGTGCAGCAATGCAACAGAATAGGAAAGAACATTGCCCTGACAGCTGAGGAAGAGGTTTTCTAGGGTGGGTTCCTCACCTGACAGCTTTCTAAAGTCAGGCACAGCACTATGCTTTGGAGGGTTTCAAGTCCCTCTCTCCGCAGACTACTGTAAGGATCAAATGAAGCAGACAAGTGTGAATGGGAGCACCCTGAACACTGCTCCAGGGAAGGATGCTAGAACCCAGAGAGGAAAAACAGGCAATGCAATTGGACAACTAGATAAATTCTGTTTCTATTGACTATGGAACAGATGAATACATACCTTCCAATTTCTATCTGGGCGAGCAAGTGGCATAAATCTTCCATCAAACATATGAGAAAATGGCCCATGACCTAAAAACAAAAGCAGACTTCAAATAAGAAAAGTATTTGTAAATTGGTAAAAACTGAATTCTTAAAAAAATATTTTTAGTTTACTTCCAATACAGACACTGTTAATCTATAAATTAATAATAAGAAAAAAAGAACAAATCTGCCTTTCCAATTTTCCAAAGCAACAGAATAAGATGCAAAACCATATTGGAAAGCTAACCCTCTTTAGGTCAGTCTCCAGTTCTGTATTAGCTCCCAGGAAGGCTAGGTGCTTTTTGCAAACAAAACAAAACAAAACAAAAAAACAGAAAAAACCCAAAAAAACAAACAAACAAACAAAAAACAAGGTTTATTGATTTAGGGCTTGGATTGCAGCTCAGTTGGGAGAGCCAGGGCCTAGCATGCACAGCTCTAGGTTTGCATTCAATCACAAGGCATACAAGAACTATCTTTTTTTTTAAAATGTTTATTTATTTATTATGTATACATGATTCTGTCCGTGTGTATGCCTGCAGGCCAGAAGAGGGTACCAGACCTCATTACAGATGGTTGTGAGCCACCGTGTGGTTGCTGGGAATTGAACTCAGGACCTTTAGAAGAACAGGCAATGCTCTTAACCACTGAGCCATCTCTCCAGCCCCCAAGAACTACCTTCTAAGAAGGATCTCTGAGCCTACTGAAATCCCTGGGTTGACAGAAAGGTAAGACTCTGCTCCTTCATGTCTGTCCATGGAGACACAAGTACACACTCTCTTCTGTAACTGAAGAGGTCGGACAGCCAGCCACCTTTTTATTTTTATTTTTTTAAATAAAAAGGATGATGCTCTTCTATCTGGATTTAAATGGCCTAAGACCTCCTGTGAGTAAGGGAAGAAAAAGTATTTATTTCTTAAAGCTGTTCTAGTTGTGAGAAGGGATGGACTTATAATGACTAAAGGAAAAAGCAATTTTAGTCAGTGAGAATGAGAGAAAAATCAGGTTCCCATTATCCTAAAGACAGAGCAAGAAAACTCACTGTCGGAAATCCCCTTCAGCCAGTGCAGTGGTTCACGCTTGTAATCTCAGCACTCAGGAGGCGGAAGCAGGAGTATTGCCACGAGTTTGAGGCTAGCCCAGGCTAAATATAGTGAATTCTAGGACAGTTTGGGTTACAGAGCAAGAACCCTGTCTCATGAATACATAAATAAATTAATAATAAATAAATGAATAATACCTTTTATGTGACATAGCAAAGAGGCTTACTATGGAAAATTCACAAGGAATAACAATGCTTTGTCCTTATCAATAATATTAGGAACCACAGAGCACTGTGATTAGTGAAAAATTCAAATACTTCTACATCTCCCTTGGTTAGACGGAGTTCTGAATGTGAAGCAGAGGTGAAACAGTAGGATCTTACACGAAGTGAAGGCTTCTGTGAGCTTACCGAGGTCGTGGCAGAGCCCAGCAATCTGAACACAAAGTATATCTCGCTTACTGATCTGCAACTCCGGCTGTTTTTCAGCCAGTGCTCGAACGACGTAGCCTGCTAGGTACCCAACTCTGCAGAAAAAAGATCAAAAGTCACACTTTGGTTTAAAAGATGTACCTTTAGAACTTGAAACTTTGAGTTCTGAGAGTTGGCTCTCTGATGTTCCAACATAGACTGAAGATAAGTGCTTAGCAGGGCTGAGGATGTGGTCTTGTAGAACACATGACTAGCATGTAAAAGACCCTGGGTTTAATCCCCAGCAAAGCAAACAAAAATAAGATAAAGAAATGGCATAATAACAAGTATTAAATGTACTTTCAGCACTTCTCTCCAAAAGGAAGTCCTAAAAAAATATATTCCTTCCTCTGCCTTGAACTCAGCTCTAGGAAGGTAGACAACTTGCTTGTGGCTGGGAAAGTTCTAATGAGTGTTCAGTAAACAGTGTTTATAATTTGAGCATAGCTACATTTTATCTTGACTACTGGACCTGGACACAGTAACGCACACCTGGAACTCTGGCACTTGGGAGGCTGAGGACTAAAAGTTTGAGGCCAGCCTAGGCTGTAAAATGAAACCCTGAAGGAAACAAAAGGAAGCAAGCAGAGCTGCAGGGGCGCAATTGGTGAGTGTGCAGTACGTCTATGACAAAAGGAAGCAAGTGAGAAAGAAAAAAGCTTACATAAATGAAAATCCACAAAGTAAATGAAAAAGCAAACACTCAATTCCCAATTGTACTCTGCCCACTTCTCCCAGCTCTACACACAGAATGGAAAAGTATAAAACACAGACAACCCTCCCAGAGCTTATAAGCATTTCTCTAACTCATATATTTCCTGACACAATTACTTTGTTTAAAAGGGTGAATCTATAAAACTAAACAGGAGCCAGGCATGGTAGAGTGTGCCCAGAATCTCCATTCTCAGGAGATGAGGTGGGAAACACTGAGTATGAGGTCAGCCTGAGCCCTCCCAGGAGCTTCCGTCCCAGAAGGAAAGAGATGAAAAGACTAACTAGGAACAAAAGGAAAACTAATCAGATTTACAGTTAGTTATTCCAGCAGCCAACCCCAGTCAGTGTAAGTATTTACAGACAAGTACTTAATCCAACTGATCTGTCAACAGATACTAGGTCTCAGGATGATATGACGCAGTTTCAAAAACACATAAAATATGATAAGAGGACTCCAAAGTCTCAGTTTTCTCACCAATGAAATAAAGATGTTACAATGACCATTTGCAAAAGCACCGTCTAAGAGATTACTACTCCAGGAGAGAGAAGCGGTAAAAACTGCAGGGTCCCCACGCCTTTCCCTTCTTACCCCAGACTGTGTTCAAAGCGATTGTGTGAAGCTCCTGGGAAAACATAGTAGCCGCCTCCCAGCTGTTTAATGTAGCGAAGCCGCTGAAACTGAGGTGTGTCAATGATTCGGATAAGGAGAGGGTGGAACTCAATATGGCCATGAATAGGATCATTAAATACCTGGAAAATGATGTTTAAAAAGTTGTCCTTTGACCTCCATATGCCGGTACTGGCACACACATGTCCCCCACCACACATACACAAAAACAATAAATACAATTTTAAAAACTGCCTTTAACAGTTACTATCATGGGGCTGGTGAGATGGCTCAGTGGTTAAGAGCACTGACTGCTCCTCCAGAGGACCCGGGTTCAATTCCCAGCACCCACATGGCAGTTCGCAGCTGTCTGTAGCTCCAGTTCAAGAGAATCTGACATCGTTATACCAATGTACATGACATAAAGTTAAATAAAGTTTAAAAAAAAAACAGTTACTATCATAATAGTTTCCTTGTTATAACAAAATGAACAGTGAACATTTTATATTTTTATATAATAATCATTTTAATAACTCAACTTCATTAACCAACAGCTAAAATTTTTCAAAAATTTGATATTCTATTTTTTATGAGCATTTACCTGTCTCTGTACCATGTGTATTTGGAAAATCTTAAAGTTTTCCATACTGCTCTGCAAAGTCACTTGATGATTATCATAAACTATATCAAGGTTATCACCTCTAATAATACTCAGGGAATGATATTAAAGTCCGCAGGAAGAAAAGAAACCGAGAATGTCAAAATTAAATCCTCTGGGAATCCTTATTATATAAGACCAAGTTCAGTGATCTCTAAATACCTAGTCATAAACAAGCATTCCTCCTAACACAAGGTCAACCCAACCATCACAAACAAGTGAGAAAATACATACATACATACATACATACATACATACATACATACATACATAGACAGGGTTTCCCTGTGTAGCCCTGGCTGTACTGGAACTTGCTCTGTGGACCAGGCTGTCCTCAAACTCAGAGATTCGTCTGTCTCTGCCTCCCAAGTGCTAGGACTAAAGCTGTGTGCCACCACCACCAGTGGTCATTTTTATTCTTACTATTATTACATGATATAAATGATTCCTCACAGAGTCACATGATCTGCTTATGACTTGTAGTGGCTGTATGATGTCCTGGTCTGTTACTAGTTCACAAGATAATACAATTCCATTAACTGTTCAGTTATTGTATATGCCAAGCAGAGTGGGTAAGAAATCAGTCAGGAACCATTTCTGTACTCTGGGAGAGTACAATCTGTCCAGAGGGTCAAAACAAAGAAAGAAATCCCAGCACCTGCACATACGGCAGCCCACAGCCATCTGTAACTCCAGTTCCAGGAGATTCAAGGCCCTCTTCTGACCTCCATGGGCATCATGTAAGAAAAGTGGCAAACACATATACACGCAGGCAAAGCACTCATACACATAAAAATAAATTAATTAAATAAAAACTAAAACAAAAAACTTGCTGGATACGGTGATGCGTGTCTTTAATCCTAACACTTGGAGGCAGAGGCAGGTGGATCTCTGAGTTTGAGGACAGCCAGGGCTACATAGTGAGACACTCCCTCAAAAATAAATAAATAAATGAAAATAAAAACTAATAAATAAAAGTTATTCTATGGCTGAAGGCTACTAGGGCTTTTGTGCCGAATTAGACGATTGCCAAAAATATCATCACAGGGCTAGAGATAGCTCAGTGAGTAAACACATTTGAGGCCAAGCCTTGTGACCTGAGTTCTAGCCCTTGTATCCACATGGTGGAGGAAGAGTACTGACTCCCCAAAATTATCTCTGACTATTACACTTGGACTGTGACACTTTTATGTACACCTCCACCCCCCACACACCACATCGTATAATAAGTCAAAGTCAAAAGTTATAATTCCTTATGAGGCAATACCTCTTGTATAAAAAAGGAAATGCTGTTTATACACTCAGATCCCTTTTACCTTCATTAGCTCTATGTGAGATTGACTCAGTTTTTGGATACATGCAATCATCTTCTTCCTCTCCTCCAAGGAACTAAAATTGAAACAACATAAGTAAATATATCAATATTTGCTCAATAATTTAATCAAAAATTCTAGGAACACAGCAAGTGAATATCTAAACAGGATTCCCCATAATATGCAGAGTCCAACACAAGAGCTTATATATAGGAAATTTATTTGGGAGTTTATATCCTGGAAACAGGAGTTGGTGGACAGGAAAGGATAAAAAAGAAATGAGAGAAAACCGTGACAATACAGCAGCAAGCTAGGCTGGCACCACGGGCTCACTGGGTGATGTGTGGTGTTCCCTGAGGCAGCTGCCTCCCAGAACGTTCTGCAGTTACCAAAGTGTCTTATCTGCCCTGTGTTAACACACCGGCAACAGGGCACAAGCGGTTATTGATCAACTGAAATGTAGATAGTATAAGAGAAGAACTAAAAATTTTTAATTCATCTAACTGAAAAGATTTTATTTCTAATTGTGTGTCTGTGTGTGGATTTGTGCACATGAGGGCAGTCTGTGGAGATCAGAGAGCGTTAGAGCCAATGGAGCTGGAGTCATTGGTGTTGCTGAGGACAGCTCGATGTGGGTCCTCTGGAAGACCAGCAAGTGCTCTTCACAGCTCCGGCCCCTGACTTAATCAAATTTTAGATAATTTAAACATACAACAGGTGGCGACATTACAGGCTAATGCAAGCCTAAGAGTCCTGCAGACTTCATCTCAGAGGCAGAAAGCAGGGTACAAGACACATAGCGTACAGTACTGTTCCTTCCGGAATTTGCCTGTCTTGTTCACCCATGGGCCCCAAGTTCCCAGAGGAGTGCCTAGAACCAAATGAACCTCCCACAAATATCTGCTAAACAAGCCAACAGTGTTTGGGTCTTTGGAAAGAGATTAGAAGAAAGTCCACCACTGCGCAGGTAATAAGATGATAAATGGAAGTCTCAGACGGCCGATCAGACGGCCGAAATGGGAATGAAAGAAGCAGGGTCAACATCCCTGAAGACTGTGCTCCAAAGGGCAGCTTCTAAAGGACAGCTAACATTCTTTGCTAAGGTTCATTCACAATCTATTTTCATTCTCAAGTTCTAAGCAGGAGGCCCTGAAGTAATTCAGAATAAGTCTTTGTTTTTATTCTTTAGTTACTGTTACCACAAACATTAAACTAACTGTTGCCAATTCTGAAAGAGAGAAAACCTACATTTTAAAGCACACATAAACACTGACTATCAGCTAAGAAATTTAAAGGGGTCTCAGCTCTAACTTAGACCCCAGAACCTCCAGTCATATACAGAGATATCTACATGTGTGTATACAAAGCCATAAAGGGACAATTACAGGTTTTAACAGATTACATACACAGATACATCCCAGTCCTAGACAGCTTTAGGATGACCTACAAATAGATAGGATGGTATCTTTGACTTTCCTGTTAATTTTTTTTTCCTGTTGGTTCTTATACATATTTCTAGTGCATACAATTAATTCAATTATACTAAATTTGAGAGTAAAAAGTTGGTCTCTATAAACTCCACGAATGCTTGTCAGCAAAACCCTTTGAAATAGAAATCACATGTAAAACTAAACACAAGGTCTGTGCAGCAGAAACAGTAGGCAAGGGATTCTGTCCTAACACGTCACAGTACTGAACTGAGGATGGGTAAGACCTGAGATCCTGAGCTTTGTCTCTGAAAGGTGAATAAAGTGTGAAATTTATTATTCTTACCTTACTCCAAGATCTTCAAGAAGAGACTCATTGAGAAAGGGCAGAAACGAACCAGTGATCTCTCTTTCTAAGGAAGAGGAAAAAGCAAACTCAGTATTTACAGCGTATGTTTTCCAGTTTCCCTTGGTTTGCATCCATCAGAACTTACTCAGCTTGCATCTACTAAGAACTCACTACAGGCAGTGAACCATATGGCCTACAGCCAGCCTTCTGTAGTCACAGATTTCTTATTGATGGTACTAATGGAAAATATTCAGAAAAAAACTCCTGCACCTGCATTGAACATGTAAAGACTTGTGTTCAATATTGTAGATAACATTTCAAAATATGGTATGACAACTGTTTATATTATATGAGTCATTATAGTAATGTAGAGATTATTTAAAGAATACAGATGTGGGTGTACACAGGTCAGAAGCAAATGCACTATGCTATTTTATGTAATGGACTGAAGCATCATATCTTTAGATACCAGCTTGGTTTAGAACCAATGCTTCTTAGATACTAAGACACAAACTCACCATACTTTAAATATATACATATATATATATATAATGTGCTAAATAATTTATAATATAAAAATTAAAAATATATAATATATATGTTTACTATATATTTAAATTGTATGTGTGTTATAGTGTGCACCAGTGCTGACACACGGAGAGCACTGAGTGTCTTCTTCCATCACTCTCTGTCTGTTACTCTGAGACAAGATCTCTTTCCTGACCTGGGGCTTGCATTTGGCTAGGATGGAAACCAGCTATCACCAGCTATCCTCTTCCCGTCTACATCCCACCTTAGAGATGGGATTACTGACATTTACAGGAAACACTCGTCTTGTTATGGGGGACTGAGATCTGAACTCCAGTCCTCATGATTATGGGCAATCCCTCTTAACCACTGAACTATCTTTCTTGTCCTCCCTTCCTATTTTATGTATGTATTTATTTCGTTTTTTTAAAATTTTTTTATGATTTATTTATCTTTATTTTATGTGCATTGGGTTTTCAGACAGTTGTGAGCTGCCATGTGGGTGCTGGGAATTGAACCCGGGTCCTCTGGAAGAGCAGTCAGTGCTCTTAACCGCTGAGCCATTTCTCCAGCCCTTTATTTCGGTTTTTTGAGTCAAGGTCTCACTGTATAGCTCTAGCCATACAAGAACTCACTATGTAGACCAGGCTGGGCTCCTCACACTCTAGAAATCCCATTTGCTCTACCTTCCAAGTGATAGGCGTAAAGGGGTGCATCACCATGCCAGGCTTTTTTTTTTTTTTTTTAATGACAGTCTTGCCACATAGCTAGCTTAGCTTTATCTCTTAGAGCCTCCAGAGTTCAAAAATTAAAAAAAAAAAAGTTACTAAGGATCGAATCCAGGTCTTTGTACATACTAAGCAAGCATTTTATAACTGAGCTGTACTACACTTTTGACATTCTACTTTAAAAGTCTTTCTATCCCTTCTTTTAAAAATTTTATTTGATAAAAATCTTAATTAGGTAACTAACCTAAGAACTATTTTGATGAATCACATGAACATTTGTAATTATTCATGTAAATTGTTTCTGAGAAAAGCAATGGGGAAAGTAAAGTGAAACCTAATTGCTTGTGAGGTCCTGTCAGGTCAGCAGATTCCTATTTTGTAAGTCTCAGGGAGAGAGGTGGTTTCAGAGAAGGACTTTAAATCAATTGTTCTTAGAATCATCAGATTCAAATCAGTTGGAGGAGTACCCAGTTTCATTTCTAAAGCAACCTTTGATAGCACACAATACTGTTTTGAAAGATATATATATATATATATACATATATGTACACATTTTTATCTTTCCAAATAGTAAATTCTAGCTCTTCTTGAGCTCGGATTCTCTAGCTCTGGACAATTTCCATATAAACAAAAATCTTTCTCGATGTAACAAGAGAAAACAAGGAAGCGGTTTTCTGGAAGAAAAAGGAAATATGAAGTGAAAATAGTACTTCTGTATTTTTCTATCACAATGTAAAAAGTCCAAATAATATATAAAAATACAAAATACCAATTTACTTAAGTTCCAACTAATACCTACTGTTAGCATTTTAAGATAACAAATTTATCTATATAAAATGATGCAGTTTACATATAAAAGATTGTCATATAACCATTTTTTCCCACCCAAATCCTAAACATAGTTCTTCTCAATGATGAAAGTTTGTATCTCTCCCTCCCCATTTTTAAAAATTGTTTTAAAAAGGATTTATTTACACACACACACACACACACACACACACATCACATGTGTGCCTGGTGCCAGTGAGGACAGAAGAGGGTACTGAATCCTCTAGAACTGGAGTTACAGATGGTTTTGAGCCACCATGTGGGTGCTGGGAATCAAATCAGGGTGCTTTGCAAGAGTAACAAGTGCTCTAAACTACTGAGGCATCTTTCTTAATGGATACTTTGTATCCTACAGTATATACAAATCCTAATACATTTTGCACATGTGTGCACTTGTGTGGGGGTGCATTCACACACCTGTGTATGTGCTTGTTGGAAGCTGGAGGTCAATGTCAGGCACCTTCCTTAATTACTCCTCTGCCTGGTATTTTTCTAAGATTTATTTATGTGTATGTGTGCCTGTTTGAATTTATACAAACAATTCAGATAGAGTGCTTGGCCAGAAACCCTCAGGAAGCTACTTTGTCTCTGTTTCCTCACCTCTGGGATTATAAACATGCACCTTTAAGCCCAATTTTTCATGTGGGTGCTGAAATTTAGAACTCAGATCTTCCTGTTTGCATGGTTACTAACTGAGTCATCTCCCTAGCCCCTGTTGTAAGATTTTATAAAATAAAATATGTACAGAATGGGGGGGGGTAATGTGACTCCGTGGTAGAGTCTCACACAGCATGAACAAAGCCCTTGGTCTCAACCTCCATATTACATACATACACACAAAAATCCTACCCCTCCCCCCAAAGCTTGCAAAATGTGTATAGGGTTACTTCATACAAAGTATATACATAATAAATGTTAGCCATCATTATTTACTACAGGTCAAAAAGCATTTCCAAACTGTCCATAGCTAAGCTAATGGATAGTTCTATCAACTTTACTGGAATACATATTTCATCTACTAACAATCTTTTCTAGTTATTAAATTAAAACTCAGTATTTTAAAACTTACTATTTAGATAAAACTGCTTTACTTAAGTTTATTGGTAGGTTATTGATGGTTTCTTCTTGCTATTTTACTCATTTTCTACAAGACAGATTTTTTTCCCTTGTTCTTAATTGATTTTCTAATTTTGGTTATGTTCTCCAAGGACTTATTACATAGCCCAGGATGGGTTGAAAACCTAAGACTGGAACCTGAAGTCTTAATTGTTTTGCTTCAGCCTCCCAAAGATTACAGGCATATGTTCCCCAGTAATTTTTATTGAGAACACTGCTTAAGAAATAACTAGAATGAATTCTGGAATCCAAAGACTTAACCTTTAAAAAAATTCAGCTCTGCGTCTTTTGTCTAGGTGTGGCTTTGAGAGGTTACTTAACATCTTTGAGTACCAAAACATCATCTGGGGGGCTGGAGAGATGGCTCAGCCGTTAAGAGCACTGACTGTTCTTCCCGAGGACCCGGGTTCAATTCCCAGCACCCACATGGCAGTTCATAACTGTCTGAAAATCCAGTTCCAGGGGATCTGATACCTTCACACCAATGCACATAAAATAAAGTTAAATAAACCATAAAAATTTTTTAAAAAGGTACATGACATAAAAGATATAAAATAAAAAAAAAGAAAGTAAAAAAAAAAAACCCATCATCTGTGGCTGGAGAGATGGCTTTAGTAGTTAAGAGCACACACGGCTTTTGTGTCCCTAGGCCACTCACAACTGCCAGCTTCAGACGGTTGGATACCCTCTTCTGGCTTCCGTGGGCACTGCACTCAGGTGCATACACTCCCCATCCCCACCCCCATAAAAACGTAATTCAAATAAAAATAAAGCCAGAAGAGCTAACTCAGAGATTAAGAGCACTCGCTGCTCTTGCAAAGGGCTCGGATTCAGTTCTCAGCACTCCTATAGCAGCTCACAGCCACCTGCAACTTCAGCTCAGGGGAGTTACACCCTCTTCAGGCGTCAAGGACGCGAGGCACACACGTGGTGCACATACACATAGGGTGGCAAAACACACATATAAAACTAAAATAAAATACTGCCAGGTGTGGTGGCACACACCTTTCACCCTAGTACTCAAGAGGCAGAGGCAGAGGCAGGTGGATCGCTGAGTTCGAGGCCAGCCTGGGCTACATAGAGTCCCAGGGCACTCAGAGCTACATAGAGAGACACTGTCTTAGCACCCCACCCTCCAAGTTACTTTCCTGTGGAGTGGGAAGTGGGGAAGGGAAAAAGAGAAATGTTAGTTCCTACATGTAAGCTACCTTTATGCCCTGAACTTGAACTTCTTGATCCTTCAATTAGGCACACGGCTCTGCCCCACAAGTAGTCAAGTTGTCTGAATCTACAAGTCACAACCACCAAAGAGTCACGTTCCCAGCGAACACCTCAGGGGATCGTGCAAGGGGCAAAGCTTCACATCCACCACAAACAAGCTGAGCAGATTCCGAGGGTTTGACAGATGCATGAGCAAAAACCAGAAGGGTCACTTAAAATTCTCAGCCTGTACCCTCCCCTTTGTGTGGCCAAGCTGTGGAATGCTGGGGTTGCAGCGGTCAACTAAGTGAGTTGTTCTTGCTTTGGAAGAGAAGTAGCTCTCTGCAAATACAGGCAGCACACACTGAGCGCCCACGGGGACGCTATGGCAGTCGGTGAGAATGTGGAGATTAAACAACTACCCTCCCCTTTCAGGAAAACCCCAAATTCCGAGAACGTCTTAAGAGCGAAACTTAAAAGTGCCAATATCTCTCCCGGGGTCAAGTGTTTTGGGAGCTGCGGTTAGCACAGAAGGTTCTTCCCAGCCTGAAAAGACCGCAAGCCACTGCCCGAGGTCTGGGGAGGAAATCTTCTAAGAAAGGCGTGGAACTCTCCTGTCAGAAGAAGTGACAAGTTCCCCAAGACACCCATCCACCAGAGTAGAATGCAAACCTCCCAGGGCCCCTCCCAGGACCGTAGCCCCCAGAGCCAGCACCCTCCTAAGGGCTGGCACTTGGCCTGCGCCCACTTTGGGTAGCCGTCCTGAAAGGCTCGCGTCGGGGCGCCTCCCGCCTCAGGTCCGAGTTCCCGCCACCAGCCGCTTCCCCCAAGGGCCTCCCGCTTCGGATGCCACTCGCGTGGGTTCTCCCCTCTCGGCCCCTTGGGCGCAATCCCTTGCCCCCCTCAGCCCAGTCCTTCAGCCCCTCAGCCCTGTTACTTTTGAAGTTGTCCAGCACTTTCTTCTCTTGGAAGCCTTCTCCCTCCAAGAAGGAGCACACGTCCTCCACATCCCAGGTCGTGAGGTCGATGTGGAGTTCGGAGCCCGGAGACGCGTTGGCAGCTGCAGGACGGGTGCTCGGCGGCGTTCTTGGGCTGCCATCGCAGCGAGGCCGCTTCGCGGGCAGCTCGGGGTCCGCTCTCCGCATGGCTACCTGAGACGCTAGGCGCAGCGAAATTAAGTACCGCGGCACCCGGCTCGCGCGCAGTCGCACTGACGCCACTGCCCGGGAGGCGAGTCCATTCAGCGGTGCCATCCGGGCCTACTGCGCAGGCGCGATGGACATCAGCCCTGAGCGCTTGGCCTCCCTGAGGCACTAGTGCCCGGCCCATCGCGCAAGCGCAATGATATGCACACTTGCCCTCAATCCCGCCCCTGTGTTTCCCGAAAGGGCGGAGTTATTAGAGAAACAAAATTTTTGATTAAGGGAGGGTGAGGGCTCTAGCAAGGACGAGGCCGGGGTAAAAGGGCACCTGGGGCTAATGAAGGTTCCACCACCTCCAGATTAAAGGACCTTCTGGTGGACTGCAGGTACCTTCCTCTAAGCAAGTACTTTTTTGCCCGGTTTCAAACGTTCCAAGCTGTGAACTTGTAAAAAGTACCTGAAGGCAACGAAGCTGCCAGCACCATCCCAGTGCAGAACATGACTGGCAAGGGAGTGGCCTAACTGGAAGATCCTGCAATGATTGCCAGTTAGTTGTCCTTTTGCATTTCACAAATTCAGTTAGTTGGCAGGGGACTGCCCTAAGGTGCCAAGTTTATTTCCAAATAGACAGGATTTTTACTGATTACTGGTTAGTGTCCAAATGACAGGCATTTTCTTTTGCTTTAATCCATTTTGGGTGAAGACCCAAACTTCCCCATAAATCCTTATTCATACAGTATTAGTACACTAATGTATTACTAATACATACTAATAATGACCGCTACTAATAAAAAAAAACACCTCAATCTACAGCAAGGCTATTTTAATACCATGCAGTCCAAATTAGACGCTTAGTGGTGAGCTGAACAGGTGAAGCTCAGGCAGAGAATACATCCTGGAGGCCCAGTGGTCAATCCCCAACACCAAAACAGAGCAAACACGAAATCTGATAAACCAAGGCATTCTTAGCAAACAATGCTGTTGTGTTCAGGGTCCTTGTTCTGAAGGCTTCACAAATACTAACACATTTAACAAATTTCAGATGGGAGGAAGTGAAGTACAAAGGTGGGGAGGAGAGGGAGGGGGAAGGGAGAGAGAGAGCTAAGAAATGATAGGCAGCATGCTTCCAAAGCTCTTAATAACTTGTTGGCCCAGAAAAACATTCTCCATCCTGTCAACAGGGCATTTGGTGAAAACATCCCAGTTATCAAGACATAAGAAACGGTAACAAGAGGGTAAAAGAGCTATATTTTACATCCACAATGGCTGATTTGAAAATTGTGCTTCTAAGATTTGTGAGAGTCTTTTCCCATAGAAGGCAGCAATAGAAAATGATACAAACAGGCTTTTAAGTTTAATCAATTAGATTTGCGTGTTCCGTGTGGTCTAGCATGATGGCTTAGTGGCCATGAAGGCACTTGCCGTGCAAGTGTTGCGATCTGAGTTTGAGTCTAAGACACGAGAGAAAGGTGGAAGAAGAGGGCTGACTCTGGGAAATTGTCTGCTGATCTCTATGCGTATGCTGTGGTATGAGTGGTCACACACACACACATACACACATATTTTATATATATAGGGGGGGTTTCTCTGTAGCTTTGGAGCCTGTTCTGGAACGTATTCTGGGATTAGTCATGTGCCACCACTACCTGTCAACACGCACTATTTTTTTAAAAATATGCATTATTTCCCCACAATCCTCTCACTTCCAGAGGCTCTTAATCTTTTGAACTGTTACAGTTACTGGCTCAAGGTCACATGATGGTAACAGAGGGAGTCCGTTGACACAGGATTTCATCTATAAAACTGACCCCGGGGTGTCACTTGGTCAGCTCTAGTTCTGGTGACCTGGTCCCACGCAGTCATCCCACAACCCGAGAAGCAGTACCTATCAGACAGGAGTCCTGCCCATATCGAGAGGACGCTCTGCCCAAGCTTCCTCTTAGAAGCCAATCCTGCCATGGTTAGGAGCAGAATAGGAAAAAACTGTTTTAAGGCTCATATCGCCGGTGCCGGTCCAAGAAATTTGTCCTGGACCTCCAAGTGTCCCACAGGGAGATAGATTGTGAAATTTGGTCCTGACAGCATCAGGCTGTGGTTTCCACATCTCTGCACAGCCAACTATCACCACGCTCCACTCTGATTCACTCTTCTACTTCCTCTTCAGCCTTCGCTCTACATGCTTCCTGGAGATATTTTTTCCATCTATGCAAATTTCAAAGCCAAACCCAAAACCTCTCTCTCTCTCTCTCTCTCTCTCTCTCTCTCTCTCTCTCTCTCTCTCTCTTTCTTTCTTTTCTCAAGACAGGGTTTCTCTGTTAGTCCTGGCTGTCCTGCAACTCACTCTGTAGACTTGAACTGGCCTTGAACTCAGAGATTTGCCTGCCTCTACCTCCTGAGTGCTGGGTTAAAGGTACTGCCTGACTCCAAATTCTTTAAATTTTCTTTCATCCTAACACTTACAGAAGTAGAGGCAGGAGGATCTTGAGTTCAGGATAGCCTGGTCAACACAGTGAGTCTCTGCCTCATTGGCAGCCACATGGCTTAGTGGATAAGAATGCTTGCTGAGCAGGCAGGAGGCCCTGTGTGGGTAAGCCTTGGCACCTGTGTAACTCGAGTGTTGAGGGAAGGGCAGGGAGGTGGAGACAGAGGATCACTGGAGCTTGTTGGCTGCCAGTCTCATTCAAGTTCAGAAAGAGACCCTGTCTTCTAGGTGTAGTGGTGTACATCTTTAATTTTGCCACGGGAGGCAGAGGTAAGGGGATCTCTGTGAGCTCAAGGCCAGCTTGGTATACACGGAAACTACCAGACTAGCCAGAACTACATAGTAAGACCTAGTCTCAAAAAAGGGGATAAGGCAGAGAGAACAGAACTCTACGTGTGATCCCCTGGGCATTCCGTGTACACAAGGACATCCACATGAACATGTACACCTGTACACACATGTACATATATCACACACACAAATAGCATTTGGCTAGTGCTGGGAGTATATCTCAGTGGGTAGAAGAACACTTACCTTTCACTCATGATGCCCTCAGACACACACTCAAGTAAGAGTTGAGTCAGACATTTCAATTTTGCATAGTGTCTATTATTTTTAATCCTCATAAGAGTTTTGTTGACTGATTATTTTAGTGTTAAATTTATGTGGTTATTAACACATTTTCACCCATCAAATATGAGTGTTTACAGGGTACTTAGAATTTGCTTAGCCCTAATCTGGACAACTAAAGCACATCAACAACTGTACAGACAAAAATCCCTGTTACTGAAATTCGCATTCTAGTGGGAATGCCATCAGTGAACAATATAATGAACTATAGGAGACTTGATGTGGGATTTTCCTCTGTATGCTGTGAATACCATTGGTTAATAAAGGAACTGCTTATAGGGGAACAGAGATAGACATGGAAAACTAAACTGAATGCTGGGAGAAAGAAGGAAAAGTTAGGGAGAAGTCATGTAGCCCTGCTGGAGACAGACACCAGAACTTTAGCCAGTAAGCCACAGCCACGTGGTCATACACAGATTAATAGAAATAGGTTAAATGAATATGTAAGAGTTAGCCAATAGGGGCTGGAGAGATGGCTCAGCGGTTAAGAGCACTGACTGCTCTTCCAGAGGACCCGGGTTCAAAACCCAGCACCCACATGACAGCTCACAACTGTCTGAAAATCCGGTTCCAGGGGATCTGACACCTTCACACCAATGCACATAAAATAAAATAAAGTCAATAAAAAAAAGAGTTAGCCAATAAGAAGCTAGAGCTACTGGGCTGAGCAGTGATTTAATTAATACAAATTTTGTGTGATTATTTTGGGGCTAAGCGGCCAGGAACCAACTAGTGGCTCACTCCTTGCTACAGAGACTTGCATCATAGGAAGTCTGGTGCTGTAGAAAAATATAAATTGGAGTAAAAGACCAGGAGTGGTCACCATGTTAGGTAGGATAGTCTGGAGAGGTCTTTGGGGAAGATGACATTTGAGCAGAGATGAAAGAGTTATCCGTGTGGTATAGAAAGGCATTCCACAAAGAGGAAGCAAGCCTCCCTAAGCAGAAGCGTGCCTGGAGTTGAGAAATACCAAGGGGCAGAAGAGGAAGCAGCGAGAGATGAGGGCTTATGCAGAATGCAGGCATGAGAGTCAGGGAGAACTCTGATCTCATTTGAAGACCTTGAGAGAATGACTTCGACAAGATGGAAGACCTCCATACCTGGGCTAACCACCAGTGTGGTCATTATAAAAAGATTGACTCTGGCAGGTTACCTTTAACTCCTTTAGTCAAAAGGTAAGGTCTCATGCTAATAGGAAAAGAACTTATTCAGGACAAAGACCCCAGATGCTATCACACCCATATAACAGAGAAGGAAATATTCAGCTGGGCGGTGGTGGTGCACGCCTTTTAATCCCAGCACTCAGGCCTTTTCTAGATTGTAATATAAATGTTATGTATAAGCATAATGTAGCCCTTGGCACTTGAGTTCTTTCAGTTAGTACATTATTTGAGATTTATCTATTGTGTATGCATCCACAACCCTATCATGTACATATATTTCAAAAACATCTAGATTCAAAAACAGGCAGTGAATTTAGATCAGCTGTTCACAGCCTCCTTTTTCTACTGTTTTTCTGCACATGACACAATTTCTTTCTTTTGGTTTAAGCACAGCTCTTACTGCAAACGAAAGAAGATTCTAGATCTAAGTATGAGTGACCACATCCTGGATGCAGATTCAGACTGCCCCAAATACTGCGTGTCAACACAGTGAGAGTTTGCTGAAGTTTTTATTGTAACAAAACAAAGAAAATGATAAATAAGAAAGTTAAATGCATTGGTGGAAGCTCCAGGTAGGCAGGGTAGAGGGGAGAAACCTTTGCTGCAGCCTCGGATGCAATGGGATGACTTCTTAACTTGTGGGTTGAGAGAAGCTAGAGGGCTGATTGTACATATCCAAAAGATCTGCCTAATAGTCACAAGGATGCTAGGACAAACACAGAGGTGGGCAATAAATGATTATTTAGGGAGCTGAGAGAGCAGGAGATAATTTGGCTGTGAACTTGTATTATTTCAACTCACCACATCACTGAAGTATTTTATTTTTACCAGTCTATCAGTCATAAAGAATGTTTAACAATAAGTTCAGGTTTTTGATGGTTTTTTTTTTTGGCAGGGGTGGGTCTTAACTTTTTTTATGTCTAAATAAAATACTATTGCACAAATGCCAATTTAAAAAAATTCATTCAGCTGTTGATGGGCATCTAAGGTGGTTCTATGTCTTGGCTGTTGGCCCCTTTCCTTTTTTTTTTTTTTTTTTTTTTGAAGCAAGGTCTCATGTAGCCCAGGTTGGCTTCCGGTTGGAATTGTTATAGAGATGATCTTGAATTTCCTGAACCTATGTGCTGGATGTGTCCAGTTCTATGTCAACTTGACACAGGCTGAAGCCATTTGAGAGGGGGGAACCTCAATTAAGAAAAAGCCTTATTGAGATCATGCTGTAGGCAAGCCTTGGGGCATTTATTTTTTATTAGTGATTAATGGAGAAGGCCCACTCCACGGTGGGTGGTATGGAGGCAAATTCCATAACCTATTTCTTCTATCCTTAACTCTAAAGTCAAAACCGTGTAGCTAAAGTTGCCAATTTCCACTACTTGATGGGGCTGGAACATGGCCCTCTCATTCAATTACATCTTCACTAGCTTTCTGTCCTTCACTGCCTAAGCATGGTTGTCCTGAAACTGGATCTGTATTCCAGGCTGGCCTAAAACTCAAAGATCTGTCAGCCTCTGCCTTCCACGTTCTAGGGTTAAAAGTGTCCCACCATACCAGGCTCTAAACTTTTCTCTAGTTTCTTCTCACCAGTTGGACACTTAATTGGGTGGGATATTGCCATTATTCATTTCTTAATCTGTTTATCTCCTTCAACATAGGACTTAAATCCATTCTACTTTCTGGTGCTCTTTTTCTCCTCAAAATTTACATTTTGTAATTTACCCTGGTCAGTTTGCTCCTTTTAAAAATCTTCATTAGCATTATCACTAATATCCACACAACAGTGCCTATACTAGGCTATTTTGAGATTTCCTTTGCCAACAAAATTAATCCAAAACTCTTCACTTTAGCCTCATGCAGACTCATCAGACAAGGGCAAAAAGCAGCCACTTCTTCACCAAAATATCACAAGATCAGTCTCTAGGCCACATACTAATGAACAGCCTTCTCTGAAACCTCTTAATCCCCACAGTTCATCAAATCACATTCAGCACCACTGTCTTCCAAGCTCCTACTAGTATGGCCCATTAAGCAGTGCTTAAAGCATTCCATTGCTTTTCTAAACCATATTCCAAATAAAAACATGGTCGAGCATCACAGCAATACCCCAATCCTCAGTACCAACTTCTGTCTTAGTTAGGGTTTCTATTGCTGTGAAAAGACACCATGACCACAGCAACTCATAAAAAATATATAATTGGGGTGGCTTACAGTTTCAGAGGTTCAGTACATTATTGTCATGAGAGGGAGCAAGGTGGTGTGCAGGCAGATGCGATGCTGGAGCTGAGAGTACTACATTGTGCAGGCAACAAAAAGTCAACTTAGACAGTGGGTGGTATCCTGAGCATAGAAAACTTCAATGCCCACTGCTATGGAATAATTCTTTTGTACACTTCAAGATTTGCCATGAGGATTGGTTTAATAAGAAGCTGATTGGCTGGTAGGCAGACAGGAATTATAAATGAAACAATCATTTCATTTGAGGAGAATGATGGGAAGGTCAGAGTCAGAGGAGATGCCAGCCAGCCACCAAGGAAGCAGGATATAGAGAAAATGAAGTAACAGGCCATGAGCCACATAGCAAAGCATAGTTAAGAAATATAGTTTAATTTAAATGTAAGAGTTAGTTAGTAGCCAGAGGGTGGTGAAACATGCCTTTTGTTGGGAAATATTATGTTAAGGTGTGTTACTTTTGTTTATATTGCATTTGTTTAATTCTGTAAAGCTGTGATACTTTGCCTGTCAGATCTGAATGGCCAATAGTGAGGCAGGAGAAAGGATGTGGGGGATGGCAGAGAATATAAATAGAAGGAGAAAACTGGGAGGAGAGTAATAGCCAGAGGAGGAGGAGGAGGAGGACATCAGGTGCCAGCCATCCAGCTACACAGCAATCCACGGAGTAAGAGTAAGATTTACAAAGTAAGAGAATGAGAAAAGCCCAGAGGCTAAAGGTAGATGGGATAATATAAGTCAAGAAAAGCTGGCAAAAAACAAGCGAAGTTAAAGCTAGACATTTATAACTAGGAATAAGCCTCCATGTGATTTATTTGGGAGCTGGGTGGTGGGCCTGTCCTACAGAGTCAAGAGTAAAAACTGTGGGGCCCAGGCTGCACGGCTGCCATAGCAGGCAGCACCAGGTTTCAGGAAAAGCCGTAAGCTGGCAGTGCCCAGGAACAGACCATCCAAAGGAAGTTCCTAACATTCCAACCATTGTAGATAGAATCACCTACCAGGACACACTCATCGCTTTTCACCAGGACACCCCTAGACAAATGTCAGCCAATCAGGGTCCTGAACCTTAGAAATACCTCACCCCCACCTTTACTACTATAAAACCCAACCCCAACTTGTGGAAGAATAAAGGCTCTTTGCTTTTACATACAGGACTTGATCTCCAAAATACAGAAGGCCACTGTACCCCACCTATGATCTTTCCAAGCATCCATGTAGATTGTCTATAGGCTCTCACAGATTCTGGGCCCATGTACAGGATATCCAAAACAGAAAGACATAAAATGAAACTTGCATACAAAAAAAAAAAAAAACCAGGGGGCTGGAGAGATGGCTCAGCGGTTAAGAGCATTGCCTGCTCTTCCAAAGGTCCTGAGTTCAATTCCCAGCAACCATATGGTGGCTCACAACCATCTGTAATGAAGCCTGGTGTCCTCTTCTGGCCTGCAGACAGAATACTGTATACATAATAAACAAATAAATATTAAAATTAAAAAAAAAAACACAGAAAACTTACTGGCCAACTGAAGGGTTGAGCTTGGGGGAATCCAGAACGAGCCCCCAAATGTTATGCCCAGATCATGGAGCCCCCCACAACCAACTTGGAGACCAAGTCCTGTATGTAAAAGCAAAGAGCCTTTATTCTTCCACAAGTTTGCAAACTCGGTCTCTTTGTGTGTGCTGGCAGGTGATTCTATCTACAATGGTGGGAATGTTAGGAATTTCCTTTGAATGGTCTGTCCCACCAACTAGAGACCAACTATTGAGGCCCATGAGCCTGTGTAAGGCATCTCATTCAAAGCATCACTGTGTATATGTAAGTGTATACACACATGCACACAGGTGCCCTTGGAGGCTAGAAGACAGCATTGGGTCTTTTGGAACTGGAGTTATAGGCTGTTATAAGCCACCCAGTGTGGGTGCTGGGAACCAAGTTCTGGTATTCTACAAGAGCAGCCAGTGCTTCTGAAAGCTGAGACATCTCTCCAACTCGAAGACATGAATTTTAGATGGCTGCACAAGTATCTCTAGTAATACAATAAAAAGTACAACAGTTTAATAGTTTTTAATTCTAATTTTTATTAACTATTTTATGTACATTAATACAAAGTTCTGAAAATTGGTAAAAACATGTCTGAAGTTTTTAAACAGTCATTGAATAAATTCACATTTATATTTTATACATTAATAATGAAAGTGATACAGTAGTTATAGCTACATAGAAATATGTACAAGGATTCAAGACAGACTACTATTTGGCTTATTACAACATGTGTAGATACTACACAAAACACAAGAATACAATTTTCAGAAAAACAAAACATAACCCAAATCTCCTTTTAAAATTTAAAAAATAAAGTTTGGTTACCATTCATCATTAATTGGCAGTCAAATCTTGAATTAATTCAAATTAATTAATTTTGGAAAAGTTAAACATTATGTTGAGCTAGACTGCCAGGTTAACACTTTATATTTTAAAAAATAAGTTTGCAGCTAAAATATTTATACTGACACATCATCTAGAAATTAAGTAAGAATGGCTTATTCCCATCCTCTCAGATTCTAGAAACACACAAGAAAAGGTGAACACTAAAGACCTGATTCTTTAGAAGGCTGTACCTCCAGTGTGAAAAGATCAACAAGGGGATTCCAGGAGTTAAACATCGGTGGAAAACATGCGAGAAACCATAATTATCGGGACAAAGAGTGATGTAAGATAGGAAGAAAAAGTTGAGTTCTTGAACTGAAACACTCTGATTATAATAAGGCATTAAGTGATACTAATGTGAAAGCTTCAAATGTTTTCAGGAAATTAAATAAATGAGAATGAAAATTGATCTTTTTGAGTAAGGATCTTGCTATGTAGCCCAAGTTCCTTTGGAACCTGCTATATAGCCAGGCTGGTCTCATATTCCCAGCAATTCTCCTGTGCTGCTGGAATTAAAGGCATGTCCCACTGTACACAACAAGAATGAATGATTTTATCATAATGCTACTTTACTAATGAAATTTAATTTCTTATTTATCGGAATTTTATTCTACTAGATTAAGAAACAGTTTCTTATTTTAAGAACTACCGAATACAATCACATATAATACAACTTTAAGAACTGACTGAGTACAATCACATATAATAATTAAGGTAATATCACGAAAATCAAAACTATATAGTAGTTTTAAAAATGGAACAAATATCCCTTTCATTGCATTGTAACATCAGGCTAAGAGGGCTCAGGACTGGAAAGCAAGTGGGGGAGTGCAGGACTCTGGTACAAAGCTGCTTGAACTTAACAAGAAGAAGACAAAGGGACAGATAGCCTAGCATGTTGGTAGTACCTGATGTGCAGTTACTAGAGTGGGCCCAAGGCAGGCTGGTGCATCACTGAGCCCACATATTGTGGGCACTAACCTGGCCTTCGACATGAGCAGACAGTACAAGCATCTCAAAGACTCACTGACCTCATATTAAAAAGTACAGAAGACATCTGATCATTTTGAAAAGAAAACTAAAAAATAGTTTCTCCTTAATTCATCCTAAAAAGTAACCCAAGGAACAAAAATTTTAAAAAATATTAATATTTATAAAGGCACTTAAATTTTCTTTTCTAATCTAACTGAAAATACATGTCTGTCAGATACATATTGAATAAAAGTTTCTAAAAAAACACAACTTGCTTTTGGTGCAAGTTTTGGTATAACCCAGTGATAAAAGTGTGAAGGATGGAGCCCCCAAACTTTCTCCAGAACAACACCAAAGTGCTTTGGTCAGAAAAAGGAATGCCATTAGTGATTTGCTCTTTCACTGACAACATCTTGTAATCGCTTGAGTAAAACATCATCATTCTCTTGGCAGAGACGTTTGGCAGGTGATTCTGCATCTCCACTGATGGCTATTATGCGCTTCTTGGTTTTCTGATCACCTTGCCTTATCATGTTGTTGATATCTTTCAAACTCTACAAAAACAAGAGGTCATGTGTAAAAGATAGAAAAAAAAGAGAAATGATAAGTAATGAACTAAGTTAACTGCCTTTCTCCTTTCTATCTTCTACTCTAGCCCAAGCACTGATATAGAGATTATCTTTTGAACGGGTAGTTTCGTGAGTGGTTTTAAAAGATGATGTACCTTTGAACAGTAGTTCTCAACATGGAGCCTCCAGATAGAGGGAGCAGAGGCACCAAGAAGCTGATGCTAGAAATGCAAATCTACAAGCTTTACCATCCACTTTCTGAGTTAGATGTTTTGAGATAGGGCCTAGCAGTACATGTCGTATTTATTTATTTGTGTGTTGTGTGTGTATAGGGCAAATTATTGACATGACATGTACAGGGGTCAGAGAACAACTTTTGGGAGTTGGTCCTTCCCCTCCAGGGTGGGTTTCTGAGACAGAATTCAGACATCAAGATTGTGTAGCAAGGGCTGGAGAGATGGCTCAGAGGTTAAGAGCACTGCCTGCTCTTCCAAAGGTCCTGAGTTCAATTCCCAGCAACCACATGGTGGCTCACAACCATCTGTAATGGGGTCTGGTGCCCTCTTCTGGCCTGCAGACATACACATAGACAGAATATTGTATACATAATAAATAAATAAATATTTAAAAAAAAAGATTGTGTAGCAAGTAGTTTTCCTCACTACACTTTCTGACCAGCTGCAACCAACATTTTATGCTTGTTTGTTTTTAAAATCTTTTCATTTATTATTGATTTTTTTTAATGTGCATGAATGCTTTGTCAGCACATATAGCATGTGAACTCCTGGTGCACACAGAGGCCAGAATAGTGTCAGATTCCTCCAAGACTGGCATTAGAAATGGTTGTGAGCTACCATGAGGTGCTGGGAATTGAACCTAGGTCCTCTGAAAGTGTGGAGACACACACACACACGTAAAACATATATTATATATAGTACAACACATTATATAGTATATATGATAAACTATATCATATACTATATGTTATATGCTATATATTATACAGTGACCATATTCATATGTGTATATAAGATATACTATATATTTAAAAATTTTTTTTGGTGTTTGTCTCTGTTAGAGGGGCAAATACATGTCAGGGCACATATGTGGACATCAAAGGACAATTTGCATGAGTCATCTCTTCTATCATATAGGTCCCAGGGATATAACTAAGGTCACCAGGCTTGGTGGGAGGGCATTAGCCTTCTGAGTCAATTTACTGTTTTGGTTTTTTTTCCTCTGACTGAGGCACTGCTAAGCCTGGATTAACACAGTAATGCTTTTAAACTTAGATGTGCTTACTGCTTGTCTGGGGATCCTGATAATGTAAAGACTGGTGTGTGGGGGTGTGTGTCTGTGAGTCATCCCAGGTGATTCTGATGTTATAGGCACACAAGAAGTGGTTCCTGAAACTGTATCCCAGTGTCTGGACCTGCCTGCTAGCTCTTGTGATTCCACACAATATTGTGTCTGTCCATGTTGTTAACAACCTTTCCAATAAACATCCTCTCCCTAACAACAGGTCCAAGAATCCCTCTTTAGTCCCACTTCTGAGACTGTTCAAGCAACTCAAGAGCTGAGTGCTGGGATTACAGGTATGGACCATTATGCCTACTTTAATAGTAGTGTTTCTGGTCATACAAAGCATGCCACAGTTAGTAGTTTATATTTTATTAGTGGTAACTTTGTAACAAAAAGATTGATGAGGGGGCTGGAGAGATGGCTCAGAGGTTAGGAACGTTGCCTGCTCTTCCAAAGGTCCTGAGTTCAATTCCCAGCAGCCACATGGTGGCTCACAACCATCTGTAATGAGGTCTGGTGCCCTCTTCTGGCCTGCAGGCATACACACAGACAGAATATTGTATACATAATAAATAAATATTTTAAAAAAAGATTAATGAATGCTGAATTGATAAACTGAAGTCAGTTTTTTTTAAAAAATTTTTATTTATTTATTTATTTATTATGTATACAATATTCTGTCTGTGTGTATGCTGACAGGCCAGAAGAGAGCGCCAGACCCCATTACAGTTGGTTGTGAGCCACCATGTGGTTGCTGGGAATTGAACTCAGGACCTTTGGAAGAGCAGGAAATGCTCTTAACCTCTGAGCCATCTCTCCAGCCCACTGAAGTCAGTTTTAAGAGGTAAAGTTACTTGAAATCCAACTTTTGCAGTTACTTGAAAATTCTAACTTGAAATCCAACACTGAACAAGTATGTACATGAACTGTTCTACAGCAAAGAGTGTATGTACTTTACCTTAGAAGGGCTGCCATTGAACTTGTACAGCAGAGCACTCCTGGGGGTGAGGCCGGATCCGTTTTTGTGTGGTGAAACATAAATGGAGTGCTGCTGGGAAATGCGACGTGGGGAGCCCGGCTGCTGCTTAATATGTGGGAAAGGAGAGAGGGGTGGAGCATCCATCTAAAATAACCCAAAAGTCATATTTTTAAGACAAAAGAATTAAAAAAATTTTGTCCTTATAACAGTAATTCTCTGTTAAAAGATAACTACATTTTAAGAACTTATTTATGACTGAAAAAGGCAAAAAAAAAAGGTTATTACTCATTGTTTCTATCAACTATTAAGAGATAAGCTAAAACTTACTTTCTTGGATCACCCGAGAAATCCTATAACTAGATTAAAGTTATAACGGATTAAAAAATCCGGGTAAGCAGGGCACACTGGCATGTCTGTAATGCCAGTACTCAGGAGCTGAGGCAGAAGTATATCAGTTCTAAGCTAGTCTGGGCTCTGCCTTTCCAAAACAAAACAAAACAAAACAAAAACAAACAACAAACAATTGGGACAAATTACTAGAAATGGTAAACCAGGAACATGTGAACTCCTGTGTTTATACTACGAAGGTAAGAACAGGACTTGAGGCTCGTTTAATTCCAAGTATCATTAAAAACAAACAAACAAACAAACAAAAACCAACCCTTTTACCACCACAGAAACAAAAAACAACCCATAACCAAGTTTTATTGACTGATAAAGATGAACATAAAGACAAGACATTTCTAAGTAATGCCCAAGAAATCACAAAAAGGCTGAATGAAATGACAAATGCAGTCCAGGATTTGAAAACTGGGTTCAGTAAAGAGAAACACTGAAGAAAGCTCAGGCTGAATTGAAAATAGAATTGAAAAACTCAATATTCTAATTAGAAAATTCAGAGGAAAGTCTGACAAATAGAACAGATCAAGTAGATGCTAGACTATCAGGCCTCAAAGACAAAATAGAGGAATTAGATTATGTAAACAAAGAATATTAAAATGTTTTTAAAAATACATAAAGGTGTTAACAGAGTCCCAGATGTTTGTTAGGCCCCCAGACCTTAGCACCACTGACTCCATGATGGAAACACCATTCAGGCTGTAAAACTCAGCACACAGACAACACCACCTGTCAAAACTAAAACCAAGACCTAATCCACCAAAGCCCATAGTTCTGGAAAAGTCTCTAAAAGCACTAACCTTGCTTTTAGGTTTCTGTGGTTCCTCTTTTGGCTAACTGTTCCTATTAACTGACATATGTCAACCCAGGATATGGTTTTTGTGGTTAAAAGCTCACCCTGAGAAAGGTTTGGGATCCCAAACACCCACTATAGTAGCCAGCTGGCTAATAAAGCTTTTCTATTGGCTTAAACCCATGTCTAAGCAGTTTTCTCTGATGTATACCCCACAACAAAAGGATTATACAGGAACTATGGTAAACCATGAAAAAACCAAATCTTTGACTAGAGACACAGATGAAGGAAGAGAATGTAGGTCAATGGCACAGACTAGATCTTCAACAAGATGAGAGAAAACTTCCCCAAACTAAGAAAAGACACACCCATACAGATACAAGAAGCACACAGAACCTCAACCAGACAAGACCAGAAAAGAAATTCCCCAAGGCATATCATAATCAACACACTAAATACACAGGGAAAAAAGGAATGAAAGCTGCTGTGTTATATTACACAGGGCCCAAAAGAAACCTTTGCTGACTTGTTACAGAGAGAGACTTCAGCTGTAAATAGAATGTTATCAAATTCAGAAGCTAGACAAATAGTAATTGAGCCTTTGGCTTTTGAAAATGCTAATTCACAATGCAAAAGGGTAATTAGGCCTTTGAAGGCAAGATCATCATCCACAGAGGAATGAATCCAAGATGCAGTTAATATTGAATCTCATAACCAAAATAGGATAGGAAGGAGGTGATTTACAGAGGCTTAAAGAAAAATCAAATGTCAAGTGTTTTAATTGTGGCACACCTAAAAAGGGATTGTAGACAGGGCATTCCCAGAAACAATGCTTCTTCTAATTCAAACAGAAGGCCCTTGACTTCTGGAATATGTAGAAGGTGAAGCAAAGTCTGACATTGGACAAATGAATATAGATTAAAAAGGGACAGACAAGGCAACCCTTTGCCATTGGCAACACCTTGAGGGGCCTCTCACAGGCCCGCATGTCAAATTTGGTCCAATCATTCCCTGTCACTGTGGACGAAACTCCTTCCCAGAGAAATTAAAGGACCTCATGCCTGGAAAACCATACTGCTCTGGATGATAGAACAGTTTAAGAAGATAAAACAAAAATTTCAAGAGAAACCATAAAGCAAATATCATAAAGATTAGATGTGAACAAGAGAGACCTCTTGATTAGAAGAGGTGATAGTTCATCAACTAACTTATAAGACTAACAAATGCTTTTCATTTGATAAGATAAAACTTGCCAAAAGGGAAACTCCCCAAAGTTAGGGTTGGGGCAGGGTTTTGTTTTTGTCTTTCCAAGAGAATGAAGGCATCCAGCCAAGGAATCTGAAGATCACTGGACAAACGAGACATGTGAATAAAATTACGAATCATCCAGAGAAAATGTCCCAAGAAAAAGAGTAAATTAGCCTATTGGCATATCACATTTCTAACAGCCAGGTGGTGGTGGCGCACACCTTTAATCCCAGCACTTGGGAGGCAGAGGCAGGTGGATCTCTGTGAATTCAAGGCCAGCATGGTCTACAAGAGCTAGTTCCAGGACTGGCTCCAAAGCTACAGAGAAACCCTGTCTTGAAAAAAACAGAAACAAAACAAAACAAAAACACAGAAAACATTTCTAACAGGATAAAATTTTATAAATCATCCCAAATGTTTCTGCTGTTCTCTATAAGCATAAAATACAAATGGTCTTTTTGTAGTCTTAGTTCAATTAAAAATAAAGCAGCTTTAGAGTTGGAGTGTGGCTCTCTCCTTCTCTAAACCCAAGCACGCTTGTAAAATGGAAAATCCAGAATCTCTGTCTCATGTCAGAAGAGCCACTTGATGGGAAAGAAGAAAAACCAAAATTAAGGAACTATTTATTCTATTACCACTAATTGCATAATTCTTTAGTTTTATTTTGACTCTTTAAAACTTATTAAGGCATAAATATTATCTCAAAATTTATAAAATTTGCTAAGTGGTGGTGGTGCATGCCAATTCCAGCACTTGGGAGGAAGAACAGGCGGATCTCAGTGAGGTCAAGGCCAGTCTAGTCTACAAAGTGAGTTCCAGGACAGCCAGGACTTTTACACAGAGAAACTCTGTCTTGAAAACAAACAACCAATCAAAAAACCAAAAAACAAAACAACCCAACACACACACACACTTTAACTTTTTGTCATGGTATTAATAGTTATGTAGAGTACTAATTCTAGAAAAAAGCTTCATCTAGTTTCCTGTACATCATTTTGAGTTTGAACATCAGGTAACTAGGAATTAAGTTTCAGCACTCTGGATATACATAACAAATTGTGGTCCTTTAACCTTTTTGAGATCTACTATTAGAACATTTCAAATGTTTTAAGCTTTCTAAGTGAACCATGACCATACCTTACAGTGACTTCTGAAGTCTCCAAAATGAGGACAGGGCCCCACAATGATGATTCCACTAGAACTTTGGTAATGCCACTAAACTGACAAATCACTCAAAGATCGGCTTTAGACTATAAACTGCTCAGGACAATTTCCAGCCTCATAGACTACTCTAGCTAGAACTTGAGATAAGCCCTGAATTTTCCCATTATAGAGACTGGACAACAATGATACAGTTAGCTCTCCCAGGACTTGCCAATTATCCCAATTTTTGTGGCAGGGTCCACTAAAGATGCCATTTCCCCCAAACAGCAGGAAGCAATTTAAAGGATATGAGGCCCACATTCCCAAAAGGTAGGGTGGGCGGGTTTTGGTTATTCAGTGGGTTATGGACATTTGTCATTATTTAGAGGGTTTGATTATAAGCTGTTATTGGTCATGGTGAGGAAAAAAGCTGAACAAAGGAGATTAGATTTAAGGGATTTTGTTCTAAAAAGAAAAAGGGGAAGAGGGAGATGGTGCAAGCCTTTAATCCCAGCACTTAGGAAGTAAAGGCAGGGGGAATCTCTTTGAGCTTGAGGCCCACCTGGTCTACAGAGCGAGTTCCAGGATAGGTTCCAAAGTTGCACAGAGAAACCCTGTCTCAAAAATAAAAAAAAAAAAGGGAAAAGAAAAAAGGGGAGATAAGAGAAATAGGATAAAAGGGTAGATTGTTGAATCAACTTTTAAATCAAAAAGGAAACTACTAGTCTTAAATATTTCACATTGACATGAATTTTTGTATTTTGATACAAATTTGAGGTTATTTTTCTTATACTCTATATATAATGTTTCTACTCTGCTTTAAGATAATTTTGCATATTGATATAAATTTAAGATTATTTTTGTTAGAATATACTGTACACGTTTCTACTCTTGTTCAATGTACCTATACAGCTCATTTATCAGTGTAATGCAAATTTCTAGTCCTTGAAAGTTATTGTTACAAATTATTTAGGATAATAAAGAAATGCAGGTTAGTAGCTAGTCACCAAACATATAGTCAAGTTAGATATGTTTTCTAGCTTAAACAGAGATATATTTTAGATAGACAGGTAGTCTTCAAACACTTCAGAGGTCTACAGAATATGGCATTAAAAATGTTTTAATAACATAGGTTCTTTTCCTTTTTTAATGAGAATGAGACATGTCTGCTCCTAGCAGTACTAATCTACTTCAGAGAAGATGATGGGCATCAAAGAGACTCTATATGGAGTTGACTTTCTTTGTAGCAAAAGTTAACCACTGGGTAAGATACTGCCCTTGCCTTGATTGACGACAGTAAACTGTCCAAACTGAACAAGCAGGACACAAAAGAAAATGACTGCTGAACTTTGCCAAGACAAGGTAAGAAAGTCCTTCAAAAATCCTGCTTCACAGAAAAATCTGTCGGATATTCTAGGTCTGTAAACTGAAGATGGATGCCCCAATGCTACAGAGGAACTCTGGATGACAGTCCAGGCAGTCAGCTGTTTCTGTCATTACTCACACTTTTTGGAAGTCACTGCCTGCACATTCTGCTTACTCAGTTAATATTATTTCCTTTTTGGATCTCTGAGGGAGCTGAAGACTAGATAATTATAGTTCTCCTTATTTACCTGATACAGAAAGCAAGTTATGATAGAAAGTAAATTAGGTACAAGATTTAGGACTCACCTAAGATAGAATAGCTATGGAATATTATCTCTGAATTTGTCAAACGCAAATGGACTGGGCATTGTTGATGTATTTATTGCCTATATTTAGTTACTGTACTTACTGTATATAGTTTTTCTCATATTAGTTATAGCCTTCTTTTTTATTTTAGATAAAAAGGAAAAGTGTAATGGCATTTCATTTTTTTTTTTTTTTAAAGCTTGCCTTAGGATCAGAAAAGTAAAACAGCCACACTTGCCAACCTTACAGACCAGGCAGCAATGACACACATCTTTAATCCCAGAAACCATGCAGTAGTGGTGTATGCCCATAATCCCAATATTAGAGAAGATTTTAAGATGGGAAGAGACAGTTCTCAGTCTGTCTCATTCTGAGGTTTCCCGGAGGCAGGATCACCATTTTCAGGTTGAGTTAAGAGCCAGTGGTTGACTGCTTTGCTTTTCTGGTCTTCAAGTTGAACCCTAATATCTGTCTCTGAGTTTTTATTAATCACTATGTACTTCACTACATAGTTATAATTTTCCTTGTTACTAGACTCAGAAAAGAAACTCACAAAAGAGGTATAAAATATATAAGGTTGAGAGACATAAAAGGATAGTTTGGGGTTGGTAATGCAAGTTAGGATAAAAAGTATATTAGGTACAACACTTTGGACTCACCAAGATAGGATAGATAATGGAGTATTTTCTCTGAATTTGTCAAATGCTATGGACTAGATATTATTAATGTAATTATTCCATGTATATAATTGTATATAGTTATTGTATATAGTTTTTCAGTGTTAGTTAAAACCTTCGCTTTTTATTTAGACAAAAAGGGGAAAATGTTGTGATATTTTGTTTGTGTTCTGACAAATAAAGCTTGCTTTGAGTCAGAGGGCGGAGCTAGTCACTATTTAACCACAGAGGTCTAGAGGACTATACAGAGAGGAGACAGGAGGTGATAAGGTGGGGTATAGAGGGAATCAAGGTCTTTTTGGACAGAGGAACAGTAAGGGTAGGAAGCAACTGGCTGCTGCTCCCCTGCTTCTCTGATCTTTCAGATTTTTACTCTGATATTTGACTCCTGGTTTTTATTGATAAGACTAATTAGATATACACACCAGAAAGCTGAAAGAGAGAAAAAAATACAAGTTATATATAAAAGAAAAACATCAGAATAATAGCTAACTTCTCAACAGAAACTTTGAAAGCCAGATGAGCCTGGAGAAATGCACTCAAAAGTTCTAAAAAGTCCATGACATAAATTACTGTACCCGGCAAAACAATCTGCCATGGCTGAAGAAGAGACCAAAAATATTTATGTTCAAAGGTTGGAGAGATTGCTCGGTGGTTAAGAACACTGACTGCTCTTCCTAAGGACCTGGGTTCAAGTCCCAACAGTCACATGGCAACTCACTACTGTCTGTAATTCCAAGGTCTGACAACCTTATAAACATACATGCAGCCAAAATGCCAATACAAATAAAATAAATAAATTATTTTTTAAAACTTACTATATGGTCTTGATTGGACAAGTCATACTTCAATGCAAATGACTTCACTCTTCCTACATATATTGTATTGTAAAATTTGATAAGATCACCTCTTTCCTCTTTCACTGGTTCACTGGAACAGTTGGGTGTCTTTGTGGCATCTTCTATGTCTGTTAAGAAGAATTTATTATTGTGATAGGTATGCCATAATATTATATTAGCGACTTGGATTACATTCCTTCTAACAAAATTAAAAAAAAATACAAATCCTTGTAAAAAGCAATTAATAGTTTTAGAAAAATCTATCTGCACACTTTACAAATGAAACAGGGAGTGTAGTGGCACATGCCTGTAATCCCAGCAACTGGAATGCTGAAGTCGGAGAATCAAGAGTCCAAGGTAGCCTGGGATATATTCTGAGACATTGTTAATAAAAAATCTAATTAGAATGTAGAAAATGCAATTGTGTGGTCTGAATGTGCACTCTTTTCTCTAGTAGAAGTTCAGAAAACACATTTCATAAGAGCAGCTTTTGAGCTCAGTGTCCCTGCTGGCCTTTATTAAAGGGGAACCAGATCTGATTAGGTCTTAAACTACTCTTCAAATGTGTGGCAGTAAAAAAAAAAAAAAAAAAAAATCCTGAACCTTGGAGTACAAGAAGGCCTGTAGATGCTTATACTGGTTGTCTGAAGAAGGTAGAATGACTCTAAAAAGGCAAGGCATAAATTCATAGGTTAAGAAAGAAGCAAAATGAGCCAGATATGGTAGCACACACCTTTCATGGCAGCACATAAGAGTTTCAGGCCAGTTAGGGTTACATAGTGAGACCCTGGCTCAAAAAATGAAAGAAAATCAAGATGAATTGTTTGAGTTTATCTTTTTTTGCAAATGCAAAGCAAGTAAGTAGTAGTGTTTGTTTGTTTTTGAGACAGTCTTATTCCTTAGTAGAAGATAACCTCAAACTTGCAGCTATCTTCCTGCCTCAGCTTCCACAGTGTTGAATTTAGGCATGAGCTACCACAACTGGCCACATATTATAGGGCTTTTGTTTTTTCTTGCATAATAGGAACTCTTAAGTTTGCCCAAGGTGACTTCCTGATTGTTTCCTGTTTGCTGGTGTCACTCTGGAATAGATTCTTATCTCAGGCAGAGCTTTAGTTTACTCATTGTAAACTACTTGTATAGGAATCACCCCTCCCTCTCACCCCCTCTCTCTTTCTTTCTCTTTGTCTCCCCACTCCACTACCCACAAACAGGGTTTTTCTGTGTAACAGCCCTGGCTGCTCTAGAACCAGCTCTGCAGACCAGACTGGCCTCAAGCTCATAGAGATTCACTGGCCTCTGCCTCCCAAGTGTTGGGAGTAAGGTGTGCATCACCATGCCTGGCCTTTTTCTTTACAGTAGTGAAGAATCCAATGCCAATTAAAAGAAATTCAGCATATCAAAATGAGCTATTTTCAGCAAGGCTGAAACATGCCTTCATCTTAGGAAACCAGAAAACTGAAACAGTTCAGGGCTATGCAACCCCTGGGAACCTCCAAAGGGGTCTCAGACCCAATTTGGATGTCATCTCCCATAGCAAAGTGCTAAGGGTTAAAGCCAGGGCCTGCTCATTCTGGTAAAGTGCTCTTCTGACCTCCATGGGCACCTGTACACATATATAAAAGTTCTTTAAAAAAAAAAACAACTTTAAAACCAAATAGACAGAGGCTAGAGAGATAGCTCAATGGTTAAAAGCACTTCTTGCTCTTGCAGAGGACCTGGGTTTAGTTTCCAGCACCCACATGGTGGCTCACAGTCCACCCAGTTCCAGGGGATCTGATACCCTTTTCTGACCTCCAAGGGCACTACATGTAAGTGGTACATAGATGTGCAGCATCTATACATATTTAAAAAGTTAAAAACAAGACAAAACAAAAACCCCAAGGTTACACTCATTAAAATAGAACAAAATAAACAAATTGCCTATTGGCTCTGCCGTTGGAGATGCTCCTTTTGCCACACAGTACCCTGCACAACTTCAGACTCTTGCAGAATCTTCCCCATCAACAAAAGGCCTTTACCAGAAATGATCCCTCAACCTTGAGCTTTTCAACTTTTAGAAGTTATGATATAAATTTCTGTTTTTTTCTTAACTATACAATCTCAGGTGTCTTGTTATAGTAACAGAAAATAAATGCAGAAACTTGGTAATATCTGTTATAGGTCAATCTTATCACATGAATCAACTGCACTTATTTAATGATTTCATTAAATTATAAATTTCAGTGTTATAGGAAAACATATGAATATTTTAGCTTGGATCTTTGGTTTGAATTTTTTCCAAGGATTTAAAGTGCAAGTGGAAAAGAAGAAGAAAAACCGTCCCACGGTTATGAGAAGACACACAGTTCTACATTCCAGGATGATATAGCAACATTTGAGGAAAGAACATAAGGGGAGCAGTACTGTGTCTCATGGGGACTGTTTGGGGAACGTTAGGGAAATCTACGTCCAGCTTAAGGGACTGTTCAATGAATGCAGCTGGTGCATCTGTACAGACTGCCATTAGTCTTTAGATTGAGAAGACAGGCTGTAATTCCTGCTGTTTAAAGACGTAGAAGGCAGGGCCAGTGAGGTGGCTGCTGGACAGCTGTGTGGGTCTGCAAGAACAGTCTGCACTACTCTTTTTTACTTTTTTTTTTTTTTTTTGGCTTTCTGAGACAAGGTTTCTCTGTGTAGCTTTGGAGCCTGTCCTCAACTAGCTCTTGTAGACCAGGCTGGCCTTGAATTCACAGAGATCCATCTACCTCTGCCTCCCGAGTGCTGGGAATGAAGGCGTGCACCACCACCGCCTGCTCAGTTTGCACTCTTGACCACTAAGTCATCTCTCCAGTCCCTGGATATGCTTTTTCAAAGGTAATTTCTGGGGTACAGCTGTAACTCAGTTAGTGGAGTGTTTGTCTAGCATATGCCAAGTCCTGGATTCAATTCTCAGCACCCCATAAACTGCATGGTGCCACAAACATTTAAACCCAGTGCTCAGGAGATGGAAGAATCAGAATTGCAAGGTCATCCTCTGATCCACAAGAAGTGTGAGATCAACCTGGGCTAGCACTCTTGTCTCAAAAAACAAAAGCAAACAAAGTCCACAAAATAGGTAAGGAATCCAGGGTCTTTTGCTGTTCCTCCTGGTTTATACTTTTATGTATTTCGCACTACCTCAGGAATAATATGCTTAAGTAAAAAGAAGTAAATGTGGCCTATAAATCTTGAATAGTCAAATTCTGAAAGATTATTAAATGGTTTACACCTGAAATGTCTCCCATAGGCTCACAGTTAAAACCTTGACTCCCAGCAGGTGGCATTATTTTGGGAGGCAGTAACAATTTTAGGAGACCTAGTTAAAGGAGAAAAGTCCTGGGGGGGGGGGTGGGCCTTTAGTTATAGTCAGTCCCAAGGCCCTCCCATTTCCTTTCTGCTGTTACCCACTGTGATGTTTGCCTCCTGACAACCCAGAAATAATGAAGTCAGTTGACCATGGAACAATAACTCTGAACCCATCTTGTCTTTTTTTCTTTCCTTCTTTTAAATGGTTTCTCTCAGGTATGTTGCTGCCACAAAAAGTTAGCACAATGGGACTGTTGACTGAGACTGTCAAAGTTTAAATCCTGGTACACCGTCTTTGTTAACCCTTCCTGCTGCTGTGAGACAATATTCTGAAAGCACTTAAGGAGAATGGCTTTGTTTTTCTACATGGTCAAGGGTATAGCCCATCACAACAGGAAGTTCAGGCAGCAGGTCACGCTGCACCCACAATCAGATACAGAGAATGATGGGTGTACACACTCAGCTTCCTCATGCAGTTTAGGACCCCACCTCAGGAAACTGTGCTGCTGCTTTTCTTTGCCCACTTCAATGAATCTCCTTATGACAATCCCTCATAATCATGTCTGGCGGCTTACTAGGTGATTCCAGATCTTGTCGAGTTGACAATCAACACTAACCAACCCAACACTATAGTGATACAGTGTTGTGCAATTTAAAAATTGTCTTTAGGTCTGAGAGTGCAGTGCAATGGTAGAGTGCTTGCCTAACATGCTTAAGACTTTGGTTTAATCTCCAGAAATGTGAGAAAATAAACGGGATGTGGGGGTTGGAGAGATAGACCAGTTAAAAGCATGTACTTTCACTGCTTGCAGAAGACAGTTTGGTTCCCAGCATCCACATTAGACAGATTATAAATGCCTGTAACACCATTTTAGGGAATCCCAACACCTTCTTCTGGCCTCCACAGGTACCTACAATCAGTCAGTCAGTCTCTCTCTCTCTTTCTCTGACACACACGCAAATAAACAAATCTTTAAAAACAGTGAGAGAGCATTGCTCATTTCTCCTACATTATGAGTCCACGTCTGACACGTACTATACTGCAGTCAAAGATTTATTAGGTATAGCATATTAAGTTGGATAGCTTACCACCATCTGTCATTTCACAATCACCACTGTATGTCACAACTTCTCTTGGAATACTTTTCAAGAGAACACTCCTATACACCTACAAGCCAGAGGGGGAAGGATCATTCAGTCACAAAGAGATACAATTTAAAATCCAAACAATAGTAAAATAAAGTCAGCTAAATAATTCTCAGATGGGTTGTTACTATCAGGAGTTAAAATTGGCCGGGCAGTGGTGGTGCATGCCTTTAATCTCAGCACTTGGGAGGCAGAGGTAGGCTGATCTCTATGAGTTCAAGGGCAGCCTGGTCTACAGAGCAAGTTTCAGGACAGCCAAGGCTACACAGAGAAACCCTGTCTTGAAATAACAAAACAAAACAAATAAACAAGGAAGGAAGGAAGGAAGACAGATTATTACTAGTCAAGTGTGGTGGTGCACACTTTTAATCCCAGCACTCAGGAGGCAAAGACAGGAGGATCTTGGTGAATGTGAGTCCAACCTGGTCCATATAGTTAGTTCCTGGCCAGCTAGAGCTACATGAGACTGTCTCAAAAAACCAAAACAAAATAAAACCCAACAAAAAAATAATGAATTATTATTATTATTATATAATATATATATATATATATATATATATATATATATATATATATATATCTTTTGCTAGGTTTTCTAGTGAAAAATGTCTCCTCCTAAAATGAACAGCAGTTACCCCAGGATTTGTGAGAATATATGCATGATATGGATGAATAAGAAAGAGTCAGATTTCCTGGCTTCTATTTACACGATCCTTTAACAAAAGTATTTCTTGCAATTACTGGCATCCACTAACCAGAATATCCAAACTATAGTAAAACTATCACACAACTACTTCTTATGACTGGTCAGCAAGGAAATGGCACAAAAATCTATTTTTGGACAGTAGGAAAAATAATGTAACTCACATGACTATTAGCTTGGGGCTGATTCCTATAACTTTTCATTATTTCTTGAAAAGTTCTTTCTTCTTTTGTTACCTAGGGAAAATAAAAATTACAAATATCAATTGCTATTGAAAGAAAAATGGCTCTGAACAAAAACTTCAATTATAGCTTGTTGTTGAGAGCAGTCTTGCAGAAAGCCATTAACCCCAGGCCAATCCATGACTAAAAACCACATACATTTATGATTTTTGCTACCTTTAAAGTTCAGGCTTTGTGGCCTGTGGGGACATAGTTAACAGTTTCATTAATCAAAAAGCACTAGAACTAGTATGATAGAACTATATTGAAAATGAATTTTTACAAAAAACAGCAGAAGAAAACACAGACCTGCTAACCCCCTTGCAGTCTCTGGCTTTATTACTTTTAAGTACTTTTTAAAAAGGAAATTAACTGCCTACTATTGGACAGAAATGAAAGAACTGTGTAGCTTTTGTGGAATTAGATTTGAAGGTTTTAAGACAGTTTGCAAGGGGTTCTAATACTTAGAAGTCACAGAAGGTCTAAGGAAAGGAAACAGATCAGTGACCCAAAGAGGAATCCATTCAGTTATCTGCTATCACAACATCGGCTTCAATTAATCCTTCCCTAATCCATTCACTGTCCATTAGCACTGAACCCATTTTCTATAATGATGACTTAGAAGTGGAAAAGCCTCAATTCTGACAGATTTCTGGAAAAACACAAATGATTTTAGTTAAAGGCATTTATCAACACTTTGTACAGAGATTTTTTTAAAATTTTATATGTATGTGTGTTTTGCCTGTGTGAATGTCTATGTTCCAAATGCATGTCTGGGGACCAAGGAAGCCAGAAGAAGATATGAGATCCCCTAGAACTAGAGTTACAGGAGGTTGTAAACAGCCATGTGGGTGCTGAAAATTGAATCCAGGTTATTCTGAAGAGCAAGCAGTACTCAGATCCACTGAGCCATTTTTCTAGCTCCTATATATCAATTTTAAAGAGGTACTAGACAGGAAGGTCACAAGAGTTTGAAAACATACCCTTTGCCTCAAACGCTTAAAAATCCAGTCTTAAAATTATATACATTGGATAAAATTGCTAGTTTGGCCAATATATTGTCAAAATAGAAGTTATAAATAAATATTTCTCATATATGTCCAACTTTTAAGAAATAAGCAAGATAGGTTATTTTGTGACCTAAAACATGGTGTAGCAACTAAAAGCAAAAACTATTTGCAAAGCTGCATGATGTAAATCAAAGAAAGGCAATATAGAACAGAGGCATCCTACACCAGATCATGAATGAAGAGGACCTGTGTTGTCACTTACTGGGTAATTTTAGCCAAATGACTTTCAGTTCTGGGCTTTACTCATCTAAATGTAATGCTCACTTTCCTTTTAAGTTTTATATCAGAGATGTCACAGGCAGAGGGGGAAATGTGCTAGTCACAGTTCCCAATTTCTTTAAACCAGTGTATTCTTTTTTAAAGACTTAGAATTTCATTTGTGATAATGATGGTGTGTATGCGAACTCAGGAGCACATCTGACACATGTGTAAAGATCAGAGAGCAATGTTCAGAAGTCAGTTTTCCCTTTCTCCCCTTCCATTGTGGGTACCAGAAATCAAATTCAGGCTATCAGGCTTATGTGGCAAGCACCTTTATCCACTGTGTTATCTCACTGGTCCAAAGCAAACTATAGTCTTATTAAGTGGAAAAACTGATTATTATGAAACTTATAAGACAGTCCAGACAATGTAGTAGCTTGATATTATTTAATTATGGTAAGCAATATTGCTTGTAGCAAAAAAGGAAAAACTAAGGATCAAATTCAACAACTTTTTATAGATGCTTCAAGTTAAGGCAACTAGGGCAAAGACCTTCTCCCATCCTATACATACTTTCGCCATGATGTAAAAGGCACACAGAAGGAGCTGATCCAAATGCCGATCTTTCATTAAATCAGGGCAGTGAACTAAAGTGAATTCAAAACATGTCCAAATCTTCCTTCGTAACTCATTAGAAACATCAAGTTTTAAACATAAATCACGTAAGCGCACACTTGCCAAATGATAGACCTAAGATAGAAGAAAACACATTATTATAAAACAAATCATTTCTCAAGTTTTTATGTCTTACCATGAATATGGGCTTATAGGCCAAGGTTAAAAAAACAGGCAGGCTGTTAATTACCAAATCATCTAAATTTCCTGTTTTATAGCATTAGTTCGCTGCTGAATAGAGTATAGACGAAAGCAAAATTCTCAAAAAAGATCATGCCTATTACTCTAAATGCCACCATGTAAAGTAACAAAAAGTAAAGATATGGTTTACCTGCATCATAATTATTATGACTTCCAACTTTTTCAAGTGTTCAGAGCCCCTGTGTGTTCTCTTTGGGTTGAAGTAAAATTGCTGGAAGGTTTAATATGCCAGGTAGTAAAGATCTGAACTTTCCTGAGCCTGAAAATAACTCAGGAAGCAAAACTACTAAAAACAAAACAAAACAAAAACAAGTCTCCTGGGGTTAGAGAGATGGCTCCATGGTTTAGTGTGCCTGGTGCCTGAGGCGGCCACAAAAGAGTGCCAGAGTCCCTGGAATTGTAGTTAGCCTGTTGTGAGCCAGTACCTGGGTGGTGGGAATTGAACCTGGGTCTTCTGGTAGAGCAGCCAGTTCTCTTTACTGAGCCATTTCGCCATCCCCTAAGTAAACATATTTTTAAAATAAGGTAGGGAGTGATTGAGGAAGACATCCAACATTAATCTCTGGCTTCCATGCATATGCATATATACATATTGAAAAGAAAAAAAACTGGTCAAAATTAGGAATTTTTATGCATCAAAGAATATAATCAAAGAAAAAAACAACTCCTGTGGAAGAAAAAATATCTGAAAAATCACGAATCTGATAAAAAAATATCCAGAAAGGACTCCTGTAATAATCATAAAAATCCAATGAAAGGTAGAACAGACATTATGTAAAGATATACAGAATGACAATAAATTACTTAATATTAGTAAGCACAGAGATTCCAAAATCCAAGTCAGAGATAGCTCAGTGGTTAAGATCACTGACTATTCTTCCAAAGGACTGGAGTTCAAATCCCAACAGCCACATGGCAGTCAATAACAACCAGGGTTATAACTCCATTAACAAAGGATCTGATCCCTTTTCTGGCCTCTGGGGGCACTGCACAAGTATGGTACACAGATATACATGCAGGCAAAAGACCTACATACATAAAAACAATTTAAATGTAAAATAAAAATGAATATACAATGCCCTGGTTCAATACTCAGTACCCCAGTCCACAAAAAAGGAAATAAACATCCAAACTATGATGAATTATTACTCAACAGTCATGTCTCTTATTTATAAAAAGAAAACGGTGAGTTCCACTGCTTCTCTTCTGTGAGGACTGATGCTTCTATTACTGACCATGCAGATCTTCATGAAAACTGGAGGTTAAGTCCAGTGACACCACTGAGAAAGTAAAACAGCAAGATGAACCAAGTTTTTCACTACAATATCTAAAAAGAGACCTTTTTTTGTTCCTGTTCCTGGGTTTAAGGGGCGGTGTCTTAGTTTCCCCTTTCTTTTAAGCTTTTAACATGTTTCATTGCACTTTCAATAAAGTTCATGTATTTCTCACTACTAAAAAAAAACCAAAAACCAAAAACCAAAAAAAACCCCCGTGTTTATAAAGAGACCACGTACATTGGTACTAAGACTGTAAAGTGGTGTAGTCATTGCAGAAAACAGAATGGCAGTTGTCTAAACAAATATTGAGGGCTGGAGACATACAATAGCTCAAGTCACTAAAGTGCTTGCAGTACTAGCATGAGAATTTGAGTTCAGTGCACAGATTAACTTTTTTTTTTAAAACAAACAAACAAACAAACAAAGTATGGTGGTAAGTATTTGTAATTCCAGTGTTAGGGAGGTAGAGTCAATGGGAATCCCTGAGACTTGCTTACCAGCCAGCCTAGCTTTCCTGGGAATTCCAGATCAGTGAGAGGCTCTCAAAAAAAAAGTGAATGGCACATAGGCTAAGGTTGTCCTCTGGCCCATGGCTCCTGACACATTAAATACTGAATTACTATCCCACTTCTAGACTCGAACTGAAAGCAGAGACTCAATGCCAATGTTTATAGAAGCACTACTGATACTAGCAAAAAGCAGTAACGACCCAAACATCCACCAACAGATGAGTAGATAAACAAACTGTGGCATATATACACAGAACTGTTGTTATTCATTCCGTTTAAAAACAGAAATTCCCGGGCTGGAGAGATGGCTCAGAGGTTAAGAGCATTGCCTGCTCTTCCAAAGGTCCTGAGTTCAATTCCCAGCAACCACATGGTGGCTCACAACCATCTGTAATGGGGTCTGGTGCCCTCTTCTGGTCTGCAGGCATACACACAGACAGAATATTGTATACATAATAAATAAATAAATAAATAAATAAGTATTTTAAAAAAAAACAAACAGAAATTCCCACATATGCTGTCACACAGATGAATGCTGGAGGTGCGCTCAGTGAAATAAGCCAATCAACAAAGACAAACCATTGTGTGACTTCACTAAATAGGACACCTTTCAAATAGGTAGTCAGATTCAGAGACAAAAAAACAGAACGGTGAGTGCCCAAGAGCAGGAAGAAACAGTGGTTTCCTCTTTGATGAGTAAAGAGTTTCAGACAGGGAAGATGAAAAGTTCTAGAGATGGACAGTGGCAAAGGCTGTATAATGTGAGTGTATCTAACACCAAACTGTATACCTAAAAATTAAAGCAACAAATTCTAGGTTATGCGTGTGTGTGTGTGTGTGTGTGTGTGTGTGTGTGTGTATTTTAAAGGAGTTAAGAGGCCAACACTGCTCTGTATTCAATTTTTCTTGAGGCTATACGAACACATACCTTTCTATAAAATAGTGCTAAGGATCCAGTTCTCTTTGGTTTGCTTATTCCAGTCAGATGAGCGTCTTGGACTTTAGTCAGATGGGTCTGTTTTGGAGAAGCACCAATTAATGACTGGGCAGTTAGTGATACAGGGCTCTCAGCTTTGGACTCCTGAGTTGTATTCATGGAAATAGGAACCAGTGTGATCTCTCCAGCATCATTGGCAACACCTGAATGCACAAGCAAGAGTTCTCAGTTTGAGATATAAGCTGAATGTTCCCAGTAGTAAAGCTGTCACTTTATATATACATATGTATGTCTGTGTATAAAAAGGCACAGGGATATGTTAGAAAAGAAGGCAGCTGTAACATAGTAACTACATGCTGGAAATGAAGTTTTGTTTTTCTCTTTCTAAAACAAGATCATGTTTCATTTTGCTATTTTTATACTTAATTTTATTTAAAGAAACAAATTTGAGTAGGAGGGTTGATGTCTTATGCCTATAATCTCTATACTTGCAAGTCTAAGGCAGGAGGATTGCTGAGAACTTGAGGCTAGCCCATGCTACACGATGAGTACAGAGGCCCTGTCTCAAAAAAGATAGACAACCAAAAACCCCTTTGCCCTTTAGTTTATATGTACCTATGATGTTTTTATATAACAATTAAAACTTTTAAAAACATCAATTATTTATTTTGTTTATGGAGAGGAGTGTGAATATATGCCATGATGTGTGTGGAATTAGAGGACAATCTGTAGCAGTCACTCTCTCCTTCTGCCATGTGGGTTCTGGGGGCTGAACTTGGGTTGTCAGGCTTGTAGGAAAGATCCTTCAGTTGATGAGCCATCTTACTGGTCCTACTTTAATATTTTAAAAAGTAAATTTTACTCTTTTGTGCACTTAAGGTGCATTTAATTAAAAATAAAAATCTCCCCATGTACATTAATTTATAAAGCTCAGATAATAAAGTAAATTCTAACAAAAAGGGTTATAAATTTATAAAATGTGAAAATTTGAAAAATAGTATATAGATTCAAAACAAAAGAAGAAGTGGAGGACTGAATACTTTTAGGCAGTAAGACTATTGTGTATGCTACTATGAAGGCAGACACATGTCATTATACATTATCAAAATGCGGTGAATCTTTTTTATTTATTTATTTATTTATTTATTTATTTATTTATTTTATTATGTATACAATATTCTGCCTGTGTGTATGCCTGCAGGTCAGAAGAGGGCACCAGACCCCATTACAGATGGTTGTGAGCCACCATGTGGTTGCTGGGAATTGAACTCAGGACCTTGGGAAGAGCAGGCAATGCTCTTAACCACTGAGCCATCTCTCCAGCCCCCAAGGGTGAATCTTAATGTAAGCTCTGGGCTTTGAGTGGTGATGCACCAATGTAGGCTCACTGATTCTGAGAACCATGCAGGCCTGATGTAATTTTGGTGCTTTCAGAGGCTGTGGGAGAGAGCAGGGATGATGACAGGAAATGCATGAGAAATCTCTCTTCTTCTTCTCAATTCTGCAGTGAATTTTAAACTGCCCTAAAATATAGGGTCAGTTAAAGGAAAACAAAAGAATTTTGGCTTAAGAATAAAATACTGGGGCTGAAGAGATGGCTCAATAAGAGCATTTGCTGCCCCCACAGAGGAGCCAACGTACAGTTCCCAGCATTCACATGGTGGCTCACAACCACCTGTACTCTAGTTCCAGGAGCATCTGATATCCTCTTCTGGCCTCTGTGGGCATCAGGCATGCACATGGAGCATAGACAAGCATGTAGGCAAAACTCTTATGCACATAAAATAAAAATAAATCTATAAAAAAGTGTTAGATCATGTGATCCAATTTAATACATTTCTTTCCTTTTTTTCTTTTTCTTTTTTTTTTTTTGGTTTTTTGAGACAGGATTTCTCTGTAGCTTTGGAACCTGTCCTGGAACTAGCTCTTGTAGACCAGGCTGACCTCGAACTCACAGAGATCCGCCTGCCTCTGCCTCCTGAGGGCAGGGATTAAAGTGGGGCATGTGCCACCACCACCCGGCCCTAATACATTTCTTAAATTTTTACCTAACTCAAAAGTATAAAGTAGAGATGAAGATGTTACCGTGCAAAGGAACTGTAACCTTCTGTCCTACTGTCCCTGTTACTGTGGTTGTGGCCATTGTCAGCAGAGCTTGACCAGGGGAAATTGATAAGCTTTCAGCAGTCATACTTGAAGGAGCAATTTTCAGTTTTGTTCCTTCTGCCATAATCTTATCCACAAACATCTCCTTTGGTGGGTCATCTCCAAAAAGTCTCCTCTTAGCACTTCCTGCAGCAGGAGAGCTGTAGCGTTCATGGACAGAAATCGGAGAGAGCGGTTGCATATCTAACAAAGAGGAAAAGAAAAGAGTTTAAAATCAGGTTTACTTATTCCTATGCTAAACATTTGAGATCCAGAAGTAAATAACATGGTTTCCATGTTCATTTCCATTTCCATATCAAGTCCAGAGGAAGAGAGAGACATAAGTCATTAGAGTAGAGTGTGAGGGTTACGGCAGCTCATCTTTCTGGATTCTTGAAGCTCTGTGCATACCAATAGAGCAACAAATTAAGAATAAAGGAGAAGCAGAGAGGTAGAATAATATGACCACTAATTTAAGAATTAGCTTCTATCTCCCAACATTGCCTACTAAATAGCACCAAAGAAAAAGATAGGCACAAGCAAAGCTCAGTTTGAGGTCATAGTTTTGTCATTCCCCACACTCCTAGCAGTTTAAGGCAGTGCTATGGTTTCTGAGGAAATACAGAGCATCTTTCGTAGGCCCATCAGAAAACATGAGCAAAAGTGATTCACGCAACTGCTAACTTTGCCTTAATTTGAGGGTCTTCTCTGGTCAAAACCAAAGTGAGGATTATGGACTGGTGCAATGGATTAATCAATAAAGTGCCCATAATGCAACCATAAGAACCTGGGGATCTGGAGCCCCAACACCCACATAAAAAAGCCAGGAGTGGTCACACAGGTTTGTAACCCTAACAAAGGGTGAAGGGGGAACAGGAATGGTCAAAGACAGGCAGATCCTGGGGCTTAATGGCCAGCCTGCCTCAACAGAAAAGGCGAAGACATGTGATGCTAGCCTCTGTCTCACACACAGTTAGGAACTAGGCCTCTCCCAGTGCTATTCGTCTGCAGAGCCGCTTTCATCTTCCCCTTAGTGGGGATTAAGGTTCTTCAGACTGTTTCAATACTGCATGTACTTTTTTAAGGGAGAAGAAATATCTTATTCTAGAACAAAATGTGAGAGACCATGGTCTAGGAACACAGATTTAATTTATCCCAAATTCCATATTTCAGTATAGTAGCAGTTTTATAGCTTCATATTAACATAACAAAGACAGTCATGAGACAAAAGTTTTTTCAGATACATCAGTAGAAACAGATTGGTTACAGCAACATGTGGCAATCTCCACTGTAGATCTCTTGTGTTTTCTGATGACATATTCTCTCTCTGGTTTCTTGAGACAGAGTTTCTCTGTGTAGGCCTGCTGTCCTGGAATTCTCTCTGTAGACCAGGCCAGCCTTGAACTCAGAGATCTGTCTGCTTCTTCCTCCTGAGTGCTGGAAGTGGATTAAAAGTGCATACCACTGTGCCTTGCTCTCTGACACATTCTTAACTTTCCAGTTAGTGAAATCTAGCAGTTAAAACATTTAAAAACTTTCCCAGGATAGTCACATGGATGTTGGGTAATATGCAGAGGTGGGCAAAAAAATGGTAATTAAGTGGTTTTGGCAACTATGCACGCTAGCTTTCTGTCAGTTGATACAAGCTAGAGTCATTTGGGAAGACAGACCCTCAACTGAGAAAATGCTCCCACCAGACTGGCCCATGGGTAAGCCTGCAGTACATTTTCTTGTGTGAGGGCCTACTTCACTGTGGCCATGGGGCCTGGAGGTCCTGGGTACTAAAACAAAATAGAGTGAGCTAGCCAGCACTCCTCCATTGCCTCTAAATTAGCTCTTGCTTCTAGGGTTCTACCCTATTTGAATTCCTGCTCCGAGTTTTCGCAGTGATGGACAGTAATATGGAACTATAAGTTGGAAAAACCTTTTCTTCCCCAGGTTGCTTTTGGTGATGGTGGCTTATCACAGCAATAGAAACATAACTAAGAGAGTCACTAATAACTATTCCTGTCCAATACTAAAAAATGAATTTTGTTTTCCAAGAGTCAGCATACTCTCAATAGTTCCAGTATTGTTTAAAAGTTAAAGTCCAAAGTCTCCTTTGACTCAAGGAAAACTATTAGTTGTGAGCCTCTAAAAAAAAAAAAAAAACTATAACACAACTTACATATGTTTGGGTTTTGCTTTGCTTTTAGTGTTTGAGACAGGGTTTCACTATGTAGTCATGGCTGGCCTGGAACTCACTAGCAGACCAAACCAGACTGACCTTGAACTCACAGGGATCCACCTTCCTCTGCCTCCTCAGTATCAGAATAAAGTACCACCACATCCAGCTCAAGCCCACATTTCTAAGATATATTCAATCCTATATCGCTGTCCACAATTTTTTTTATCAATTTCCTGAGTCGATTCACAAGGATAAGATGTGCTCTTTTTTTTGGCTTTAACATAAAGCAAGCATTCTACCACTGAACTATATACAGTACCTACTATATATAATGTTGAGGGCATCTCAGTTATCTATTTTATATTCAGTAGATAATTAGTCAATCTACTTTTAAAACATAGATAATAAAAATTACTCTCTGGCAATGATGTGGAGGCTCTGTGTATTAGTGAGATGGTTGGGGAAGCAGGAGTGGCTAAATGAAAATCTTTCAGTGATACTGGACGTTATAAAAGCAACTCTGCCTTCTTTTGTCCTCAGTAAAGAAGTAGATTCTTATAGCTCTCGTGACTCACAAGAGTCTGCAAAGCCCTGACATATCTTACCAAAGCGCTTGCTTAGCATGGCTTGAAGCTCAGAGTTTGATCACCAGCACCCCAAAATAAAATAAAAACTTACAAAAAGAAACTTAGATGATGCTTGCTGCCTTCCTGTGTCATTTATAACACAACATCTTTATTTTTGCCCTGGCAAACTGTCATGTTTTTTAAAGTGTGGATGGGTCAGCTAATTATTTGTGTAATAATTAAACTGAGAGTCTACCATAGTTTTTAAGTATTTGCAAAGTAGCAGTAGAACAGCAAAGGTTTTCTCAACTAATTTAAGAATTCAAGAATTTAAAGTACACAATTGTAATTCTAGCACTCAGAAGGCTAAGGAAAGAGGAATATAAGTCTGAAGTCAGCCTGGGATATACAGAGAAGCTCTCTCAAAAACAAAACAAAAAAAAAAAATCAAGAGTTACATAATTCAAAAATCTGAATATGTCATAAGAAAAACAAGGCTGCACTACAATCTTCCCACAAAAGGCATAATTTCAAAGGTGTAGATAAGTCTTTTAGGGGATGTAGTACAGAAGTAGAGAATAGTTTTTTAAATTATATTTTAATTTATTTAGTTAGGAGAATGGCAGGCCATGGTATATAAGTAGAGGTTAGAGAACCACCTGAGAAAGTTGGTTCTCTCCCTCCAGCAAGAGTCCTTGTGGTGATATTCTGTTTATGATCTAACAAATAAAGCTCGCCTGAAGATCAGAGTGTAGAGCTAGCTACATTAGTTAGCCATAAAAGCCAGGCAATGGTGGCACACACGTTTAATCCCAACACTTGGGAGACAAGAGGCAGACAGATCTCTGTTAGTTCAAGGTCACTCTGGGCTACACAAAATTGATCCAGTCTAAAAGAGAAACAGAGTTCACACAAAGGTGATCCCAGCAATTGGGATCACATGCCTTCAATCCCAGCACTAGGGAGGTGGAGACAGGAGTGATATGCCCGGGCAGAGAGGAATATAAGGCAGGGGAAGACAGGAGCTCAGTGCAGTCAGTCTGAAGCAGTCAGTCTGAGAATGCAGTCTGAGGACAGGATTGCCCATTTGGTCTGAGGATGGTAGAAGTAAGAACTCTAGTAGCTGGCCGCTCTGCTTCTCTGATCCTTCAGCTTTCATCCCCTAATATCTGTCTCCGAGTTTTTATTTATTAAGACCAATTAGAATTCATGCTACAGGTCCTGGGGAATTACACGTGTTCAGGACTGTGGCTAGTTTCAATACCCATTGAACAATCTTGCCAGTCCAGAAAACCTTTTTCCTTCTTCTCTCCTTTCTTCCCATCTCCTTTCCTCCCTCTTCCCCTATAAGACAGGGTCTTTTGCTATATCCCTGGCTATCCTGGAACTCACTATGTAGTCCAAGTTGTCCTTAATACACAGACATCTGTCTGTCTCTGCCTCCATATGCTGGGATCAGAGGCCCAGCCCAGAAATACTTTTAACATGAAGACAGTATGTAACAGGCCACAGAGAGGTACGGGTGAAAGCATTGAGTTTCTTGTCAAATCTTAATGAAGAAATCAGATGTTTTACTATATTACAGAGTTTGAAAATGTTTTTCTTAAAAAATAAAGTCTTTGTCCTTCTCCCCCAGTATTTCATCAGCGTTACACCTACCCCTTCGATGGCTCCCACTATCAGTCCGAACTTCCTTCACTCTTGGGTGTATTATTGGAGACATTGGCATCATGGGGAGATGGCCCTGTACATTTCCTCCATTTCCTATTTCAAAGTTATTTGGGAATATAACCTACAGAAAACAAAAACACTTCATCTTACAAAGATGAACCCAGTAACAGAAACCTATGAGAAAAAGAACCCTTATCTTATTTCACTCCCCTTTTACTTCTTGACAAAAATCTAACATTTGTCAAAAGCTCTAGCAGTTTCAGTGTGATCCAGTAATTCCAAGCATAGATAAAATACCACTCATAGATACCCAAAGGAAATAAAAATATGCCCATAAGACCTCATGTATGAATGTTCATAGCAGCATCTTTTTCCCCCCCCAGCCCTGAGACAGGGTTTCTGTGTGTGTAGCCCTAGCTGTCCTGGAACTCACTCTGTAGACCAGGCCTTTAACTCACTGAGATCTGCCTGCCTCTGCCTCTCGAGTGCTGGGATTAAAGGTGTGCCCTACCACTACCTAACCATTTTTTTATTTTTTGAAAAAAAATTTCATACAATAAATTTTGATCGGGCTGCAGAGATAGTTCAGCAGTTGAGATCACTGACTGCTCTTCTAGAGGACCAGGGTTCAATTCCCAGCACCTGGATGGCTGCTCACAACTATATGTAACTCCAGTTCCAGGGGACCCAACACCCATGGTAAAACCACCAATGCACATAAAATAAAAATAAATAAAAAAAGATACAATATATTTTGATCAAGTTTCCCCTCCCAATTCCTCTAAGGTTCCCCCACCTTCCTATCTATTCAACTTTAAGTTCTTTCTCTCTTTAAAAACAAACAAAACAAGATATACACACACATAAAAACCCACATAATTAAAAATAAAAATAAGTGAAAGACCAATAAGACAAAAATTACCAATACAAAGCAAAATGAAACAAAAGTCCATGAAAAATACCACTTTGTTTTATGTTAACCAACTACTCCTGAGCAAAGGGTCTGCCCTAAAATGTAGCTGATATACCCAGTGAGACTTGATTGGGGAAAACTGTTTTTCTTTTTGCTAGCAAGTATCAACCTCAGATAGTTTTTAGGTTAGGGGTTGGACTCCCTGTTCATTTCCCCTCTCAGTGCTAGTACATATCTGGCTTGAACCTGGGTAGAACATCACTCTAACAGCTAAGAGAAGCAAACTTTAATGTCTGTCAAATGAAAGATGAATGATTAAAATGTGGCATATATATTCAGTGGAATATTTGACAGCAAAAGGAAATGAAAAGTTGATTATGTACTGCAATATATCTGAAAGTGAAAAGAAACAAGACATTACGGACTTAGGTATAGCCATTTAAATGACTATGTAAATCTATAGAGACAGCAAGTGGATTAGTGGTTGCTTAGGGGCTGAAAGGGAGATGAGAAAAAAGGGATAGCCAAGTAGTGAGATTCTAACAGATTTGATGCCTATATTCTAAAACTGTTATCATACACGTACATATCAACACACTAAATCCACTCAACTGTACATTTTAAATGGATGAATCATATGGTACATGAATTTTATCTTCAAAGGGCTCATTTAAAAAATTGATGGGGCAATGGTGGTGCACGCCATTAATCCCAGCACTCAGGAGGTAGAGTGCAGGTAGATCTCTGTCTGAGTTGAGGCCAGCCTGGTCTACAGAGTGAGTTTTAAGACAGCGAAGGCTACACAGAGAAATATCATCTTGAAAAACCAAACCAAACCAAACCAAACAAACAAAAAATGCTATTAACTTAGTCCTGACTTACTTCTTCACATGTAGGAACTTTGTTTGCAGAAGCATGGAGAGCTTCCCACAGTGCAGAATTATTACTCCAAGCCAAACTCTCCAAAATCTGTTCTTCAATATTGTTTAGGTGTTTTACCATATCTCTGGAAAGCCCCTCCTCTGAGCGGATCACCACCTCAATAACCTGGAAAGGAGAAAGTTGAAACAGTAATGAGGTTAGATTAACAAACAATCACTGATCTAAGCATACAAACAGGAATGACTCTAACTTTACTGCCACATAGAACCACATAATTCTGTGAATTGCTAGTATCTGCATATATTATAAACTAAAACACAAGATGCTTTTAAGCCTTTTTTTTTCCCTTTCTCTTTATTGTTCTCATACAATACATCCTGACTGTAGTTTCCCCACCACAACCTTCCCTCTCCCTCCAGATCCACTGACCCTCCATCTCCCTCCAGAAAGAACAGATCTTCCAGGATAACAACTGAACACCTTTAAAATATTAACACATATGGGTGATGTGGGACTCCCCTCTGTATGCTATGAATATGTTTTATTACCATTGGTTATTAAAGAAGCTGTTTAAGCCAATGACTTAGTAGAGTCAAGCCAGGTGGGAAATTCAAACAACGATATAGAGAGAAAGTAGGCAGAGTCAGGGAGATGCCATGTAGCTGCAGAAGGAGAAAGAAGGCAGCCGCCAACCAGAACCTTACTGGTAGGCCACAACTTTGTGGTGATTCACAGACTGATAAAAATGAGTTAATTTAAGATGTAAGAGTTAGCTAGAAATATGCATAAGCTATTGGCCAAACAATGTTTTAATTAATACAGTTTCTGTGTGATTATTTCGGGTCTGGGCAGCTGGGAATGAACAAGCAGCCTCTGCCTATATGTAGGGCTGGCACAACAGTTAAAATGTTTTCTACACAAGCAAGGAGACAGGAGTTCAGAACCCCAGAACTCAAATAAGTGTTGGTGGATGTGGTAGCCTGCCTGTAACTCCACCTTGGAAGGCAGAGATGGGGGATCCCTAGAGCAGGCTGGCTAGCAAGACTAGCTATATTGGCAGATCTGGGTTTCATTAAGAGACCCTACCTCAAAAGAATATAGTAAGAGGACAGTTAAGGAAGATTCCCAACATCAACTTTGGGTTTCCACAAGCACATGCTTATAGGTTAATGCCTGCTCACACACATGAGCATGCTTACACGCACTCATACATACCACACACACAAACACATGAAAAAGGAAATAAAATAGAAAACAATACTACTACATGGTTGAGATAAATGTCAGTGGAAGAGCACTTGTCTACTATGTACAAGGTCTTGTGTTCTAACCCCAGAATTATTGACTAATCAATTAGTCAAAGAACAGAGTAAAATAAAATTACACACATTTCTTTCATGTCTTTTGGTTTTGTTTTTTGAGACAGGATATCAGGTAGTTCAGGCTGGCTGTAAACCTTATATGTAGCCAAAAATGAAGGTCTGATCCTCCTGCCTCCATTTCCTCAGTGCTGGATTACAGGCATGCTCATAATCCTCATATCTTTCTTTTTAACAGATAAAAACAGATCCAATGGGCATAAACTGGTGAGTAATATAAAAGCAGTATAAAAGGAATACAGTCCTAGCTGCCAGTCCAGTTTCTTTTTAATCAATTTCCCTTTTCCAATATCGCCAAAGAACAGAATAAACTATTTGAAAATAACTATATGCTTCTTCTCTAAGAAAATACTGACTGGCTAATGACTCTAGCACAGGGAGAGGGCCTAGAGGCTCTGGAATGACGGACTTTCAAACCCACAGCAGTATCTGGATACATGCTAAAGGAGACAAGGCCTAGGACAAGGAGAAAATCTGGACTTAAGAACTGAGTACCAGATCACATTTGCAAGTCAGTGATTTGAAAAAGAACTCAAACTATGAAATTTAGCTCAATATATCCCTCCTCTCCTTTTATTTTTGATTACACCTCAAAAGGAATAATTATTATCAGAACACCTCCAAAAATATTTTATAAACATTGCAACTGTGTTTCTTCAACATTAAGATAAATGTGTTTATGTGAGATATACATACCATAACAGAACTTTACAATCATCTTACCTTATAAAAATAAAATGGTTGCAAATCAAGAACTTCAATAATCCAAGGGAAAGTACGAGGTGAACTATAGGCAAAGAGCACAATTTCCAAACAACAAGCCATCAAGGATCTATGAAATATATCTTGCTCTAAAAGAACCTTGGGGAAGAAAGAGATTAAAGTTTAGTATTTCTCAGTAATTTCAGCCTTGGTCTTTCTAGAGAAAACTATAACCTAGTAGTTGGGAGATTTGTATTCAAGACTAGCTTGAGTTGAAGAGCAATATAAAAACTAATCTAGGAAGGTGGGGAGGGAGAACGGACTATAAAAAACAGAAAAAATAATCTGTAAAAATGTTAAATTACCAGAGATAAGAGGATAATGAGGATATCTAAATAGGATATATGTTATATACATATGGTATGTATCACATATATAGTACATACACATATATTTCACTCTCAAGCTGGTAAAGTTTTCTAATTATACTTAATCTTGCTTACTGTAGATTTTGAATTTAAATGAGGCGCACATGAAAGTCTTCTTTGAAATGTTAACAAATAAAATAGGTAATATTTCCATTGAGAGAAAAACTTAGGATTGGCTTTTTCTTTAATTATTAAAAATACCAAAATTTAATTATTTTGACAGCACAAATGTCAATATTAAAATATAAGATACTAATATTAAAATAAAATAATGCAACTGCTAAAAGTTCAGAGAAAAATATTTCACTGGGAAGTCAAAAACCGTTCTTACCACTGAATATAAGATGATCTAATACTGAGTATAAGATCTAACATGTTTTCAGGGTTTTTGTGTTCTTTTTTTGGTTTTTTGAGACAAGGTTTCTCTGTGTACTCCTGGCTATCATAGAACTTGCTCTGTAGACCAGGCTGGCTTTAAACTCAGAGATTCACCTGCGTCTGGCTCCTGAGTGCTGGGACTAAAGGTGTGTGCCACCACAGTCTGGCAATGTTTTCAATTCTTAAAAATAGTTATTTGGGGGCCAGGGGAGAGATGGCTCAGTGGGTAAAGTTGCCTGACAACCAAGCTTGACAACCTGAGTTTGAACCCTGGGCCCCATACAGTAAGAGTGAAACTGACACCTCAACTCCAGATTTACACCATGTCATGTGTGTGCGCAAACACACGCGCGCACAAACGCACACACACACACACCATATTTTTTTAAAAAATGGCTATTTGAGCCAGCACAACGGTTCAGTGGGTGCAGGTACCTGCTATGCAAGTCTGACAATCTGAGTTTGATCTCTGAAATCCACACAAAGTTAGAAGGACAGAATTGAGTCCATAAAGTTGTCCTCTGACCTCCAAACCTGCACCATGAAATGCACATGTCTGTACATATATTATATATACAATATTTTTAAAATTTACATTTATCTATTTTACTTGAGCATGTGTTTGTGTGTATGCACACAACTGTACCCATTTGGAAGTATTTTATGTGTGCTCTGGGGATCAAACTAAGGTTGTCAGCTTTCACAGTAAGTGCTTTTCATCCACTGAATCATCTTGCTGGACTCCAAAATTACTTTCTTAAAATCTGTCTATTGTCCTTCTTTTATCAAAAATCACCACAGATCAACAAGAGAATAAAAGAACGGGAACCCCATCTAGGATAAGTCATCTGTAACTACAAACCACAAGTCACAATAGACAAATCAAATGGAGAAAAGATGATAAATGACTCAGAAGACAGAAAGATATTCAAATATACCTGAGGGTCTGTAGACAGACACTTAAAAGGACTTGATATATGAAACCTGAAGGAACCAGCATCTGAAGGCATAGGCACAATGCAAAGTAGGAATAAGACAAGGACTGACACAGAGTAGCAATTGAAAGTCTGCAGAAGTTAGAGTGTGGGAAGCTATACACAATCAGTATTTGAAGGGTTAAACGATAGAAAACCGTTCTCTAGAGAAACTGAACAAGACTCACAGGTACTTAAGAAGAGGTGAAAGTCTGTAAACTGGACTATCAGACAGTTTCCCTTCCTTGTCTTGCTCTATAACATCAACAACCAGGTAAGAGATTAGAACAGAAAACCACTGGACTTTACCCTCATAATTTATTACCTTTTAAATGCCTTATTCATTTGGATAATCCATGTAAGTGGATAATCCAGAATAACCCAGCATTTGCAGAAAACCTCCCCTTGAACTACAGAACAAAACACATAGAAACATTTGGGAGACATGTTGAGCAATAGAAGAAAACATCAAAGAAATATAGTTAACCACAGAGAATAAAAAATTTGCAAAAATTTAGGGGTATATGCTCAGTGGTAGAACACTTTCCTCATATGTACAGGGCTCTGAGTTCATGAGACAGAGCACTGTAAAATTATCAAGCAAAACAAACACAATGAACCATAAGACATAAGTTTAGATGAAAAGGGTAGCTCTGTAGGAATGCCCAATGAATGAATGTAAAACTCACAAAAAGGCACATTAGGGGTGTAGTGCTGTAGCCCAAATTGACAGAAGCAAGCAGAAAATCAGGAAGGAAAGAGACTCAGTAATGTCATGAACAATAACAGAAATAACAGAGCTCGCAATGTCATAAAATACAACTGGACATTTAAAGAGCATTCCACACAATAGCAGAATACACATTTTCTACAGAACATTTACCAAGATAAACTCTGTTTGAGGCTACAAACATAGTATCAATAATTAAAAGAGGTAGGTTCATATGATGTGCTATAAAACTGTAAGAAGGCTAAACAGTGGTTGAGTGTAGTGTGCTACAGAGGACTAGCATGAAGGCCTTTCTAACAGAGAGTTCTATGTGATAAATACCATTTGTCTGTGGTTTTGCTTTCTGAGGTTTCTTTCATTTGCCCAAGGTCAGTCTTGATTCAAAAATCTTAAATGGAAAATCACAGACAATAATTCTTCAGTTTTAAATTGTATGCTATCCTGAGCAGTATAATAAAACACCAAACTGCCTCACTTTATCTTGCCGTGGATGTGAATCATCACTTTGTCGAATATATGCACACTGTATAAACTACCTGTTCATCAGTCATTTAGTTGTAGTGATCATGATGTGTATCTCGGTGTTTATCTTTACATAACCCTCATTTAACTCAATAATGACCTTAAAGTGCAAGAGTAGAGACAGCAGCAATTTGGATATGACAAAGAATAACCAGAAAGTGCTTTGTCTAGGTGAAAGAATAAAAGTAACATAAGGTACTTAAGAGAGAGAAACAGATAATAGTCACATAACTTTCATTATAACATCTTGTTTTACCTATTATTAGTAGCAATTATTAGGTTACTCTCTCACTGTGTCTATATAAATTAAACTTTATCATCCAGGCATGCAGACACACATATCATCCCAACACATGGGAAGCAGAGCAGAAAGATTGTGGCCAACTTTGGCTACACAGTGAGACCCTGTCTCACAAAACAAAACAAAACAAAACAAAACAAAACAAAACAAAACTAGGCTGGTGAGATGGTTTGGCATTCAGGGTTCTTTTCATGAAACTTGAAGACATGAGTTCAATCTCTGGGATATACCAAGACGGAAGAAGAGAACCTAAAACTGTCTTATGACCTCCATATATATGCTACAACATGTATGCATATGTGAACAAATATATGCTTAATAAGTAATAATTACTTCAAAACCCAAAAAGCAAGCAAAAAATTTTTATCACCATATATATATAATATCCAATATTACATACACACACTATATATGTGTATGCATGTGTGTGTGCGCGCGTGTGTATATACATATATCTAATAGATATATCAGATATATCTATTCTGAGATATATAAATATAGGATTAGGAGCTCTCTGAAAACTAACTCCTTCCTCCCAAAAGGAAGACTACTGTTTCTTATTTTTTGTGGTTATATAACCCACACATGATACACCTGTAGAAGGGTAGGCACAATATTTTACTATCAGTTTCTTGGTTTTGATACCATGCTACTTAAACTGTAATCCTTGTATGAAAATTATTTATTACTTTTGCAACTTTCTAAGAATCTATAACTACTTCAAAATAAAAGTAAAAATTTTACTTCTTTCTCAGGAGTTCCATTAAGATGTTAGTCTAATGCATAAGAGGCAAATGTATGAAATTCTAGAAAAAGAACCAATACTAAAGAATAAGATAAAAAATTTCAGGATGAAAACGGAGGAATTCTTTTGTGATAGCTACACAGCATCCTTACATATCTACCTGTTTCTATTGGGACAAGAAACTCTCAAGAGTGGCAGCTGTAGAGGGAACAGAGGAAAAGAGGAGAAAACTGAACCATTTTATGATAGGTTTAACTTTGTAGAAATTTTCTTTTAGGGGCTAGAGAGATGGATCGGATAAGAGCACTTGATGCCAAGCCTGACAACCCAAGTTTGATCCACAGGACCTAGGACCTATACAGAAGAGAGAGAGAGAGAGAGAGAGAGAGAGAGAGAGAGAGAGAGAGAGAGAGAGATGACTCATGTAAGTTATAGTAAGAGACATGACACCACCCTCCCCCACTGAAACTAAACACAAACCTAAGTACAAAATAAATGTACAGAACAAAATAGAAAGAAAACACTCTTAAAAGGCCTTGAAGTGATCAGATCTAGGCAAATGTTCAAAGAAAACTTTTTTTTAAAAAAAAGATAAACAAATACTATTTTACAATTTAAGAATCTTTGAAATATGAACAAATACATAATTGTTAACTCAATAGTTTGAGGTCAGAGTGCTTATCAACAGTAACTCAGAATGGAGGACATAGAAAGATCACTTATAGGAAAAGAACACTAATGGTATACCAAAGATGATGTTTTCATATTTCACCTTTGTACCTCAAGATGTATTCTGGGTGTGTCAAAATCAACAGCAGAAATTAAAAATAAAACCATCTTGTCCAAGTCTATCATAAACTGCTGATTCCCCATAATGGCCTACAAAGCTTGGAGAAACACTACTTCCAACAACAAACCGTCTCCCATGGTTAGCATGCAGGTTGCAATGTTGTGTGCAGGCACCATGTTAACATTGAGGGAATCACTGAGCTAGCAAGCAATGGCACTGCTCCAGTCTCTAGGGAGTGCTGAGGGCACCTGGGCACTTGGGAGCAGAGATGTTTGAGGGCATGGCTCCACATAAGCTTGCTGCTCAACTTTGTCAGTATTCCTAAAGATTTTTCATTCAACTTGGGTAATTAACTAAAAAACTTGAGTTCATATTCTCAATTTTCTATAGAACTTAAGCCAGACTTAAGGGCTAAACACCCAGATGTGAAACTTTCAGAACTGGTTAGACAAACTGTGGCCCTGTGGAGGGAACTACTGTATTAAGAAGAAAAGAAAAAAACAAGGCAGAATGGAAAGCATGCAAAGAAACTGTGAGAAGTTTAAATAACAGCTAACTCCAAGTCAGTCGATGTCTTCTTAGAAAGAAATCAGGCAAAAACATTTTTAAAAAAGAAAGCATTATTAAAAAGGAGAGAATTATTTTTGCTTGGAAAACCAAAAAGACCTCAATCAGCACATTTACTATCTGAAAACTTCCAAGAGGCTAAAGATGAATCTGCTCAGGGAAAACTGAGGACTATACACAGGCTTAGGAAAGCCTGCCTAGTGCACATAAGCAGGCACAGATTCAGCTTGCTGAAGATGACAGAATTCATTATGATAATGAAATGACGTCTTGGGAAGAGCAAATGGCTAGAGTTGGACAAAGAGATCTCATCAGTCATAGTGTGAAGTTATCAAGTGATATCACCGAGAATTAAGAATGAAGACAGGGTTGTCTTTGTGATTAGGCACAGGAAACCAATACGTCTCAACGCCTCAAGCTGTTGTCAAATCAGAAAGCATAAAGTTGGTTAACATTTAATATTAAATTCCTTTTTCTGTAGCTCATGAACTTCTGCTATTGAATACATTTCTATGGTATTCTCAAGGCGTGACAGACAGTGGGAATTTCCATCTTTTGCTTACAGACTGGAGAGGAGACTGTCCATGCAGATGTGATGGTGATCATTCTGCCTGTGATGGAGGCAGACAGGGTGAGAGGCTTTTATGCTGACGACAGTTACTGTGGGTGTGTGAAGCTTTTATACCCATGACAGTTATGTGTGAGTGTGTACCCTTGTGTTCTGGGGCCAGAGCTGTTTTCACAGCTGTTGCAGAGCTGTGACGTAACTGATTTTTCAAAGCAGCTTCCACACTCTTTAGGTAAAGTCTAGTTCCTTGGCATAAGTCAAGTGTAGAGTTGATGGTTGTACATACAAGTGACTGTTGGTATCATGACAGCTTTTCCTAGTAGGAACAAAGAGATTCACACACCTTTCTCATTATCTTTTTCCTAAAGCAAAAACTAAGAATTATGTATCAAATCTGTGCATATTGTCTATATTGCATAGAATAAAAATTCTAATTTGTTTCAAAAGAAAAACAAACAAACAAACAAACTACTATTTCCCTGGTAGGGCTCTGAGGCCTTGCTGTTGACTAGAGGGTAGATTTACTTACTGACATGTCCATTCCATGAAGTCTTCGTGTTTCCTGGACCATTATAGTCTCTAATATTTTATAATACAAAATTTCTGCCAGTTTTAGTCTGTTTACAGCAAAGTCTATGAAAATAAAGGAAAGCACATGCTATTGAAACTGTGTGACAACTAAAGAGAACTTAAATTGCTACTTTAACTGTGAAGGAAAGAGTTCTACTATGGGGGACATTCTCCATACTTAATACTGTGCACTTTTAAATATCTCTTCTTACCTATGTGAGATCCTGGCTGTTTATCTGTGGACTGAGTATAGTGTTGGCAGAAAGTCTCTCCTATTCCTTTCACTATTCTCGTAATATTTTCCATAGGATTCCGCATACAAGATCTATAAAATACAAGGAGTTCACTTACCAGAAAAAAGCACAGATTACCAACATTTCTCAAAACTGGGATGTAGCTCAGTGCTAAGACTGTTTGCCTAGCACACCCAAGACCACTGTGAACACACATGCAGGCGCACACACATGCAGAGTCTGGTGAGCTTAGCACTGGGATACAAAATCATGAAGATCATGAGTTCAAGATCAGCCTGAGCTACCCAGCTAAAGAACAAACAAAACTAAAAACCTAAAAACTAATAGTTTTTAGTGGGTACTAGTATCAGTTGGAAGCCTATAAATTTAAACAAAGCTTTACATACATAAAGCAAGTAACACACAAAGATATGTCGTCCTAATAAATTTCTATAAAATTAATGAAAGTAGTAAAATTTCATATATAAAAAAATTACATACAAATTTTTAAAGTTTGATTCCCTTATATATGTTATATAAATGCAAGTATGAGATATGTCTTTGTGGCTGGCTTATTTTATTTAGTATATTCAAGGCCAAGACACTGTGGTATATGACTGACTTTCCTTCCTTTTAGAGGCTAAATAATACTTTATTTTATGTCTACAAATACTGGTTTCTTTGATTTGTTCACCTATAGGCATTTTGCTTTCACATATTGATGATTTTGAATAATGTTGCAGAGAATACAATATATAAACATCCCTTATATCCCTCTAAACCCTATTTTCAGCACATGAGAAGCAGAGGCAGGCAGATCTGTGCAAGTTTCAGGCCAATCAGGGCTGTATAGTGATACCTGTCTCAGTAACAACAGCAAGAACCATGTAACAACAAAAGATCCTGTTTTTAATGCTTTGAATACATTTTCCAGAAGTGGTATTAACCAAGTCATATGATAATCAACTTTTATTGTTTTTTGAGGGGGTTGATTTTTTGAGACAGGGTTTCTCTATATAACAGTTCTGGCTGTCCTGGAACTTCCTTTATAGACCAGGCTGGCCTTGAACTCACAGAGATCTGCCTGTCTCTGCCTCACAAGTGCTGGGATTAGGGGCGTGCACCATAACCACTGTCTGGCCAACTTTTATTCCTTATAAATATTACTGCGACAACTTGGAGACTTGGCTCTCTTTCCACCGTGGGTGCCAGGCATCAAATTCAGGCTGTTAGGACTATACAACAAGCACTTTTACCCACCTCACCAGTCTAATTTTTACTATTCTGAGGAAACACTGTATCAGTTTCCACTATGATTGATCCTTTTTTCAATCCTCAAAAATAATGCCTAAGGGGGCTGGAGAGATGACTCAGTGGTTAAGAGCACTGCCTGCTCTTCCCAAGGTCCTGAGTTCAATTCCCAGCAACCACATGGTAGCTCACAACCATCTGTAATGAGGCCTGGCGCCCTCTCCTGGCCTGCAGACATACGCATAGACAGAATATTGTACACATAATAAATAAATATTTTAAAAAAAATTATGCCTAAGGATCCTAATTTCTTCCTGTTCTTACTAACACTAATGATTCTTATAGCACGAATAATAAAAACCCCGAGACAGATATTGGAGTTCAAGCCGAAAATGAGAAAAGCAAAGCAGCCAGTCACTGGCTCTTACCTCTACCTCAGACTGAAATGGGTGATCCTGCCTCCATGAATCCTCAGGTTGAGACTGAGCATGGGATCTGTCTCTTCCCATTTTATATTCCTCTCTAGTGCTGGTATTAAAGGAGTCACCACCACTACCCAGTCTCTATGGCTAACTAGAGTGGCTGCTGGGATTAAAGATGTATGCCAGCACTGCCCGGACTATATGGCTGACCAGTGTGGCTGCTTTGAATTCTGGTATTTATCAAAACAAATACTACACCACTACAGATTCTATCTTTTGATTTGGGGGTGTAGAGTGAAAGATTTGGCAATCTTGATGACAGGAAGTGACTGCTCACTGTGAGCTTGATTTGACTTCTCTAGTTATTAATGCTCAGTATTCTCTCATATTTGTTATTTGTCTCTCTGGAAAAATAATGTAGTGCTTTACACATTTAAAAGATTTATAAATTTATTAATTTTGTATGGTTGAAGGGGGATATAGGTCATGGCACATGTGTGTAGGTCAGAAGGAACCTTGAGGGAGTTGGTTCTATACACTATGTAAGTCTTGAGGACTGAACTTACCAGGTACTTGCTGAGCTGCTTTACTACCCAGCTTTAAGCATTTTTAATTATGTTATTTTGCTGGGTATGGTAGTGCACATTTGGTGTCTGCTTGTGCACCAAATGGCTGCAGTGCCCACAGAGGCCAAAGAGGGTCTCAGTCTGATGAGGGTGCTGGGAATCAAACCCAGGATTTCTGCAAAAGCAACAAGTGCTATTAACTGCTGACCCATCTCTTTGCCCCAGGAGTATTCATTATTCTGCATTATATATTTGTTTGTTTTGTGTAAATATAGGAGGGGGCACTTGTGTATCACAGGACACATGTGGAGGGCAGAAGACATTCAGGAGTCAGCTCTCTCCTCCCACCATGTGGGTTCTGGACATCAAACTCAGGTCATCAGGTTTAGCAGTAAAAAAATAAAAGATATGAATTAGTCCTTCTGATCCCTGAATTCATTTTTAATATTGTGTAATGTCTTCATTCTTCTACATAGGAATATTTTGTTTTACCAACATTTCTTTCTATTTGTAATCTATTGCATGGTCTTAGCACCACTATCAAAGACCAATTGACCACATATACATGTGTGTGTGCGCGTGTGTATGAGAGTTTATTTCTCTCCATTTTGTTCTCTGGTTTAAACATGTCTGACTGAATATCATACTATTTTGATTATTAAAACTTTATACTATTTTTATAAAGTGTGAGGCCTCCATCTTTGTTCTTTTTTTTCCCCCAAGTTTCTTTTGGTTATCTGGGGTTCTCTGAGGTTAGACATAAATTTTAACTTTTTTTTCTATTCTGGGTCTTCTTCCTCCTTTTTTAAAGTTGGTCTTAATTTCAGTATGTAGCCAAAGAGGATGACACTGAACCCCTACCTTCCTGCCTCCACCTCCCAAGTGCTGGGGTTACAGCACCACTCCCAGCTCCTCCCTCCCTTTTCCAATGAAATATTTTATTTATGTGTATATTTCACATTCCTAAAGAGTTAATCCCAGGATTTTCATTTCTGTGTCTTTATATCCTGCATTTTCAAGGTTGCCCACGCTAGGCACCATCATGCCTGCTGATCTTGTCAGTACAGTGAAGTCAAACTGATGAGAAGGAGCAGATCATCCACTATTGCTCTAGGTCTCTGAGCTACATAGCACATCTCACATCACACCTCAGGCAGTCACTCTATACTTACTCTTTCTGTGAGGTTTAGTACAATTTTGCCATTTCTGTGATCATCAATGATTACAAAATATACCCATGCTTCAGCATCAGTAAAAACTGACAACTTTGGAGCATTATTTTCTCCCCTTTTCTAGTGTCTATGTACATCTATGCACCTGTGTGAGGGCGTCAGAGGTCAATCTTAGACAGCAATCCTCAGGAGCTAACCACTTATTTTGTTTCAGATAGGTTCTCTCACTAGCCTGGGTTCTCAGATATGGCTAGGATGGCTAGCCAGAGAGTCTCAAGGGTCCTCTGCTTCTGCCTCCTTGGTGCTCTGATTTACAAAGGCAAGTCACCACTTTCAACTTCTTTACATGGGTTCTGGGGATCAAACTTTGGGCCACGGCACTTTACCAACTGAGTTACCTCCCCAGCCCCTGAAAGTTATCTTTTAAAACTGTTCAGGGCTCACATAACGAGCAAGAGCTCTCCTTCCTCATCAATCATCAAAGAAAAGAGAAGCTCAGAAGCACTGAGCTGCAGGGTCAGGTGCAGTCTAAGTTATTTGAGAGGACTAATTCTCAGAAGACATCAACAGTAGCCTGGGACTAGAGATGCTGTCAACTCTATCCTTACTCCTGCTTGCTTATTTTTGAGATAAGGTCTCAGGTAACCTAGCCTGGCCTTGAACTCATAATCACTATGCCTCAATAGAATGACAGAGGAAAGAGCCGAGTGTAGAATACCAATTCATACAATTACAACTTTATTAAATATACCCCTTTCCCAGTACCACTTCTTGGGGATGGCCATATGAGAATCGTCTACTTCTTTTCCTGCCCACTGATTGAGAAGTCTATAACATGAAGTCACCTCTCTGTTCAAAAAGGCAGCTGCTGATCATTACTTTTCTGATTCTCATTACTCTCCCATTTCATTAGGAATCAGGAAAGAATGGTCTTTGATTTGGCTTCATCTTTATGAAGAAACACATCTCTTAAAAAACAATTCCATAAAATTATATATTCTCCCCAGTGGGAAAGCAGTCTCACCTTAAATAGCCACTCAAGTTGAACTCATTTAAAGTGAACTTAGGGACCAATGAGATGGCTGGGTGGGTAAGGGCACTTGCCGCTAAGCCTAACAACCTGAATTCAATATCCATAATCCGAATGGTGGAAAGAGAGAACTGACTCCCACAAGTTGTTCTCTGGTTTCTACAACCATGCCATGGTATTCTTAACCCTCCACCCATGAATATATAAACGAATGCAAAAACATTAAAAAATAAAAAAAGTCAACTAAAAAGAAAAAACACAAATAACAAGTACTTACAGGAGTGGAAGGTCAACACTCAATAAACTTCAAATACACTTGAAAGCCTATTATTTTGTGAAATGTCAAAATTTTCAGTAGGTGTTTCTATCTAGACACGAATGTATTTTATGATAGAATTGAAGTAGTAAAATTCGCCACATGTACTCCCAGTCTCAATAAAAACATAATTGCACGAAGACTCTAATTTTAATAAAAACAACATTATACTTACTCAAAAATATTCAGAAGTTGCTCACTTGGTGCATTTTTTAGTCCAGCCACAATACTCTGTAAGCGGCTTACACTTTGAGTAGCTGAAGCAACAGGAGTGGTGACCGCCTCTTTTTCTTGTAAATACCGCCGTCCGGTAAGCGGGGTAGAAGGTGCAAATGACTGTTTCTGTCAGAAAAGGGAAATGTGTGAAATTAACAAGAGACTCCCTCTGACCTTATGTCCAATGCAGTGTGTTCCATCTTCTACCCACATTCACAGGTGCATTGCTTAACACTTTTCTCCCTTTTGGGATCAGCCATCGGATGCCCAGCAATATTATGCTAATGACATTGTACAATAGAATCACACTTTCTATTTGTAGTCTCATGTCTGAAGTATTACGCATATCTATTTTAATTTTATACATGAGGAAATAGGCACAGATAGTAAATCTTGTCTGTGCTAATGAAGTTAATAAAAGAGTTGGGAAGCAGCTTCCCACTCTCTGCAGGAGTGAATTTTCCATTAGCCTTTGTCCTCTAATAAATCTCACACATAAACATGGAATTAAGCCTTGGCCCTCAACATCCCACTACAGTTACACAGCAGAAGTAGGAGAAAAGCAGTTTGTGTCAAGTGCAAGGAAGTAAACTACAATTCTGAAGCAACATAAACAGGCTAAGCTGAAACAAAGAGACTGGTAATTAAGTGTAAATTTTACATTAAAAACCATATAAAGACAAACCCAGGTGTGCTTGGAAAATGTATATAAATCATGACTAATAGGAAGAGTAAGTGCTATAGTTTAAAAATTACCTTTCAGAGTTTTCATGAGAAATATGAATTAGTAGCAGAAACTCAATGTTTAACTTGAAAGATGCCTCTGCTGTTAGTAGAATCACACAAAGAAAAGACAAGTATCATTCAGAACTGAGGCCTCACTAGGTTATATTACTTTTTCAAAATGTTGAAGGTTGTATTCCACATTGGCCTCTGATGTCAGTTTCCCAAATGGGGTGTCAGCAGTAAACTTTCGAGGTGTGCCAATTTCCTCCTCAGCATCTGCTCCCAAAAAGATCCTCTCATCAAAGTCACCCACAGTTAGGACATACTCCTCATACTCCTTGTTCACTGCTTTGCTGCAAAGAGAATTGCTTTGAGCTGCCAGAATAAAACTGAGCCGTATGACAGACACATCTCAGATGAAGACAGATCCAGCCTACAGCTCAAGAAAGTGATGACTGCATTTTTATTGCCCTTGCTTATCTAATATCTGAGGTCCCTACCTGATTATGAATATCCATTTCAGTCACAGCATCTATGTCGGTCACTAACTTATCTTGAAGTGCGAGTAAAGGAGATCATATACTTAATCTAAAACAGTGAAGCTAATTCAAGAAAAGAAAGGTACTTCTGATCCCTGAGGAAATCAAATGGCTTTGAAATAAGAGCATTCTCAGTTGCTAATGTGGATTATTTGGAAAAATATAAAATCAAACACAGATGTCATTGAGTGTATTTTTGAATTCTCAGGGGAGTGCAGTTGTTTCAAATGTCAATATTTCTTTAAATATATTCAGCCAACAGGGCTTAGTGACAATTCCATTCAATGCCATTAAAGCGAGACTTTTGAATTTGAAGAAGTTACCTTGATATTTAATATTTCACTTAACAAATTTCAACACTTCATTATTGCCAGTCTGTGTCACGACAGGCACTATTTGTATTAGATATTTACCTATTGTTTGTAAGATCTCATGTAGCCTAGGCTGGCCTCAAACTCACTACATAGCTAAGGCTTGAATTTCTAATTCTCCTACCACCAAGTCCCGGGTACTGAGATTACATACAAGTGTGTGCCAGCACGATCATCTTTAAATAGTTACCTATTATCAGTGAAACTGGAAAGGTCCAAGAGACATTCACCTTTTAAAATCTGGCAAAAAAAAAAAATTAGGGAATATCAACAAACACAAAAGTAACATTTCAGTAACATTTCACAGATGTATAATACACATAAAAAGAATTATTAAAGGTTTCAGAGCAGGGGCTCGAGACATGTCTCAGCAGTTAGCAGCATTGGCTATTGTTGCACAGATTCTGGATTCAGCCCCTAGCACCCACATGGTGGTTCACAATCATCTATAATTCCAGTTCTAGGGGATCCTACACAAATGTGATGAACAGACACACTCAGCCATACACACACACAAAAAAAATCAAGTATTTTTAAAAGGACATTTAGACTAGTAAAAACAATCATAGAACATTAAAACAGGTTTAAAGTCAGTTTTGTTTTTTGGATTTTTGTTTTTTGTTTGTTTTTGTATTTTGTCCTCTAGCACCATCCTCCCAAATAAGAAAAATCAAAGGTTTTTGTTTTAATTGGTGCTGGATATTGAACTCACAACCTCACTCATGCAAAGTGAGCACTACGCCAGTGATCACAACCCTAAGAACAAATTTTCAAAACACTGCAAGGTTAGCCCACGACAGTTCTTTCCAAAATTTAAAAATATTTTCATTAATTTTTAAAGAATTGCATACAATAAAGTTTGATCATACTTACTCACTACTAATTCCTCCCAAATTTACCCCTACCTCCCTCGACTTTTTCAAATAACATATTGATTTCAACTTGTACTGCCCATAAAACTGGGAGAAGAGTCATCCACTGGATAGTGTGGCTAACCTATCATGTGCCAGAACATTAAAGAGCACAGACTCTCCCTGCCCTAAAGCTATCAACCAACCACAGTTCCTGCCCTCCCACTCCATACAGGAATGCTGACTGAACTGATGCTGTGTAGGCAACCACAGCTGCTGTGAACTCTTAGAGTGAACTCTGTCCACTTCCAAATGATCCCTGAGACTTGGGAGGGGATGTGACACAGATGTTCCTTTTGTAGCTAAGCATTCCACTGACATTTACTCTCTACACTGAGAAAGCACTTTTTTTTTAAAGATTTTATTATTATGCATATAGTGTTCTGCCTGCAGACCAGAGGGGGGCACCAGATCTATTTTAAATTGTTGTGAGCCACCATGTGGTTGCTGGGAATCGAACTCAGGACCTCTAGAAAAGCAGCCAGCGCTCTTAACTTCTGAGCCATCTCTTCAGCCCAAGAAAGTATTTTTAACAAGCGATTTCACCAGTAATTCTAGTGAAAGAGATCCATTATTAAATATTAGTCTATGAGAAGAAAAATTAAAATTACTACTACATGCTTTAGTAAGCAAAAAGTTTAAAAGAGGCATGTTTGTAATCCCAGAACGTGAGATGTAGAGGGAAAAATATCAGCAGTTTAAGGTTACCCTTGGTTTGAGTTTGAGGCTAGCTTAAATTATATGAGACTTTGTCTCAAAACAAACAAACGATAAAGATTAAAAGAAAATTAAAGGGGTTGCAGCTAGGTAGTTAGCGCATTGGCTAGCATTTATAAGCCCTTAGATTTGATCGTCAGTACCACAAATTGAAAGAGAGGAAGGCCTAGATTCCTATTACTGGTGAGAAAGGAAAACCATAGTTGCCAGTAATTCCATCTGCCTTACTAGACTTAGGTTGTCATTTTTAGGTAACAAAGGGAAATGCCATCAAGAGAAAAGGTCTATCATACATGAACAGAGAGAGCTGAAGGTACATCTGCCATCCTAAAAGTGACAGTCATCATTTAGCTGGGTAACAATCTACCGTGTAGAAATTCCAACCCTTAGCCGGCATGGTAGTGAATGTCTTTAATCCCAGCATTTGGGAGGCAGAGGCAGGCAGAACTCTGTGAGTTCAAGATCAGTTTGGTCTACAGAGAGAGTTCCAGGACAGTCAGGCCAGTTACACAGAGAAACCCTTTCTCCAAAAACAAAACAAAAAAAATTCCAACCCTGAATTGTAATGGCTTCTTGCTTTTAAAAGCTTTTTATATAAAAGGTCATGTTACTTAAATAATAAATAGAATAAGATAAAAGTAAGTATCATCCTACAAGTCAAACAAAACATCTCTGGCCTTAGAGCTGAACTTATTATCCTGTCCAATCATGCAATCCAGAATCTGACTAGCCTCCAAGTAGTTTCAAAATCATAATGGTTTGGATGATGGGTTTGTTTCTGGAATGGAATAAATTGTTACAATAATTATGCCAAGACAATAGTGGCTATACAGACAAAATGGGATTTGGGCCACTGTACTAAGGTATACTGTGTCTGCACAATATATTCTTTAAAAGTTTACTTTTCTGGAAATGTTTAACATACCTGTAGTGATATTTTGTTTGTGTTTTAAGAAATAAAGCTTGCCTGAAGATCAGAGTGCAGAACTAAGCCACTAGAAGCCAGGCAGTGGTGGCACACACCCTTAATCCCAGTATTAGCATCACACGCCCTTAATCTAAGCACTAGGGAGGTGGAGACAGGAGTGATATGGCTAGGAGACAGAAGCTCAAGGCAGTCTGAGGTTTGATGGAGACAGATGCAGTCTGGAGATGCAGTCTAAGGACAGGATCGCCCCTTTGGTTTGAGCATTGATAGAGGTAAAAGGTCTCTCTAATGGCTAGCTACTTTATCTCTCTGGATCTTCAGTATTAATCCCTATATCTGACTCTGGTTTTTTTTTTTATTATTAAGACCAATTAAAATTATTAAGACACATACCTATAAGAAATCATGATGTATACATATTCCAGGACATGTAAGATTAAATACAAAGTATAGAAGGGAGAAGAAACCAGTTAGGAAAGGCTTTATGCTTAAAGAAAATATTATGGGCCTGTGAGGTAGCTCAGCAGATACAGGCACCTGCCCCACAAGTCTGGTAACCTGAATTTGATGCCTGGAACCCACTTAAGTGTGAAAGCAAAGAATCAACTCATGAAGTTGTCCTCTAACTTCCACACATGTTGTGGCATGTGTACTCACATATATACAACAGGCATCCATGCACACAAACAATAATAATAATACTTAAAAAAATTTAAGCCAGGCCATGGAGGCACACACCTTTAATACCCGCACTTGGGAGGCAGAACCAAGATCTCTGCAACTTCAAGGCTAGCCTAATCAACAAAGCTAGTTTCAGGACAAGCCAGCACTACACAGAGAAACCTTGTCTTGAAAAACAAGCAAGCAAACAAATAATAATAATAATAATAAAAATAAAAAGCTCTTAATACTAAATGGGGAATCAGAGTGATGATTTAAATGAAATCCTTTACCAAAGTGAAAAGACAAGGCCTAATTGAATTACATGATTCATGGTTGAAGAAGTGAGAAGTTAATAGCTCCTCCATGGTAAACCAACTCAGAAACATAAAAATAGACAATTACAGAAAAATAAAAGTCAGAGTGAATGTAAATAGCCTGAAAGCAGTTTTCTGCTTTATTTATGTGGAATTAAAGTCATAGTTGTAGCTGGGAGTAATGGCACACACTTTAATACTTGGGACACAGGCCCGAAGAGCTCTGTGACTTCAAGGTCAACCTGGTCTACACAGTGATTTCCAGGATAGCCAGAGCTAAATAGTGAGACCTAGTCTCAAAAAAATCAAAAAAGAAAAAACAAAACAATAGTTGTTATACTATTACAGTGCTTTTAGTAAACAGCATTTAACAGAATGACTGTGGCAGAAAATCAGTCAGTTCACTCTGATCTCATGCTTCTCATAATTCTTTCTCAGGAGAATGCAGGTTCTTCCAGAACCCCCGAAAATTGCTGGCAGAGGATTTCCCAGACACGACATACAACTGAGCACTTTCTTCAACCACTCTGTCTCCTGTGACTAGAGGGCAAGGCTGTAACACAGCAGACAATGAAACTTGGGACTTGAAGGCACTGGATGCCCTGGAACTGGAGTTACAGGAAGTTATGAGCTGGGTTTGGTGGGTGCTAGGAACTGAACCTGGGTCTTCTGGAAGAATAGTTAATGCTCTTAACCTCAGAGCTATCTCTCTAGCCCCAGACCTGGGACATCTGACCAGGACTATTGTGTGATATTTTGTTTGTGTTCTGACAAATAAAGCTTGCCTGGAGATCAGAGCATGGGACTAGTCACTAGTTAACCATAGAGCTGGGAGGCAGGGGTGCACGCCTTTAATTCCAGGTGGTGACAGGAATATACTATACTATACTATACTATACTATACTATACTATACTATACTATACTATAATATAATAGCTATTCCTTTGCTTCTCTGATCTTTCAGGCTATTACCCCAATATTTGACTCCTGGCTTTTATTGATAGGACTGATTAGTATCATGTTACATGGGTCCTACAATGTTCAGAAGATTCTTTCCTTTCAGGGTGCTGCTGGCCCCTAAGCATCTTATTTGTTAGTACCTTCTTATCAAAGAGTTTTGAAATATATGGCTTGAAGTAATGTTCCTTTATTCCTTTTGCTTCTACTAGAAGTCCATCATGTAGATCACAAAGTACGGCAATGATACAGGGAGGTTCTTCTGCAGCTTTGAAGTCAGGAGCATGGAAATCAGACGGTAAACCTAGTTTGACAGGGAACAGGAAGGACAAAAAGAACTGTCAGTTTTTTAGTTTTTTCTAAAATTTAATAATTACTTTTTAAAAGTAAATATTTTACCTTTAAATGATGGATTTAGCAAGTCCCGTCGATTTGGGCACATAATAGCATTGGCAAAAATCAGGTCCAAGCAGCACAGAAGTAAATGATATGAGTTTACTAAATCATCACCAATCATACGAAAATTACCTTTATAAGGAAAAAAAAGTTAAAATCCAGGAACCTCTCATGTCAAACATCACCAAATCCCAGAGTAGAAATGTAAGCTCTGAGAACGTCAACTTACCCTTAGTGTAAACAAAGAGTGTCCAGCAGAAATTAAAGAGATCCTTTACACTGCAAGGAATTCTCCTAAAATGAAAATATGTATTTTTTTTTGGTCTGACTAACCTGCTAAGCATTGAAAGAGCAAATATAAATAAAAGGGTTAAATCCATGTAAAACTCCACTTAAGTGGACAGATGGCTCAGAAACAGACTTCTTAAAGTTTTTTAGTCTACACTAAACATCAGAATAAATAAAATAATAATAAAAGTATTACCCATTTTCAAATATAAGCAACTGTCCATAAATTTCAAAAGAAATTTAAGTCTTTGCAGAAAGGTAATAAGCAGACTTTTAAAATTAAACTCTCCTAATAATCTTGTATCACAAATATATGAGATTAAATGTCTCACCTCTGCTTCCTGCTTCGTGGCAACTTTGGTAGTTCTTCATATGGATTTTGAAATATATCTAAAAAAATGGGCTCAAATTTTTTAAAAATTACAGTTGATACTTCAAAATTTCTCTCTAGCCTTTCTATACGTTCACGAAATTCTTGCGGTAGGTTTGACATGTCCATCCACTTCTTCATTTTACTAAAAAACTGTATTAAGCTTCAAAGAAAAGGAAGAAAAGACAACTTTAAAATGAGCTCATATAATGGACTGAAAATGACACATTCTCTTCATGACTAAAGGTCTTTAAAAACCTAAATTTATGAAAAAGCAACAACATAAGCCCTCACTTAACTGTTATGAATTGCACTGGTTCCCAGGACCATCACGGAGACTGATGATACAGAGATGACAGTAACCTTCTAGGATGCAAGTCCCCCAAATGAAAGTTGTTCACAAAGCAGCAGACTATTATAGGTTGGGAGTAAAATTCAAGTATCTGAGTTCTTTTGCTTGTTTTTGGAGAAAGGGTTTCTCCCTGTAGGTCTGGCTGTCCTGGAACATGCCCGATAGATCAGGTTGGCCTTGAACTAACAGAGATCTGCCTGTCTTTGCCTCCCAAGTACTGGGATTAAAGCTGTGTGCCACCAGGACCAGTTAAATATTTGAGTTTTAACAGGTTTTTTGTTTTTGTTTAATTTATTTTGTTAAAAAATAAATTTTTTAAATTTATTTATTATGTACTTGGAGTTCTACCTGCATGTATCCCTGCCAGAAGAGGGAACCAGATTTCATTGTGGATGATTGTGAGCCACCATGTGGGTTCTGGGAATTGAACTCAGGACCTCAGGAAGAGCAGCCAGTGTTCTTAACTGCTGAGTGTTTAACACTCCAGCTCAGTGTTTAAGTTTTAGTGTGTGACATCACCACCAAAAATAAAATAAATACATAGATATTTAGAAAATCATAATAGATTGTTACTCCACTTTCTCAGTTTATCCAATAATGGTATATGATCTGTTAGCATGATCTTAGATTAAAAACTCATAATGTCAAAAGCTCACTTTATTATCTGGCACTATATAGAGGGATACTAGGTAATGTTTTTAAAGTTATCAGTTAATTGTTCACAGGTAAATTTGAAACATTAATTAAAATCTGAAATTCTAGGAAGTCCTTAACAACAGCAGCAACAACACAAAAACAACAACAACAAAAAAAGTCCCACTATTTTTCTTTTCTCCTCCCTATTAGTTACTATGAAGTTTTCCCTTTTTTGGCAGGGACAAATTGGGGTAGGAAGATACTCAGTGTGGGATGTTCTCTCCTTGGAGGAATTCCTCACTTTTGAGAATTACTTCTTTTGGACCAGCTTCACTGGATATTTGGGGTGCAAAGTTTCCTGGTATGTGTGTATCCTAGTTTGGCCTTGAATCATTGACCACGTGATGATAATGATGCAGCCTCCTGAGTGCTAGGATAACCAACATGTCTCATCACACCCAGTGTATTACTTGCAGGCACTGTACCATGGAGGGACACACCCAACCTTTAAAAACCATCTTCATGTCTCTGATAAACTACACACGGATTACATTTGCCATTTTAATGTCTAGTCCAGTTGTATCTGGTTACTCATGTTGTAAAGCCACCATCACCATCCACCTCTAGAACTCATTTGAAATTTTTATTATGAGTATGTACTGATCTAATTTTTCAAGCTATAATTCTGTTGTTTAGAGACAGGTCTTTTGTAGCCCAGGCTGACTCTGAATTTGTTATAAAGCCAAGGATAATCACGAATCCCTAAACTTCCTGTCTCCATCACTCCAGTGCTAAAAAAATAGGCTTATGCCAGCTTTTATATGGTTGGTGCCTGGAAAAGAACCTAGGGCCTCAGGCACACTAACTAGGCAAGTGTATTACCAACTGAGCTATATTTCCCAGCCCCATGATAACATTTTTTTTAGTAAGTCTACAATTACCCCAGTCCTCTTTTAAAATAGATTGCTCCTCATTTGAAATATGTCTGATGTTTCCTTAAGGCTAAATATACACAAGTTGTAAATTTTGAAACTGCATAGAGTGATTTTAAGTCTTTAGGACAACTACATACAGTGGCATATTATATCCATCTTCATCTTATTAATGTTATTGACTTTGGTCATCTTGTCAATGTGTTGCCCTGCTTTCTACATAGTTGATTTTCATTGTTCAACTTGTCACTATTAGGCACTCTGTAGGCCTAAGTTCTACCTTTCACTTGCTCCTTTGTCAACCACAGAAGACTATTCAGCTAGAGTTGTTACACAGAAAAACCCTATCCTGAAAAAAACAAAATAAAATAAAAATAAAAATAAAAAAGAGACAACGGCTGCAGAAATATTCCTTTTTGAAGGGGAACAAATAGGAATAAGTGAATGTAGTACTGATCCAAAACTGAAAATGGTACTCAAAGAAAAACAATGCTACCAAGAATATTAGATCAACTAACAAAACTAGACTATTGATGACAGACTTTTAAAAAAAAGTTAAGTTCCCTGAAGACTGCATCATAGTTAATTAAAAAATACCACTGAAACTGGGCATGGTGACACACATCTATAATTTATAATTGTAGCACTTGGAAGGCTGAAGCAAGAGCCACAGTTTGAGACTAGCCTGGACCTGGTCTATATTGTGAGATCCACTCTCAAAAATAAGTAAATAACTAACTAATTAAAATATCATTGAAACCAACTTCAGGATAAAAAGTTATAAAGAGTACAACTCATTTTAAAATGAGTAAGGAAGGGGCTGGAGAGTTGGCTCAGTGGTTAAGAGCACTAACTGCTCTTCCAGAAGTCCTGAGTTCAATTCCCAGCAACCACATACATGGTGGCTCACAGCCATCTATAATGAGATCTGGTGCCCTCTTCTGGTCAGCAAGGAGACAGACAGAACACTGTATACATAATAAATAAACCTTTAAAAATAAAATAAAATGAGTAAGGAAGAAGCACTGAGAGAGAAAGAGCATAATACTTAATACAGGAAGATAAACTGACAAAGGAAATGAGGTAAAATGGCAGTAACCAGTGAAACTGGATCACAGGTAGATGGGTATTTTTTCCATTTCTCTCATTTTTCTAATTCTCCTGTAAGCTTTAAACTATTTTCAAATTTTAAAAAATTAGTGAGCAAAAGTATAGCTAAAATCAATTTAACAGAAGTCTTTGGTTGAAGTTAGAATCTGAAGAGGCAACGTAGAGAAGCAAGGTCAAACTGGGAAAGGACAAGCAGTAGCAGAACAAAGTCAAATGTTTTAAAATGACAGAAACTGAATCCTAAAATGACATTTAGGACTCTGTGTGCATGTGATGTATGTTTATGTGTGTGCATGTGTGTATACTTGTTCATGTAGCTACACGTGGAGGCCAGCAAATGACACTGAAGTATCTTCCTCAAAAGCTTTTTCACTTAAATTTTTTATTTTTAAATTTATCTTTGCTCTTTGTGTGTGTGTGTGTGCGCGCGCGCGTGCGCGCGCGCGCGCGCGCACACGCACCATGTCTAAGCAGAGTTTCTCCCTGCAGGGAAACACAAGAAGCAAGAAGGTGTCAAAGGTAACTATATCTTTGAAGTATAGTTACAGGGAGTTATGAGCCCCGATATGGATGATGGATGTTGGGGACCAAATTCAGGTTCTCTAGGAAAACAGGAAGTTCTCTTATTAAACACTGGGCCATCTCTCCAGAACCTCCACTTCAATTTTTGAGGTAGAGCTGTCATTCTGACTGGACTGTTCCCTTCCAAGCCCTAGGATTGGCCTGTCTCAGTCTCTCAGCACTAAAGCCCCAGAGCACAAGAACCCAGGTACTCATGCTTGTATAACAGATACTCTACCCATTGAGCAACCTCTCCAGCCCAAATTTAGTACTTCTAAAACATTTGGGAAAGCAAAATGCTTTACCTTAACTTAGCTGAGCGAAGTATTCTGGTCAGTGAAACACAGTTTCCTTCCATGACGCCCTTTCCCACTGTAGGAATGATGCTCTTGCGGCAAGCAACATATAAAGAACATGCCAGCCAGTGTACGACTTCTCCCTGCAGGGAAACACAAAATACAGCGACACTTTAAAATGCTTACCTGGGAAAGGCTTTACAATTTCATCTCTGTAAACCCTGAAGAAATAAGGCGAATATAGTCCCAAACATCAATACAGACCTCCACATTCACCTCCCTGTTCTTAGAACTAGAACTTGAAAAATCAGAAATTTTCCTGAATTTCTAATTCTAAAAATAGATCTCTTACTTAATTCCAAATTTAGCCTTACTGAAAGAATTCTACTGAAATCTCTTTGTATTCTCTCTTCTCTCTCTCTCTCTCTCTCTCTCTCTCTCTCTCTCTCTCTCTGAGACAGAATTTTGTGTAGCCTTAGCTATCTTGGAACTAGCTCTGTAGACCAGGCTGGCCTTGAACTCACAGAGGTCAACCTTCCTCTACTTCCTGAGTGCTGGGATTAAAGGCATATGCCAACTCCACCTGGCAGTGACATTCTTGATTGTATTTATTCTTTTCTATTATTGAAATTTTATGTTTCTCACTTGGGAGGCAGAGGCAGGCAGATCTCTGTGAGTTTGAGGCCAGCCTGGTCTACAAGAGCTAGTTCCAGGACAGGCTCCAAAAGCTGCAGAGAAACCCTGTATTGAAACCCCCCCCCAAAAAAAGTATGTTTCTTCTTAATCAATTCTGCAGAGAAAAGAAAAAATAGAGTACAAAGTTGTCAGGGGAGTCACATGTCAAAATATTAATATTTATATTAATATGCTGATATATAATAAGACAGTAATTATTAATACCCACAATATGAAGGACAATGTCATTTCTGTGAGAGCAAGATTTGGGGCATTATTTATCCCATAGTAAGTTATCTTTAAAATATTAAGCATAGTTCTCCACCACCACAGATATCTCAGTTTACAAGCTATAAAAAAGTAATGATTGGTAATTCAACACTTAATTTTCTGCTCTTGACTTCAAATGTTTTCAAGCTGGAAACACCTCATGACTGGATGAAATACAGTTGAAGTCAGAGGATTAAGCATTACAGATACAGGCCTAGCAGTGGTGGCACAAACTTTAATCCCACTACTTAGGAGGCAGAGTCATTTGGATCTCTGAGGTCGAGGCCAGTCTGGTCTACAGAGCAAGTTCCAGGACAGTCAGGTTACCCAGAGGAAAAAAAAAAAAGAATTACAGATACAGACACTAGCATGGCTGCATAAACAAGACCTGAGCAAGGATGACACCAATAGACCAATAGTGCTAATGTGGAAGGAGGAACCTAGGCAAAGAACCAGGGAACTGAGGAGTGCTGAGAGAAACAGCACACCAACTGGCTCTCCAACATCAAATGATCAGCCTAAAAACATATACATGTAGACAGAGCAAACTGCACTTATATATCTAGAAATATACACACACAGACATATACACACATATGGAACAACGATTAAAGAAAGAGACCATGATTTTGAGAGACAACATAAAGGGGAGGTACATAAAAGAGGGAGGAGTCAGAGGGAGGAAAGGAAAGGGCAGAATGATATAATTATAAGCTAAAAAAAATGGCAATAAGTCTAAAAGGAATTAAGACACAGGGCTGGAGAGATGGCACTTGCTATGTAGGTCTGGAGATCTCAGTTTGATGCCTGTAACCCATGTCAATGTGGAAGGAGAGAACTGACCCAACAGAAGTTGTCCTCCAACCTCCACATGGCACATGCCACCTTCTGATTATAAATTAAAATTTTATTTTAAAATGTTTTATGGAGAAGATCAGAGATATACCTCAGTATCAAAAATGGCTCTTAATCTTCAAGTCTAAAGTTAAGAATAGTAACAGAAACTGTTCTCCATAATTGGTAAAGTGTATATATATGTATATATGTGTGTGTGTGTGTGTGTGTGTGTGTGTGTTGTAAGAGTTGTAAGAGTTGAAGAGAAAGTGTGGGAAAATACAGTGTAGTTAACGGACTTTGACTGGATGTCAACAGAAACTTCACAAAGGAAGATTTAAAACTGCTCAGTAGCAAATTACCAAAACATGTAAGTTAGGTGAGAAAAGGCAAAATGCCAGCAGGGTCTTGTGTGGTGGATTAGGCAGGGGTAGAGACTGGATTCTTAGTCTTAGGGGTAGACAGGATTCTTAGGGGCAGTAGAGACTGGGAGATGCCTTTTCTCTGAGCGTCTTTCACTAACGACTAAAAGAAGAAAAACAAGAAAAAACAAAACACAGGGCAGACTACTTCCACACTCAATTTTTAAAGAATTATTTATTTAGTATGCCTACAGTATTCTGCCTGCATGTATGCTTTCACACCAGAAAAGGGCACCAGATCTCATTATGGATAGTTGTGAGCCACCATATAGTTGTTGGGAATTGAACTCAGGACCTCTGCAATAGCAGCCAGTGCTCTAAACTGCTGAACCATGCTTTCTACAGTAAACATTTAAGGTGTCAACCAACTCTACCTAACTATGGATTTAGTATTTAGATTATCAACCTTCTCTGGAGTTACAGGTGAAGGGAAATAGTTCAGGCAGAGTGAGTTGCAGAAAACTAACAACTTGGGCTAAGTTTAACATACCTAGAATCTGAAACAAGCGACTAAGTTGAGTGACTTGGCCACAGATTGTACTTAATAATAAATGAAGGCCTGGGAGGTTAGAACTGCTTTCTCAGGACGTTAAAAAACATTTCCAACTGAGATGCCATTAAAATTTCCCTCACTTTTTTATATAATGTACGTGTGTACACATGCATGTGCATATGTGCAAATGTGTTCCCCCATTCATGTATTCATGAGTGAAGGTCAGAGATAACTGTTGGGTGTCTTCTGAGGCAGTCTCTCACTGAACCTGGAGCTCTGTGTTGCAGTTAGACTGGCAGGCCAGGGCTGGGCACTTGGGATCTGCCTGTCTCAACCACTCCATCCTCATTTCCAGCTCCATGCCTTTGAGTGCAGCTATTGTCGAGGAGCAATCTGTATGTGAATCCAGCTCATGTGGATAATGAAAGCTTCTGTACATCCCAGGGATATGCTAAAATATCCCCTGGGTCATGGTTCCCGTAGACCAGAAGATACCAAAATCCAAGGATGTTCAAGCCCCTGATTTAAAATGGCAATGCATTTGTACATAACCTATGATCTCTAATTACTTGATGTAAATAATGATATTATATTGTCTGTGGAATGACAAGTCTGTTCATGTTCAAGAAAATGCAGTTTTCACCCAAATACTTTTGACCTGTTGAACCCACGGGCATGAGTTCCACTTGTACATGTCATTACAATTCTTCTACACCGAGCTTATATACCTCTTTAAGTTTCGATATTTGAGTGATTCTAGGCAAAACAATCCTGGGCCGTGATAACACTGCCCTGCTGTGAAGACAGATATAAAAGTTACTGGGAAAATCTAACAGTGACAACCACAGCTTATTTTATTCAGGGCCAGAACACGGTAACGACCTGGCAGAGAGGAACATGGGACTGCGAAGAGCTTTGTGTGTGCTGACTTTGATCAGACTGCCCTGGTATAAACGAACCCACCGCTGCACTCTATGAGGCAGAAGGGTGGAGAGGTTAAAAGGCTCATACAGTTGAGCCAGACTCCATCACAAACCGTGTCACCTGGGGCGCCAAATTAACCGCTTTCTCTTCCGCGGAGAGGGGATCCAAACGTGTTTGAAGAGTGGGGAAAGACATAAGCAAAGGACTGAGCAGCGATTAGCGACTCATTTTATCACAGGATCGGGTCTGATCGATTTAACGGCAGCACCGCGCCCTTTGGGGCGCTGGGCGACGCGCAGAAATCAAGTTCGAAAGCCTGACGTCTAGGGAACCCCGG